ATGATATTAAGGCTTGTAGTTAACAACTTTACGTTTGCAATATAGAATTATGACACGCATTTGTCCTTATGCGATATTTCGTGAGCATAATCTTTATTTTTAGTCGATTCTGACTCATTTCTTAGTTTAGAGGTAAAGGATTGCCTCGGCCATTTCGTGACCACTAAATGGTACGAAGATGCATTCAAGGTACCGGGTTTTGCGTATAAAAATAAATAAAAATGATGACGTTGACTAGTGCGTGGGATAACAAATAGATCAGAATATCGAGATTTTCTGTTTTTGTTTATTTTTAAGAAACGGATTGTTTAATAATTTTAATAACATACAAAAGTGACGAATTCGAGAAACTACGTAACTCAAAGTTTTAAATTAATATTTGAGTAATGTTTCTTGAAATGCGGTATTCCTTGACAAATTTATTTTCAGGACTAGTTATTTTTGGGAAAAGTGTTATGATGTGATTTTTTATTGAAATTTGGCCAAAAGTCATTCAAGGCATCTGCCAGATTTTTAACCAATTTTTTGGAAAAATCATCGACCACTTCGGGCCGAAAATTACAAGTAAATTGTCGAAAATCGCCGAAATTTTCTCTTATCCCTTTTTTGATCTCTGTAAAAAATATATTTTCGCTACAATAAGTCTCGGTTCAAAAAACGCAAAAATTTTTTTGTGCCAAAGATCCTCGAGTACAATCAAACATATTTAATATATACATGTATACTTTAAATACTCGGACTCCTTACCGATTCGTCGTCATTTACTAACGGATTTCTGTACAAATGAATCTTTCAAATTCTTTTATCCGAACTAGAGGTGGCAATCGGGCCGGGCCGGGCCGAATTTTGCGGCCCGGCCCGCGGGCCGAAGTGACCAGGCCGGCCCTGGGCTTTTTCAAATTTGCTCAGGCCCGGCCCGGCCCGGCCCGGTGAAAGCCCAGGCCGGCCCGGCCCGGCCCTGTTTGGCCCGCTACTGAAAAAAGGTTGGATAAAACTCTATTCACTCTCTACTGGAACTTTTTATGCTTTCCAGCGGGGTTTTACGTCAATATGAGTGGAATTAAAACGTCTAGTCGGCTCGACTGGAACAGCCGAACAGGTACCTAAAACCTAGCCAAAAAGTTGAATTGTGTCGATTTTTTTTGTCCTATAGGAAGTTAGCTATGAAAATATGGACGTTATGAGGCTACATATTTAATCAAAAACTGCGTAGATGCGTTCATTTACATCAAGGAATCAAATTACAGTGAAATGTTTAAGTTTATCATCAAAAATTCGAAGATTTGCACGATCCTTGCATATTTGGGTGGGAGTTTACATATACGTAATCATGGATTTTAAAGGGTTTGAAAAGGTGGTAAAACGGTATATAAGTCAAAAAGGTTTAATTTAATATCCATCCATCAATTCTGCTAAGCATTTGTGCTTTACTTTGCTGGTTCAGTATTAATTTTTTTCACTTATCCACCTTCCGGGCCGGGCCGGGCCGAAATTCTCGGCCCGGCCGACGGGCCGAAGCGGTCAGGCCGGCCCTGGGCTTTTTCAAATCTGCTCAGGCCCGGCCCGGCCCGGCCCAATCACCGGGCCCGGCCGGGCCGGGCCGGCCCAGCCCGATTGCCACCTCTAATCCGAACATAAAAGAATTCTCATTCAACTCGTATTTACAACATTTTACATAAACACAGACAATTCTTTATGGTACCCGGATGCTAAATCTTTTCCCGTCACCGCCCACTCTATATATACACCTCAAGACTTTCCATAACTTTTTGTGGGTTTAAAAATGTCACTTCAAAAAATCCTTTATGCCATCAACTTTATGGTCGACTGCACGGTGTTCCGGAGAGTTTTTTGGGGTTTCAAAAGGGATTTAAATCCAGATAAGACCCGGATTTGCGTCAGATTCCTGTGCATTTGGCAAATTAGTTTACTGTAATTTGAAAATGCATCCCTTTGCATCCACTCTCTCACCAAAAATAGCAAACGTCTGTCCTCTCTTAAAAACCCGCGCTATTTCTGGTCAAAACGAGGATGCAAAGGGATGCATTTTATTGCATCCAGGATGCATTTGGATGGTTTTTTTGCAACCTACTCTGATCCACGTGGCAAAAGACACTGTAAAATAAATGTAGAATTCAGTAAAATCTAACAGTTGCACTTCAAGCTCTTGTGTATTTCTAAAAGCTTCTTTAAAATAGTGGGTCATCGATAAAATCTCTAAAGTAGCGGTTTCTTTTCGGGTTGTTTAAAGTAAATTATTTAGCTGTTAGAATAAATTGAAATTACAGTAAATCTTATTACATCCAGGATGCATTTGAATGCGTTTTTTTCCACAGAATCACGGTCCGAGACCGCAAAGGGTACTAAAAAAATTTTAGAATTTGAGCTCTTGTAATTTGCTTCTCTAAATTTTTTAGCCCTTCTGTGAAAAAAATTTTCCCTGCATCTCTTATTGACTTGAAAATTTTTTGCCTTATGGATCCCGAATAATGATGTTTTTTCTGTAAAATCTTACGTTTTTCGTGGATACCAAGAATTCCGAGAATTTCCAAGCCGGATTTGACCCACATTACTGAATTTAAATATTAAATCTCCCGGAGATTATCGCTTTCACAAATCGGCCGATAAATAAGCACACGAATCTGAGTGAATTTAATCCCCTTACAAGACCATTTCAGGACAAAATCTTTGGGTAATTCATGAGGAGTTTCTCATGAAATGACGTATTTTACCGTATTCTCATATGCTTATGGCGATTGTTTCAAATTTCTGGCATGACCTGCCTGCGTAACAATTGTTTCATAAATATAATATCTTGAAACTTATTATTCTACTTTACAAAAAACCCTATTACACATAGTGCCAGACTCATATTTCGAAAAAGATTCAATGTTATTTATCTCGAAACCCTCATTCTTCTATAGTTTTACAGACATTTAATCCTCAATACCTTCGCCTACACCACATAATCCAATGTTTTAGACCCTTCCGGTCTTGCTGAACGCATTACTACGTCAGATTCGGTGGGGTCTGTCGTTTTTCGGCCCGAGTGAATTTTGTCGCCAAGCAGTTCCCGAAAATGACGCGTGCTTTTATTAGACTTGCAATTGAGAATATTTAACAGAGGTTTGCATAGGGGATATCACTAGGGTCCAAAAGTTTTTGGACTTTCGGCATGGATAATTTATTTTCGCGTCTTTTACTGTAATACGTTCAAAATCTATATTTTTAATCAAAAAATTTTTTCAGGGCTCAATCACAAAATGAACCGAATTTGTGTTCAACTGCTTTTATATATTGTATTCCTAGTTTTGATGGTGTCGAGGTGTACATGTCTACCACAACGACATTTCGCACATCCCTATCCCACAGAATTCAAGATTATTCTTCCGACATTCCCAGAGGAGTCAGTTTGGAATCGAATAAGGCGAGACGATGAAGATGATAATTTGGGTAGGTCATAATGAAAATAAAATTTCTCTATTAGGGTCGAAATTTCGAATGCTATTTTTACAGCCTTTGTACAGCAAAATCTCTCTATAACGGACAATTTCAGAGGTCTTAAAAGTAAATTTTAATCCAAAAATCATCCTTTGTATAACAAAAGCCTTTGATAACGATAAAATTTTTTTGGTCTCATGGGATTTATTGTACGGAGGTTTCCCAGTCTCCCATGAGCTTTAGAAACCCCTATTCCAACTTTTTCTAGGCTCCATTAAAACCTGAGGAACTTTTCTGTAACAGTTACAGTGGCGGACCTGATCCATTGGCCAAAAACGTACCATTTTGCGTCCGGGAAGTATCAAAAATGCAGCAAAATACCTCCCTCTCCAATTGAAAAAACACCGATTTCAAAAACGCGCCCACTCTTTTTGTGAGAAAGAGAGCGCGTAGTTCAAAACGGGTTTGTTTTAGTTGGAGAGTGAGGTATTTTGCCACATTTTTGATACTTCCCGGATGCAAAACGATACGTTTTTTTTTGCCACTGGATCAGGTCCCTGTATCTAACCTCAGGGGTGGTCAGCGGACCCTATTTTTTCGATTTTCGGCCCGCGGCCCGGCCCGTCTAATTACCGGCCCGGCCCGTCTAGTCTTTTTCCAGGCCCGGCCCGGCCCGGCCCGTGACGGGCCTGACCCGGCCCGGCCCGGCCCGTGCAGGCCCGTTTATAGAGGGTTCTGCGAACTGCGCCCAAGCTTGGGATCTAAACTTAGGCAAAAAAGGCGTTGATATAGCTAGTAAAGGATCAATTTGATAGTTTTGTGGTTTTATAATGAAACTATAGACTTGTAAACGTTTTAGAACTTGAGAAACAGCAACTATAACAACATCAATTAATTTTCCCGGCGCGAAAACAATGAATGCCAACGGTTTGGCATTGTAATTTAGACGGGCCGGGCCGGGCCGGAAAAAACCCCAGGCCCGCGGCCCGGCCCGTGACGGGCCCGGCCCGTTTGTAATTTTCCATTTTTGAGCCCGGCCGGCCCGTTTGGGCCGGGCCGGGCCGGCCCGTCACGGGCCGGCCCACTGACCACCCCTGTCTAACCTAACCCACTCCTAATTCCCCCACTTTCAGCCAACTTTTCCTTCGATTCACAGCCCCAAATGGTCGAAAAAATCGACCCCAAAGTGCACTATCCTTGGTGGCAAAACTCGCCTTATCGATTATCCGGACGCTAAGATACGACGTCCAGCCGCTATGGACTGTCTCAACTAGCTTTAAAATTTTTAAAATTACTTTTTTTGCTTTAAATTTAGTTTCTTTCCCTTTCAAATGTACAAATTGTATCACTGACAAATGCTTCTACTAATAATCGAAGAATAAAATAAATATTTTATTTCGCTATAAAGAACAATATAACATTCTATGATGACCCAAACAGCTGGCATTCCCGTTTGGACGGACCAGTAATTTCTAAGCGGCACGAATTCGATTTACCCGTACTTTTGACATAGAAAGATTGTTAGTAAAATCAAGTTGATATAATAAAATTTGGGGGCTTTAGAAAGAAATTCTGGACCAGCTTCGTTTTCGTTCACGGTTTCGTTTTTTTATGTCGTCATTGGCTTCGAATTCGTTGATGGCATTCGGGTTTTCGAGCATGGCTTCGAATTTTTTGACAGTGTCTCTGAAATCGGCTCAACTTTTGTTTTAATTTTCTTAAGAAATTGTGAAATTTTTGTTGTTATTCAGAGCTCACTTAGCGAACCAAAAAAATTTTCCTGATAAAATATAAATTTTATACCTAAAAATCGCTCTCTGAATCTCTATAATATTCTCACTACAGAATATCGGTCCAATTTTCATCCCAATTTCATCAAATTCTCTCGCAAATTCCACTCACCTTATAAAGAGCAGATCATCAATTCTGATATTGTATGTCTTCCAATTTAAAATGGTCAACAATCTTATGTAATAATCAAAGTCTTCGTCTCCTCCATTTAGGAAACTGATATCAACGTTGGGGAGGTTCTGGAAGATCGTCAGGAGCCCTCTGATAATCCAAATAGCGCGCATTCCCTGATCTTCACGGCTCAGGGAAATCCGACGGGATTTTGGAGCGTCCTAGAAAATAAATTTTCAAATCAAAAAAACTCATTGAAGAACTAAAAAATCCCAAAAAAAAGCCCTTTCCGCAAAAATTCAAATCAAAAAATTTCGCACCGTGCAAATTTCAAAAATTAATCATGCACCGTGCATAAATTTGCAAGTTTTTCAGCTCAAACCTTCGCACAGTGCGAGAATCGCGATACCGAAAGATCAGAGTGCAAAAAGAGAATCGCAATTTTTTCTCTTCGGACCGGAAACCAGCGACAAACAAAACGCACTGTGCGTTTCGCTCGAAACTTTCGCACCGTGCAAATTTCAAAAATCAATCTTGCACCGTGCATGAATCTGCAAGTTTTTCAGCTCAAACCTTCGCACAGTGCGAGAATCGCGACACGGAAAGGGCAGAAAGCAGCCAGGAAATCGGCGCTTTTCTTTCCCTTCGCTCTGAAAATCAGCGACAAACAAAGCGCACTGTGCGTTTCGCTCGAAACCTTTTCTGCACCGTGCAAAGTCAAAAAAAGGGTTCATCTCTTCCGAGAAGAAAAACCTGCAGTAAAAACGTTCATAAAATGCAAAACCAATCTTTTTTAAATTCAAAAAAAATGTACTGCGTTCGAAACACTCAAATTTTCAAAAAATCTCACCTCAAAAATTTTGACCAGAATCCTATGAGAGCATGTTCTTCCATACTTCGTAAAAGAACGCCTCGAAGTTTCCAACGGGACCAAATAAAAGTCGATTACATTACACTTCACTTTGCTTGGACCAATTTTTGTTTTCATTCGATCAAAAAACTTCAAAAAGTCGGCCCATAATATGACATTCGGAAGTTCTGTATCTCCCTTCTGATTCGCAGAGGTCTTGATCGAAATTTCCAGGCGATTCGTCGGTGGATTCGTTGATGAATTCGTGGTTGAATGGACTCGGGCCATCGACGAAAGGAGTGGTTTGTTATTCTCTTTTCGATTTAATGATGATGAATGGATGTTGAGACAGAGATGTTTCGACTTGAAGCAGTCTTTGAAGCCCTCGGGGGGCTGAGTGTGACCTCGGATCATTCGATTGCAGCCCAGTTTGGCCAAGGCCCGCTTGGCGCCGGCGGCTTTAAAATAAACACCAATTCCTCGAGGGCATGCGCCGTAATTTACATCAAAACTGAAACATTGGTAACTAGATAATAAGTAGAATATATTTTTTACCTTAAATTCCAATTTTCATTAAAAAATTTTAGCAAAAAATCACCTAAAAACCAAATTTTTGTCTTTTCTGAAGCTAAACAACTATCAGAAATTCCAATAGATCACCTTCAAATAATTTCTAACACCTCTGCTTTCTATTCCTACCCGTATCTAATAATTTATCAACAAAATAAAAATTTTTATATTACCCACAACCAAAAAACGTGTTCCTCGAAAAACTAGGCCAATCAAAACCTCCAAACCCAATTCCCCCAACAATCCTACCTTCCATCCTCTTCTCCCTCATCTCCCATATCAGGATCGGACCATAGAATATCGGTCAACATCAAGGTTTCGGGCAAGGTCCTTCGATCTCCATTTTTGGCCAATTTCTCCAGAGAATCGGGGCACAACTCCATCCAAGGCGAAACTCCGCCATGTACACAGTATATTTTCTCTGAAAGTAAATAAAATAAATAAAAAAAAAACATGAAATCACTAGATTTTTTTGACTTTTTTACTTGGAGTCAAGTGTAAGATAAAAATGGTTTGAATGAAGAAAAAAAGGCATCTTTTTTAATTCTAGTAAGATAGACTAACACGAGTATGATGTAGAGAGAATATTAATATCATTTCCAACTGCATGAACATCCAAGACAACATAAAATTAAGAAAAACTTCATCTGATACCAAGTATAATATAAAACACCTATATTTCTTCCAAACTAGAAGTAAAAATTTCCGGTAGTGTTCCCCTTAAAACCGCTCATCCATTAAAACTTCCAAAAACCTTAAAACTCACCTCCATTGCTGCAGTTTTCCCCATCCAATCGAGCGATTATTGGCATTCGATCGAACACACAGTTGAAGAGCCCATCAAACTCTTTCCCAAGTTGAGAACGACACTAAAATTGGAAAGAAAAATAAGAAAGAAGCTATAAGCTTACCTGGCGTCCAAATTGATTGCCGAGATCAGGGGTTTCATGGTTTCCACGGAGAAGATGAACATTATCTGGGAATGAGATTTTGAGGAGAAATAGGACAATTAGAAGCTCGATAGCATTCTTCCCACGATCAACGTAGTCTCCTAAAATTATTTTATAAGTTTTGTCGAATTTTAAAATGATGCTAGATGCCCTTTCAACAAAAACATTATTTTAGGTAACACTTCCACTTTTGTTGCAATTAACATGAGGAACGTCAACCACGTCACTCAATCCGATCAAATAGGATCGCAGAAGTCCCAAACAATCTAGCAAATCCTTCTCCGCATGGATCACTCACACAAAAAAATGTATCTAAACCCAAAAACAAAGCAAACTATTTTTAAAAACTTACCCAAGAACAAGAGGTCGACATCCTGACCCTCGAGATCTTTGAACCACAGCAGCAACTGTCTGATGTCACCGTGAAGATCAGAATAAACGCATCTGGGTCTGTTGGTTACCTTCAAATCAACGATAGTTCCTTCGCTTTTGAACAGAACGGCAACATGAGACACTATCTAAAAGAAACAGATAGAGTCATTTGGCGTTCATTAGCGGTTTCCTAGACGTGAAAGAAACAAAAAAACGAAAGAAACTCACTCGGTTTAGCCAATCTCTGGGAAATCCTTGAGCCACACTGGATCCCATCATTCCCAGCTCTACGACTCGTCGAATCATGTCTGAACATTCTTCTGGACTCACAGGACCTTGCTTACTGCCAATTTGGGCCGAGTTCTCGGCACCGTTCATCCTAAAAAATTTAGAATAATAAAAATTAATACCTAAAATTTTTATGTTGCCTTGAAGGGCAGAATGAAAAAGCAAAATTAAAGTAATAACCGTATTTTACAAAGAAAATAACATATTTCATCAGACTATAACAAAAAATCCAAACATCACCGACTTTCCGATATTATTTTAGGTAGTTTTCCTCATCTAAAATAAGGTAACCTAGGCTATTTTTAGCTATAAAAATGTTGCTTATCAATACGTTTGCAACACTTTTCACTCAAAAATGTCTGACTTGAAGCGGCAAACACATCAAGAAAGGGCTTTCGAAGTGCCTTTGGGTCAAAAAACGAGACAAAACTAGGGTTTCCCGGCCGTCCCCAAATAAAACAGCGTAAACAAACTCCGTGCATTCAAAAAAGGGTAAATTCTTAATCCACATTTGTCTTCATGTCCGGGAACTTGATTAGAAAGTCAAAAACACCTTCTGTTCTCGGAAATTTTCGTTATTTTGGTTCAAAAATCAATTTTTTGCGAAAAAATCTCGTTTTTGCGGATAAAAAGTGTTGAAGATCGTAAATCGAAAAAATAATGTGATAATAAAAGCTATGACAAAGTAAATGGGACATTATAATGCTTGCCGAAAAGACAAATTTGAAAATTACAGAGGACAAAGTGGAGGAAACTTGAGAATTTTTGCGTTTTTCCTTCGTAAAAAACCGAGGCGAAAGGGAAGGGAAATGGAAATCCAACCACCGCTGAAATCGGGTCTTTCGGAACTGGGACGATTGGGGAAAAAGACGATTGGGGAAAGGGACGATTGGGGAAAAAGACGATTGGGGAAAAGTACGATTGGGGAAACCGAAAAGTATTATTTTTCTTCCATGCAAATGTCGAAGTTAGAATAATCGAGGGTGCTCATTTCGAAAATGACATTCATTTTTTTGATTTTTACTTTTTTCCTTAAGTAGTACTGTAAAGTAGTAATTTTTGATTTTTTTTTCATAAATACTCGATTTAGGGGTTTTCGAGGGTGCTGATTTCGAAAATCATGTAAATTTTTCCTGTAGTACTACATAGTACTATTCTGATACTATATAGTACGAAGTGAAAATATGGCTTTTGACGTTAATGGTGTTGTTTTTATGCTTAGTACTCTTCAAAAACACGTTTTAAAGACTTGGTGCTATATAGTACTGTCTGATACTATGTAGTACGAAGTAAAAATAGGCGCACTAAGCACCAGAACAACACCACGAACGCCTAAAGGCCAACTTTACACCTCGTACTACATAGTATCAGGTAGTACTGTATAGCACCAAGTCTTTAAAACGTGTTTTTGAAGAGTACTAAGCATAAAAACAACACCATTAACGTCAAAAGCCATATTTTCACTTCGTACTATATAGTATCAGAATAGTACTATGTAGTACTACAGGAAAAATTTACATGATTTTCGAAATCAGCACCCTCGAAAACCCCTAAATCGAGTATTTATGAAAAAAAAATCAAAAATTACTACTTTACAGTACTACTTAAGGAAAAAAGTAAAAATCAAAAAAATGAATGTCATTTTCGAAATGAGCACCCTCGATTATTCTAACTTCGACATTTGCATGGAAGAAAAATAATACTTTTCGGTTTCCCCAATCGTACTTTTCCCCAATCGTCTTTTTCCCCAATCGTCCCTTTCCCCAATCGTCTTTTTCCCCAATCGTCCAACTCCGGGGTCTTCCAAGTGGGGGAGCGCTCTCTTGTGTTGCTGGTCGGCGAAACCATGCTGGTGTAAAAGTTTGGTTCGCGCTTTGCAGAAGCCACAATATGAAAAATTTAGGGACAAAAAAACTTTATAAGAAAAATTACAGAAAAAGATCAAATAACAGTATGCCACATTTTTTTGCATCCCAAATTTTCGCGGTGAGGCCAATGAAGTTCGCTGGTTGACTGTGCGCAGTTTTCTCCTCTTTTTCTCACGAGCTTAGAAAGCGTTCAAACCGCGTCCCGACTTCGAGTCGACAACAGTTCGGGTCAACACAAAATCAATCGATACTAGTTTAGGGCGGGTCGATGCCAAAAAAAGGTTGTAGGAAATCCCTACGAGGCCTGGCGAAGCTGTTGGATGGTCGGCGGACGCTCGGCGAAGGCTCAGCGGGGACTTGACTTGCGATATGTCCACTTTTTCTATATAACTTTGGCTATGACTAACATCAGTTTTCTTTTTCCTGGGTTATTGCAACATACAAAATTCCAAAATTTTTAGCAAAAAACGAAGATCCGTAACTTTTATCTAGAAGTTATTGATGTGAGTACTTGTAAAATACCTCAAAATGGTGATAAGCTAGGACACTATCAATCTTATTATTTTTACTAAACAAGCGTTCTCGAAGCCTCCATCATGCATGCAATGACGAACCGACGCGATCCATAGTATCGTTGACCCGAATTGTCGCTGACACGAAAATTCGTAGCACCCCACGCAACTCCTTGCCATTTCCCACTGTCTGAATTTCCCATATCACGAAACAAATTCAGTCTCTGTTCAAGTTTATTACTATCAAAAAACGTATCGAAATATGTACAATATTGCTAAAATAGCGTTGAGATTCAGTCTTCGTAAACAACAAGGCTGTACAAAACAAAACGAAAAAAATTATCCGAAGAATCCATACGATCCATAGGGCGACGGGTAATTGTTGTAGCTGTTGTAGAAAGCGGACATTGGTGGGAGCTCTCCGCCGTGAGGTAGAAGAACAGTGCCGCTGGCAGTTCCATCAGCTCCCAATATTTGTGCTGACACTTGGCTGAGGGCCATCATGAGGAGGATCAGTGAGAAAAGAAGACGCTGGATTTGTCGGACGGGCATTGTGTTATTGTTAGGGCTTGATGGAGTTAAAGGAATTTTAAGTGCTCGTAAGGAGTAGTATGGGCTTCTAGGCAAAACAGAAGTAGTAGTAGCTGTCTGAAATGTACAGGTAATTGATACAGTAATAAAAACTGAGTAAAATATTCCGAATGATCGTAAAGTAACGCGATTACATATTATTTTGATTACGATTTAATAACGATGGGAGTTTTACAAAGTTTTTTACTTTTAATTTTTACTTATTTAGATTCCGTCCCCACATATACATCACTAAAAATTTTTAGCCCCCGCTTTACAGGAGATATTCAAAAATCTTTGCTGACGAGAGAGTACACAAAATTCGGAGAGCGGTCATACAAAAAAAACCCCAAAAAAATCATAGATCAAGAAATCAGTACGCTGGACCTTCCAGAACATTCGACGAATCATCCCCCAACTGCCTGAACACATTGTAATAAGCAGCTCTTTATATACTCAACAAATCGATGAATGGTCAACAAAATTCCACGGAAAAGTGGGCGGAGAGAAAAGGGGACGAGGAGCGAGAAGCGATGACAATTTACGGTAAACTATCTCCGTCATTGTTCTATGATCAAAAACTGTTTAGTTTAGAGTTTACTGGGTTCTTTGATGTGAGTAGTAGCCACCCGAATTTAATTCAAAAACATTCGAAGATTTATTTGAGAAAAGTCACGTTCCGCTTGGCTATGTGAAACTAGTGGAGCAGTAACAAGTGACACACCAAGTCAACTTGCCAATTTATGGTCATATTTGCGCAGTCGGACTATCTTTTAAATTAAATACGAACCCGCGTATATTTGATCCCAAAAAACGGCAATCACAATATACTTTACGGCTGACTATGGGATGCTACAAGTCATTGGCATCCCAATGATGACCGTTGAATCGGTGTCCAGTCCGCACTAATCCGTTTACCAAATCGCTGGAGTGATTTTTGCGACATTCAGTATAAGAAACAGAAGTGCTGCTTCCACTGTGCATTTTTTTCTTTTTGCACCATGCAAAAGGATTTTTTGGACTGTCGCCTGGGCTGCACGACCCTGACTTTTTTTACACAATACATGTTGTAGTAGTCACTCCAACGATTTTGCGAACGAACCAGTAAGTTCTCCATATCGGAGCTTTAATGAAAGGCTCTTAAAAGACTTATGCTTACATGTATCCACAGGAACGCTATATTTATATAATTTCTCTTCATCAAAGCCTTTGGCTATTTCTTTTAGTATTAATTGAAAGCCATAGATATACAAAAGAAGCTGTTTGTATATTAAAAATTTTATTTCAGTTTTGCGACCAAATGATGTAGCATTAATGCAATGCTAACAAAATGTAGAGATTCAATCTTCAAAATATTACTATACATAATTAGAAATGAACAGTTGGTGGAGTCTAGCCGAAGAATCCGTATGGCGAATACGCCGACGGTGCGCCGTTGAATGCCCACATTGGTGGGAGCTCTCCGCCATGAGGTAACAGAACAGTGCCACTCGCCGTGCCATCAGCACCGAGTTGGGCGGAGACTTGGGCGTAGAGGAAGAAGAGCAAGATAAGAGGGAGAAGAAAAAGATGCTGGCTCTTCATTTTTTAATAGGTGAGTATCTGTGGCTAGGGGAGTCGATAAACTGTTCTCGGAAGAAAAAGTGGCTGTGGAGAGTTCTGAAATCACAATATTAGTTCAGTGCTTGATGAGCAAGCTTATGATTATATAGGATCTACGATAAATACGTAAATATTGGTCATTCAAAGACAAGAACATGGCTAAAACAATCGAAAATTTTGTTGTGGAGTCTCACAATCGAGTCGAATTGGAAAATTTCTCTGTATGGTATGAACATTTTATAAATGAAGTCCCTAGGTAAGTATTATATAATATATATCTAATCAGGTACATTCCATGTTGCAGAACATGTAACCCCTCTCAAAACTCCGACTGTAGATACATTTGAGATTCTTTATTTTCATTATTATGTACAATATCAATGAGTAACAATGGTATTACAATAAAAGGCAATTGAGATTCGATCTTCGTATCAACAAGATTATTATGCCAAATGCTTCATCCGAAGAAGCCATAAGGCGAGTAGACGGGTCCAGGGTTGTTGAAGACCGTCATTGGCGGGAGTTCACCGCCGTGAGGGAGGAGGACAGTGCCACTGGCGGAGCCGTCGGCTCCCAGTTGCGCCGACACTTGACTGAGCGCCATGATGAAGAAGATCAAGGCGAAAAGAACTCGTTGGATCTGTTGAACGGACATGATTTTAGGTGGTTGAGTAGATGTAAGCAAAGGTTTGTAAGGGAGTTGAAGTGAGCTTTGAATGTAGCTTGGGGTTTTATAGGCTTCTGAAAGGCGAAATGTTACAACTGGTTAAATGAGCACGATAAAACATCAATCACGCGAATTCAATGATCACATCTCGTATGATCTCTCATTGAAAGACAACAAATTTCAACGGGGTTGAAAAAATATGACCTAAATGTTATTCAGAGATCAGTTGGGGAAGTTCTACGTCGTCTTCGTTCGAAATTTTCGAGAAGCCGCCAAAAGCTTGATTAATTGAGGCTGAGGGAACATTGCCAGCGGCACAGAAGTCCACTCTATACATCTTCCATCATCTACAACCTTATACTTGCCTTCAGACCTAACCTAATAGCCCATCCTCTGTTCCATTGCCCTCTTCTTGCCCTTGGGCTTTCCCAACGGCACAATGAAACACTGATGACACTCGGAGCGAGGTCGTCGCTTATAAAGTACGTCCGGTTCGTACGGTGTAGATTCTCGAAAAGTCACGTCCGCCCATTCAAATTCCCTTCGCCTGCGATTTCCCGCACTTGGCCCCGCCCTCGGCGGTTTTCACCAACTTTCTGGAAAACAACGAAGCCGATAGTTTGTGGTTGGGTGTAAAGTCGAGTGCGCGATGTGAAAAACAGAGCGGAGGCGAGTGGGGGAGCTTCGCCGCACATGTCTTCCGAGTCGCCAGAAAGTGTTTACCAACGACCGCTGACGCGTTGATGGATGGGCTTTCACAGTCCGCGTCATGTGGTTTTCGGAGTGTTATCTGCGGCCATGATTCATCTGTCATCGGCGTTTCGATCGAGTTCGATTTTTTGAGTGGAGTGTGAATGGATGATCTCTTGCACTAATGAACAAAAGAGAAGTGGATCTAATGGCTAGTCTGTTGGATGATAAATCGTAAAAGCTCTGTGAGCTAGCTGAGGAAGGAGCAGAGGAAGTGTGACGTTGATTTCGCGCAAATGCCATTAGCCTGTGGGCCATGAAGTTTAGGATGAAGAGGACTGCCAAAGAATTACCGATTTTAAGTCGTTTTCTTGGCAATTTGAAGAAAATTTTTTTAAATTTTTATTTTTTAGTTTTAAATTTTAGATTTTGTTTTGTTCAGCAAAAGGTGTTCAGTTGGGAATATATCCGAAATTTTTGAGTCATGAAAGACTCTGAAAAGACAGTTGTTGATGCCATCGATGAAAATGCTGAACAAATCAACAACAGCGATCGCTCGCTACTCAGTTTTTTTCCTTTCAGGTCCGGTGTTGTCGAGTAGACCCTAAGGGGCAATGAGGACGACAGTAAACAAAGAACAATGTTGAATAGGAACTGTGCTCTGACGATGATTAAAAAATATTTTCCACAAAAGCATTCTTTTAAGCAATAACGCCAATGCTTGAGGTTTTAGGAATTTGGTCTTACACCCGCCAAAAATCTGACTTCAAATATCCCTCCCTCGCCTTTCGCCTTGTTGCCAATTTGCTTCGGGGTATTTTTAATGCTGTTTTCACATCTTGACATTCAGTCTCTCTGGCAAAAAAGTCAACATCCGTATTTTACATTATCATCAAATTGCGAACCAAAAGAATTTCGAACTCTCTTTCCGAACTTCGATCGATCAGTCCTTGTAGCGGAACGTCGATGATGAAAGAGCCATCTAGTTTGTGTTGACATTTCGGTCGGAGCTTTATCGCTGATCCCCTCTTTAACCAATCAGAACGATTATCTTCACTTGCTTCGGGGGATTCTGCAAAATGGGTTCGAAAGCGATGATAATGGTAGTAATTGATTTGTTTGCACCTTTAGCGGAATGATGGCATCTTCGGGAGCAAAGAGTCTGCATTGGAATTGCAGTAGCAGCTTGCTAGCGAATTTTGGGAGTGGTTCGTTTTACAATTAAAGAGGTCTTTAGACCTTGAGTTTCTTGATAGATCGCTGAATGGTTTGGGAAATCAAACAATTAAGTGTTACAAACTGTTTTTAATATTTATGTTGTGACAAACAAGGAGTTGTGGACGTTATAGACGTCTGGATAATATTAGTTGTAACTTCTGTAGACATTGAAAACAACATATATATATATATATATTTAGCGATCCTTAACAAAATTTAATATCTTGACTGCAGATGTAATTTCAACCACCTCAGCATGGCCCATGACTATTTAAAGGGTCTTTCTGAAACATGAAGGAAAGTCGGAGGCAATAACTGTCGGCGGAGGCGGCGCAGAGAATTCGTTTTTGGAATATGTATTTTTAAGCGACATTATTTTTTGTTTATGAAATAACAAGATTTTAAAGTGCCATCTGAGGTCGCTACGACCTTCTAAAGTAGGGGTATCCCTACCCCGAAAACCAGTGTTTTTCGGTTGAAAATGACCGAGAAATTTCGTATTCCAAAAATGAACTTTCTGCGCCGCCTCCGCCGAAATTCATAGCCTCCGACTTTCCTTCACGTTTCTTGCAAGACCCTGTAAGCCATGTTCCAGATAAAATTGACTAGTCAAGAATCTTGAACAAAAACAAAGCCCTTTCTTGATGATTAACACACCACCCCAATCTTGTTTTCATTTTAAAAGCTCGATGAATTGCAACGTTTGTTGTCATTGAAAGACTAAAACACAATGCAATCACAGCCCTTCCGTTGTAAAATTCTCCCCAGGGCAAGCCGATGATTTTCCAGCTACGGAGAGAATTTTCTGCAAAGGAATTGAAAATTGTTAAAGCGATCAACAATGTGATTGTCCTTGTGCAACGTAAAAAATAAAAGAAAAGTTCACTATACATTTGAAAACTTGAAATTTTTATAACATTTTGTCGGTTTAAGCTTGGGAAGTTTATGATGTTGCTTGAAAACGACAAATGTTTTCTGGATGGTCTCAGTTTTGGGGTTTAACTTCCGTAAAAAGTAGTTTATATTACGAATGTGAGAACCGTAAAATGTCATAAAAGAGATTGATGATAATGATTGAGATAACCGTAGTGCATTCAAAATACAAAACATTTTCTGGGTAGTCAGAAAAAGTTAACGGAAGTTAACCTTGAGAAAGGGATGGGATATTGATGGTTTTTACAATAGAAATACTGTAAAAATTTCTCATAATCTGATGAAAGTAGGCACAAATTAATGTTAAGCCTTCTTATGGCTTCTTCGAGATTTTTCGTCTGCGTTTTGTAGAAACAACCAATTTTTTTAAGATAGAAAACGTCGAAATACTTGACGATTTGATGTGGAAGTCTTGTAGTTGGGAAAAAACTTGTAGGAAAAAAAATAGATTCCTAAACTAATAAAATGATAGCACTGTAGCACCCTTTCTTCCTCGTTCAATATCTCGGATCCGTATACAAAATACGTACTAATATAATATTTCCTGAGATTTATACCTGGCCTATTTTGAATACGTCTGTAATCTTAAGTCCGATTTTCAAAGGCTACTCACAACAGCACCTTCTAGAATCTTCCCACTTTTTTATACTCTGAAAACAATTCTTGTTATAAAAAAATTACTCTGCAAATTACTCTGCAAAAGATTCTTGCAAAACAAAATTTTTGTTTTCCGCAAAGCCGTCGCTTCCTGACAATGTAAATTCCCATCCCCAACTCATGTCATGATGACCTATTTATTTTCGCGAACCAACCCCGTCAACAGACCATGCTCTCTGAACTGATTTTACTTTACACTCTTGTTACAACTCGTTAAAGTGCCCTTACAAAGAAGAATTCAGAGATAAACACACTTATGACTTCAAGTGTAATGCGAAGAAGAAGTTTTTTTCCCGCTGCCCCAACCAATGACGTCGTTAGAGCAAGGACTGGAAATTTTCGCGAATTTTTCTTCCATTTCAACGACTTCGTACGTTCGACAGATACTGATGTCGGATGATTGTTGTTTGAAATATTTGATGATAATAATTGTAACTTATTTGACGACAGTTAAACGTAACGTAGAAACAGTTCTACAAAGGCAAGTGTACCGGGTACCAGAAGCCTATTAAATCCAAAGACAGGCAAATTAAAGTTTTCTATGTACCCTTCCATCATACGATCAAAAAATTTAAAACAAATAGGTCCTATGAATCAAGAAAAATAAATTGCAAATAAAAGAAATAAACAAACAACATACGATGACGAAATTTTTTTGGTTTGACTTCTCCTAAAATCAGGGAAATTGTCAAAACTTGCTCTAGTAGGAAAAGTGCTCAACAACACTGTTAGAGTTTCAATAAAATTGGCACTTATCTATACACAGATTAATTTTTGGCGTTTGCACTGTGCAAAAAATCAGCGACAGCCCAAAAAACCTATTGCACGGTGCAAAAAAATGATAAATTGCACGGTGCAAGCTAAACTTTTTTTCTCACAGTGCGTCACGCCGATTTCAGTCTGGCGACTTCCAGAAACGTGCCGCTGAAGTGAAAAGCAATTCTCTTTTTCCGCGACACAATTAATTTTCTCGAAGACGATCTGATTGGGGATGCGAAATTGTGCCCATTATTTTTCCGACAGACTGATAGAAATCCATATTTTAAGTCCCTTGAAAGTCTAGCTTACACTTTGTCTGGACTTCCGATATGTTCCGCGATATTCTTCGACAGGATCCTCTGAAATGAAGAGAGCGAAAAAAAAGAAAGCATGATATTTCTCCCGAGTTTCACATGACAAAGCATCCTGTTGTAAAAGGATAAAGCTACCGCATCTAAACCCAAATGAATAGAGCCTTATACCATCAATGGGGCAAGGTTCTACAAAGTATATTACGGGAGATATACCCGGTTGATACTCTTTTCGGCCTACGGCTCTCCTTCGCCTATGTAAAGAGCACGATCACACTTCATTACAGGCTTCTTTGATCTTGTTTTATTAGAGTCTATGCATAATGAATGAAGTATTTTATTTTCCATGAATAATCTGATAAATCCCTTATGAATTTTTAGGTTTTTTAGCAAATATATCTTTGCCTTTTTCCACCATTATCACCATCGTTTCACGGGGTTTTCCTTTCCAAATTTCCTCTCAATTACCCACCAATATCATCAACAACACCACTGATTTCTAGAGTGTTTTCGAAAATTTGTTTTCATTATTTTCCCCCGAGAACATTCCCCATGATCACTTTGATCGCTGCGATTCCCACTTTTTTCTTTCCGTGGTTCTTTGCAATAAGGGACAACTTCTTCATCATCTGGTTTTATTTTTGTCGCCAGAAACGTAAAAAATTAAACTGCTCTTTAAAGATCCATCAACGGGAAGGGAGACGTTTTCGATTGCTAAATTTAGATCATTACTTTTTCGCTTGATTTCCGCTGAAAACACCATGAAACAGAGTGTAAATATCAACAAAAATAGATGGAAGAAGTGTAATAAACAAGAAGAAACAGTTATTTTTAGTGCAAATAGAAAGTGTCGAACAAAATGAAAATAGATTTTAGGGCATCCGATTAATGATCAGACAATTAAACTGAAAATTAAAAATAGAGGGTAATAGTTCAGAAGAACATAAAGAAAGGATCACAAAGTATGAAAAAATGAATCCAGATATTGATGATATAACATTTTGGATAGACCTATGCTAAGGTTCAAATAGTAAAAAAATTTATACATTCAGATTTCATAAAAATTTTTGTCATTGTCGTCTAAACAGGAAGGAGATGATTTCCATTGATATCTAATGATATTTTTTTTGAGCAACAAAAGAATCAGTCACACATGAAACGGGTTCTTTGCCAAGAACTTTCATATTTCTGTCCGGTAAACTTTGTTTTTCATCAAAAAATTTTACGCAGAGTAGTCAAAAAATAACATTTGTTATGCGGCGTGGAACAGTCTCTGTTGTGACAGTTCTTGCTGATGGTGCCATTCCCTGTTCCGCACATAACATACTAATGTATCTTCTGAACTTTATAGGAAAAAAATTTCAAGTGAACGGAAACCAAATGCCTTTGAATGCAACTGTAGAATGAATTTAAAGTATCATTTTATTGTCATCTTTAAAAAATTGGAATTGCAGTATGTATATAACCAAAACAAAATTTACACCGTGTCATCTTCAATTGCTCACACTTTCCGGCCCGAATCCAGCAGCTCTCTTTCCGTAGTATCCGTAGCCAGCGTATCCAGGGTATCCGTAGCCGTATCCGCCATATCCGGGGTACCCATAGCCACCATAACCGTAGCCTCCGTAGTATTGGGCACTGCTTTGTTCCACAATCACCACCAAGAGAAGGGCGAAAAGACAGAAGGCCAGGGATTTGGAGAACGCCATTGCAATGGTTGAACACAAGTGATGAGATTTTTACAATGCTTTTCTCGCATTTATACTCTTACAATATTTGCCCAATCAGTAGAGTAGGCTTTGGCAAATATTGCTCGCATTTCCCCGTTTATTCCGGTTAGCAAAGTTGAAGATTTGTATTTGAATAGTCAAGTTATTGTTTCAGTTGTTTGCCTTATACTTGGCCAAGAAGTTTTCCTGTTTCTTTTTGCAAAACAAACAAAAAATTGTTCCGCGCGCGCTCGTCAAACAATCCGTGAACCCGAAATAACCTTTGACGCCTGAATAATTGGAGAGGAAGAGGTGATAAGTGGTCTGAAGTGGTATTGCTTTAGGCAATAAGTAGATATATATGACTTTTTTCTTAAAAAATTTCTAGGTTTTACATCTTCTAATCCCAAAATTCCATTACATATTCAAAGACCTCTGTAAACCTACAACGTAATCGATATTAAAAGCTCATTTCAAGTCATCATTAAAGCCCCGTAAGCTCGCACGAAAAGTCACGTACACCGAATGTCATCTACTACACGTAGCACTTGCAAAAAATCACGTACAAGTCTGCAGAGAGCTCGCGGAAGAAGTTGATGTAAAAACGCCAAATACTTGATCAAACTAGAGAAATTTACGTGCAAAATCAAAGAGAAATTTTCGTATCGGTCGCTGAATTTGTTGATAGATTGGTGTTTTTGCAGTTGTAGTTTGGGAGCTATGAGGGTGGAAGTGGTATCATAGGAAGTTCGTCGAACAGTTGTAAATGCTCGAGGTGTAAACCGCATTGTAATTTGCACTTGTGTAGGAGAGCTTACAAACAACCATGTTGTCAAGGATTGAGCAAAAAATGTGACGATAACGATCATACGAAAGCAATATTTTGACAAAGAAATTACCGCCTATCGATAACCACAAAATTATCTCTAAACATGGTCCCAGGCTTGGTTGAGATTCCGTCTTTTTTTCTTCTCCCGCGCAAAGGTCTCTGAATAACTTTACTGCTCCCGCAACTGCAACAAGCGGGCTGAAATTCATTAGAAGTTACATACAACAAGCCTTGGTAGAGCCTTTATACAAACCATTAAGAAAATCTTTGGGCACATCGTTAACAATAGTATTAGACCTCCGTTGTTTTATTGAAAAACCAGTGATTGTCAGAAGAAAAAATCCCAACTTGTTCTCTGTTAAAGAATCCGTTGTCATCATATAACTGAAATTTATCCTTCAGTAATATTGAATACCACAAAGTATAAAAAATTTAATGAAGATCCGCATTGTAATCTCAAGCGATGTTGGCTCCAAATCACAGCGTTCTTTGATGCGGAAGCAGTGTTTTTTCATAGTCATCATTTATGTTGACGTACTTTGATGCTTGAATCCAGACAAGGCTCAGCTCGGCGCAAAATAGTCATCAATCGAACAGAGAACGTTGAGAACGTAATGCACAACAACACATCAATGAGCAAATAAGGAAATTTTTCAGCGTCCTGGACAAATTCGGTTTTGTTTTTGACACTTTTACTGTAGAATTGGTCTCTATGCAAATCACAGTTGTGTGCTTCGCAAAATGTAACATCAGGATATGCGTTTTTCAGAATTTGGTTCCAAAAACATGCCTTTACAATTAGTCGCATCTATAATATTTGAAAAAATGAATGATGTTAGTGACCGACGTATTTCGTATTTAATCTGGATTAAATATCTTGAGTTTGCGTGTTTCAGGTATAATGTGGGCCAAACAATCTCTTTTGAGGACAAGTTTTTCTACAAGCCAAAGTCAATGTTTGAAAAAAGAAATTCCAAGTGCGATCACCGCTCTCTGTCTGCTTTCTTTTTCAATTTTAGATTTGCAAGCATCAGTTAGTCAAGCAATTGCCGGTGCTTGAAAATAGGCTCTTTTCCGGCCTCAAGAGAGACGAAGAAGGTGTCTGGGATCGACGAGGATTCTGACGCAGTTTTCTTGTTAGCTTTCAAGTCCTTACCCTTTTGATCATTGCGTCCTTGCGCATTTGTATATCTTAAAATAAATTACGGTACAAGAGTCCAGAAATATTTTCCATTCCTCCTTTTGTTGAATTTCTTTTGAAACCGCCCAATCTCACGTGCAATATTCCTGTTTTCTGCAAGATATAGAAGAAACAGAACATAAAGCAGTTATACTCCCACTAAAACCATCAAGTTGAATAAGTTTTTGTGTACCGAGTATGTTTTGAAACAGCAAAACAAATAATTTAGACCTGATTAACCCCGACGCACGCAAACATTGGAATCGTATATAAACGCGAGAACTTACTACAAATGACATCAGCTTTACTGTTCATTCAATAATTGAAATGGCGTTCTCCAAATCCCTGGCTTTCTGTCTTTTCGCCCTTCTTTTGGTGGTGATTGTGGAGCAAAGCAGTGCCCAATACTACGGAGGCTACGGCTATGGTGGCTATGGGTATCCCGGATATGGCGGATACGGCTACGGGTACCCTGGCTATGGAGGATATGCTGGCTATGGATACTACGGAAAGAGAGCTGCTGGATTTTCGCCGGAAAGCGTCAGTAATTAAAGATGATGCTGTGTAAATGTTGTTTTGGTTATATACATACTGTAATTCTTATTGTTGAAACATGACAATAAAATTGATATTTTAAATTCACATTTTTCTGGTTGGATCAACGATTTTTTTTTGTGCATGGACTAGAAGGTCTCGTTCAATTCTAACAGTTATTTTTTGTATATGTTACGATGTACTAGCCCTTCCGGAAAGTCGCCGAACTGAAATTCGTGACACTCATTGTAAGAAACTTTCCGTAAGGATTAGTAGGGGGTAAATATGTTCCACATATATACATCAAAAGCTGTCACAATAAGCTCATGATCTCTTTAGGCCCGGAAAAAAAATGAGAATCCTTGTAAGCAACTAATATGGAGTATCTTACTGTAAACTTGGTTACAGAAGCACCTCAACAGATTGAGTCTTTCGTTCTCGACAGATTCGGTTTTTCAATCTTAAACGACCGTGATACATTTATATATTTTATTTTGAAAGTCAAAAAATTAGAGCTTTAAATTTATGCGGCAATATTATTGTTTGACATCACGAACTCCCTCAACTTTCTCCGCAGCACTTTTCCATTTGGGTTCCGTGGTATCGCCTCCACAAACTGAACACCTCCGGTGATTTGTTTGTAGTCCACAATGTCCACTAAAACAAGTTAAAGAAGGTCCAGAAAACTTACAATTTACGGTGTCAATGACTTCCTGCTCCGTTAAACTTTTATCCGCCTTTACAACGAACGCCCAAATACTCTCTCCCAGCTCTTCATCGGGCACTCCCACAACACAGCACTCCTTGATCTTCTTGTTCGTATACAGCAAGTCTTCCAATTGCCCTGGAGCAACTGATTTTCCTTGAACTTTGATCATCTCTTTCTTCCGGTCCACAATAAAAACGTTTTGATTCTCATCAACATAGCCAATGTCTCCTGTGATTAGGAATCCATCCTTGGTGTATAGCGCGGCAGTGGTCTCGGGGTTGTTGAGGTAGCCAATAGACATAGTCGGGTTGCGGAATTGAAGCTCTCCAACCTCATGGGGACTGAAAAGAGGTCAAAATTGTAAACCTAAAATTGTTGGCAAGCTCTTTGCATTATGTGATTACTTTGGACACAACGTCCTTTCTGTACCGGGCAAATTAATAACAATTTGAACAGTTTAAAAAAACAGGTCCAAAATCGAGGTCCCTCTGTTTGACATTCAAAAAAAGAATGTTAGTAAACCAATATGGACTTGAAATTATAAGGCCTAGGAGAGAAAACCACGTAGAATTTAATAGTATGAAAATAATTTTGCTGCACTTAAAAATTTTCGCGGCAGGACCCAATGAAAAAAGTTTCCATTTTTTGCGGCACCCTGTATATAATACTATTAAACCTTCCAAAATCAAAGATTTGTACCGTGCATAGTTGAGCTATGAGAATTGGCGCTTCTCACGATCTCTTACCCCAATTCCTCGCCCGTTTCAGCATCCACAATCCTCAGTTCCGTCCTCGGCACTAGCCTCCCAACCGAAGTGATTGGAGAGTCCACGTCTGAAGTGGTAATTACACCTTCAGTGAGGCCGTACATCTGTGCCACTTTCACATTACAAGTACTCATAAACTCTTTGGCAACTTTCTCTTTCAACGGCGCTCCGCCAGTCATCGCGGCTTGAAGAGTCGACAATTTGTCGGGATTCTGTTGTTTATAGTGAGTTAATGCCTGGAACAAGGCCGGGTGCCCAAATAACAGCCGTATCTTGTACTTGTCAATGCAGTGGAAAATATGGTCAAGTTCTGGCTTGCGGACAAAGATTCCGACAGCGCCGGTAATAAGGGTCACAAGAGTGATTCCATGGCCATAGGCAAAGCCTTGTTGCATGGTGATAAGGACTTTGTTGTCGCGCCAGTTCCAGTTGGGAAAGTGGGGTTTTAATAAGCGATCGGTGAAGACGCTGAAAGAAGAAATTTGTTATGAAAAATAAATAACTAAAAAATGATAAAAAAGGATCAATTAGTCTCACATACCTCACAAAGTTCCATTGCGCATACAAATTGTTGTAATGGGTTTGACATACTCCTTTGGGAAGGCCAGTGGTGCCGCTGAAAAGAATTTTCGTTATTGAAATATGGAAGAAAAAATATGATATCATGCCTATGGATGATTAATTTTTACTTTACCGTATAGAAACTGCAATAAGTTCATTCATTTTTTAAATTAAAATTCCGAAAGAAGCGACAAAGACGACTCAGCCAAGTTACCTTCACTTGACCTATCGTCAGTTTTTTACACCCCAAATTATTGTGTCTACATAGCTAGACAACATACAGAAACCGGCGTTTGTCCACAAAATCCTCAACTCACCTTGTTGGGGGCAGGAAGTACACACTTTTTTTGATGTCAATGTCGGCTTGAGGGAAATCCTCGGGAGCTATTTTCGAGACAAACTTGATGATGTCTTCAATCCGAACCACCGGAACTTTACGCGCCCTTTCTTTCACGTTATCGCCGACCGTGATGATGGTTTTTACCAACGGACATTCATCGAGAATCTCCAAAACCTTAGGGAGAACATGATCTTGACACATGACAAATTTCGCTTTACATAGACGAACTTGATGGGAAATTTCGTCTGAAAAAAAAGAAAAATCATCGATAAATTACTTCAGAATAACCTACAAGCGCTATTCTTCGGATACGCTCCGGCCACTCCACCGCCCAGCATACTTCCCGCCAACACCGCACAGACATATGGCCATCCGTTTTCGACCGGAGTCACAATGAAATCATCCTTTTCGAAGCCGTTTTTTCGCAAGAAATGAGCCAAAGACAAGGTCCGTTCAATAATTTGGGCTCCGGTAGTTACAATTCCAGTCAAAGAGTCGATAAACATTGGCTGGTAAGGTCGCTCTTTCTCATGCTTTCTGATGTATTCAAATATATATTCATGGACCCTTTTCTCAGGCAATGGGAGTTCCGGACAAGTGGATTTGTAAATCACCATGATCTGGAAGGAGGAATGTATATAGCTAGAATTTATGCAGATTTACAGGAAAAGCACAGGCATTCGATGAACTTCGAAGATGAGATGACTAAAAACGGCTGAAATTTTTTCCTCGTGGTTTACAATAGAAGCCAAAATCTCCGTAATGGGGTTTGTTATATAATGGGTACGTTGTCAAAAACGTGTTAGATGATTATTAAACTTGTCGCCTACAGTGGAGGAAATGATCCAGTGGTAAAAAACGTACCATTTTGCATCCAAGAAGCATCAAAAAATGTGGCAAAATACCTCCTTCTCCAAGTGAAAAAACTCAGATTTCAAAGGCGCACCCGCTATTTTTGTGAGGCAAAAGGGCGCGCCCTTCAAAACGAAGTTTTTTCACTTGGAGAGGGAAGCATTTTGCCACATTTTTGATACTTCCCGGATGCACTGTAACAAGGAGATCACCTCAAGATTTTATTTAAATTCTCCGCACAGTTTGTACCACTATCAATTACTAAAATTTTAGCTCTCATTTTGCAGTTGGGGCCAAGATATTCAACAATTTTTTTGTGGGCGAAAGAGAACACGAAACGCGGAGAGCGGACAGGGAGGAAAGCACTTTGGTACCCCTGTAGAGAGACTATTTCAATAACAGTTTGAACAGGACAGTCTCCGGTCCAACTCCTGAACACACCACGTGTGATTTGGGTATTTAAACCCGCAAAATATGCTTTGGAACTACGGTGATACCGGAATGTTTAACCGTCTGCCCCGAGGCAGCTTGACTGTAATCGTCGGCTAGAAGGTTCGTAGTTGATTGTTGAACTTCTTCCCGTCTAATCAGTAGCCCCCCGACAGGGGAAGCCCCACCATATCAACTCTCATTACCGTCAAATCATGCGGAGTAAAGGTGAAGAAAACAAAAGTTAATGTGGAAGTAAATATATGTGCAATCAAATGAAGAAATGGGCAAATGACAAACTCGCGATACTCTTTAACATTTGTAGGCATCAGTTTCGAAAGCGTAAGGGTATAAAAGTTACACAAAGAGATCTTTTTGCTGAAAAGACCAGTCTGCCGGGAAAATGGTGAACGGTCTGTCGCATCAAAAATCGCATCACCGTCGAGAAAATGAATTGTGTCGCGACAAAATCAAAATGATTTTTTTTTAATTCTACGCGATTGGCCCAGCGATTTGCGCCCACTATTTTTCCGACAGAGTGAAAGAACTGATATTAGCATTTTCATAAAGTGCATGGACATTTTGTCAGTTTCGCACAGTGTATCTTAAATTTTTTCCACAAGCTTGTCGACAACGTACAGTAGATCGCTCCCAGAGATTGCCACGGCTCCGGCGCCCACTCTGAGCGGCTCCAGCTCAGAGCCGGGAGCCAGAGCCGCTCAGAGCCGGAAATTTTGCGTACGGATCCGGCTCCCGAGCCAAAAGTCGGAGCCAGGCTTCTCAGCGTACAGAAAAGTAAAAATTTCGTGATCTTGTTAAACCAATTGCTTGAAAAATACTGGGAAGGATGTGTTCCGTACTTACGACTTGGCTCAAAAACGTTAGGTGTGTCATCTTTGGCACTAATAAAATAACTTATTCTTGCAAAAATATTTTTTAATTTTTTCGCGGAGCCGGTGCCAGAGCCGGAGCCGAAATTTTGACCGTGGCAATCTCTGATTGTGACCCTTGCGCACCGTGCAAACCTCAAAAAAAGCCGTCTGCACTGTGCAAAACTTGTTTACTTGAAGCGAAATTTCGCCGCACAGTGCAAAAACCTAATAAAAGATGAAATGCACGGTGCAAGCTGGGTTTTTTGTGCACGCTGCAGATCAATTTTAATGTTCCTGCACTTTATGAAAATGCTAATATTAACTAGTAATTTCTTTGTTATTCCAGTAATAAATACAATTTTTTTCAATTTTTAATATTTTCGTCCAGTTTCTCCCCTCGAGAATGATAGGATGGTGTTGGTGTGACTTTGTAAACCTTTCTTTTCGGTTTTACATTCAAAATTCCGACATTCAAGTGGAAGATTGCTGGTCGATGTCTGGCTGGATGATCAGTGGATTCCTCAGCCCACGTGGCCGGTTCAACTCGGGCTGTCGCGTTGAATATTGTGGTTACGATGACAATTAGAACCGCCACGCCAATAAACATGCCTGCCCACTGGAAGAGGGGACGTTAAAGAATAGAAAAAAGAAATTTGACACAAAAAACAGATCACAAACAATAAGATGAAATGTTTTCTGGGCGTTGCAAAGCGTTTATAAAGCAAGTGAAAAGTTTAAAGAAGCCTAGTCATTTTTTTTTATTTTTTGAAAATGCATAGTATTCCAAGCAAAGTCTTTTTAGCAGTACAGTGAGGCACCTGATCCAGTGGCAAAAAAACGTACCGTTTTGCATCCGGGAAGCGTCAAAAATGTGGCAAAATGCTTCCCTCTCCAACCGAAAAAAGTTCTTTTTGAAGGGCGCGCTTTTGAAATCGGAGCTTTTTCACTTGGAGAGGAAGCATTTTGCCAGATTTTTGATACTTCCTGGATGCAAAATGGTACGTTTTTTTGCCCCTGGATCAGGCCCCCCCCACTGTAAGTTTACATGACATTTGTATTGACTCACCTCCGCAGGATCCCCATTGGGCGCAAATACCGCCACCATCATAGGAACAAACAGAATAATGATGCTCGTGGTGAACATATTAAGTGCCATTATAAAATGGATAAATCTCCCGGAGATCTGAATTTTTTATCTTACTTTTTTCGAATCAAAACTCACCATTTGCGCAGCCTTTGAAGCGGTCACCAAGTTCAGTCCACTTAACGCGATCGCTGCATTATAACAAACCAGCAGCCAAGTCTGCTCTCCAATCGGAAGTAGAGCCAAGAGCAACATTACAGCAGCCAATGAATACTGTGTCACCGATGCGAAAAGAATTATTCGAGCCTTGTCTCCGAGGAATGGGATCTTGTCAACGCATGGCCCACCGATTAGCTTGGCAACAACCGCCACTATAAATGGAAGGGCGGCAATTGCGCCGGTTTTTCGGATATCGTATCCTTGAACCTGATATATATAACTGGCATGAAGTGGAGGTGTTCAAAAAAAAATTTTCTTTATGTTTTTAAAAAAGTTATGGATCAAAATTTCTGTTGTAAATCCTCACCTGGTTCAAGTAAATCGGCCCGTATTGAAAGAAGATTTGGAATCCAACACTCGTTCCGAAGAACGAGAGCAATATCCCGATGATCGCTTTGTCTGTTAAGATTGCCTTATAAGGTACTTTGTCATGCCTCGACTCTTCCAAACTCCGAATCGTCTTGTTCTTCTGCAGAGTTGACAGCTCTTTTCGGCTGACAAATCTGAAAATTGATTGATATTAGGCATATACTTATATAGCTGCCATCTTACCGATGCCGACTCGGACTGTCCTCATAAAAGAACCAAAAAGCTACAAAGAGCACAAAAGTTATCGATCCTTGAATGTAGAATGTCGCCGGCCATCCAACCGAGCTTTCACACAGTGTCCCAGCCACTGGCATTGTGAAAACCTGAGCCAATTGAAGGTAGGTCGACATCCAGGCGGCATAGGTTCCAGACTTCCGCACGGTCGCCCATTCCGCGACAATGGAACCCATTGCCGGGAATGTAATTGCCACGCCGAAGCCCTAAAAGTATTATAAATCGAAGCATAGTAACGAATATAAAATTTCAAAGCCTGGGACATGTTCCTGAGGCTATGTCCGTCTTTATAGTTTTCTAAATTTATCAAAATCTTCTTCTAGCCCACCTGGAAAGCCCGGCAAATAAACGCCACCACATAACCGGTGTGAATAGCCACTGGCATGAGTAGGGTTGATATAGCAGATGTCATTCCATAAATTGTAATTACTTTCCTTAAATTTACAAATTGAAAGTCTGAGATTGGCATAACTGCAAAGCCTTGACATGGTTATAATATTTTGTAGTTTTATTCAAGTTTTATCAAGTCTTACTTCGCTCCCATCTTGATTGTGAGGTATGTAATGGGAAATGTCCCGGTCAATATTCCGATAGCATTCGCCGAAAAGAGCCAGTTTTGCTCTGTTGCGGTGTAGAGCAGCTCCTTCTTTTGATGTCTATGTGGTACTGAAAGCTTCAAGATTAATATCGATTAATATTAACAACAATACTGATCGTGAATCATACCTGAAAGATTATGAGTGAAGTGCCCATTTTGGTCCTGTTTGAAGATACAGATGACACTGAAGTTCAACGCGACCACGTTGCAAATAACAAACATGAATGAGACAGTGCTGAGTAAGAGGATGACCAATCGAGTCTTATGGCCGAATACGAAGCGAGGATCATCTTGATCTGAAAATAAATACCTAATAAAGTCTTTTTATAAAAGATAAAGGCATGGATCAAGATTTTTACTCCATGATTTAGAAACTTTACGCCTACATAACTAATAACAAAAAAATTGTCAAAATTAAACGGCCAAGTATTAAAGGAGGTTCGCGGATTGACAACGTTTCCCTTCTTACCAACATCATCTCCGTTCACCTCCTCGCGTGTCCTAGTTATTGCCTGATTGCCCAAAAAGCAATACATTGGCTGGAAAAGGAGTACATCCAAGAACTCGGTCATTCTTTTTTAGCCCTTATCTTACAATTAGCTCAGAGGTAGTAAATTTGAGCCCTTTTTCGAAGCCAATCCGTTCAAATTGAACCTTTACACTTATATTAGAAACATGGTCACTGTCAACATTGAAACGCCTGGTATCGCTCATGGTTTGTGTACTCAACTATTTTTTGACAGCGGTGACAAAAGAGGGTTCTGAATTGTCACCCCGACTATCTTGGGCTCAAGAGTTGTGTTCAGCTATTTAGTGTTTATTGACTTCACAAAAAACAAATATATTTTGTATTTTACGCTAGGATCTTTAAGTTTTAACCTCTTTTTTATATGCTCAGTTATACGAAGGTGCCTATCTTATAATCCCATAAAATTGACTGCTGGAACCTCGATACATATTCTTTGAAATGGGTTAGGTTTTACAGAGTTTACACACATTTTTACGCCTTTCGGAGAGCACATAGACCATTGACGTGTATATTATCACAAACATCGAAACTCACTGAATCCTTACCTGACTTCAAGGAGCCCCCATCTGCCGGTGTGCGACTCATTCGGACAGCTTTGCTCTCCAGACCGTTGTAAAATCAAGTACGCGGTCCAAAATAGATAGGCGACCATTCGGAATCATATTCAAATCCGAATGCTTGACGAGGATTAGAATTTCCAGACGTGAGAAACGGAAAGCGGTGTCAAGTATTCAAGGTTTGGAAATACCCCTTTGATGGCGTGGAGTTTGATAGAGCAAAGAACAATGGGAATAAGCAATTTGTTGTTCGAAATTCGAAGCTTAGACGTGTTGAGGGCTGTAGCTCAAGCACGCCGAACCGAAATGGTTGATAGAAATGGAAAACTAGTTTTTGAGTCTTGGCACGAAAACAAAAGAATTTTTTTAATTATTTTTTGAGGTGGGCTTTTGGCACTTTTGGCATTCCGATTTTTGATGTATATATACGGTATCTTACACCGAATCGACTAACTGTTGACGTAAACGTGATGCTGAGATAATTTGGAATCGTTTGATATAAATTTCGGTCCTATTATACAACGTAAATGGTAATTTGTTGTTTTAGTGGTGTACAATGTCGGAATGCGCATTCTTGAACTCCGAATACGGCTTTAGGGTGTTGCATAACAACATACTCGCATAATAATAACATATAATTGTCCCTTCCTCCAATTATGGACAATTTCAACTAATATTACACTAGGCACCGAAAGAAAGCTAGTAAATATTGCTAATGATATTCTAATCCATCTAACACAACGTTACATAACCTATGAACGATGTTATGTCGCAATAGTTCCATGTCCCAACGTAAAATCAGTAAAATCGAAACGTTTTTATTAAATTGTTACCTAAATTAATATAAAAGTTTGTTGTAGGCAGAAGAGAAACAATATATGAGCTGATTCCGTCGAGAATACTAAAATACGCTCAGAAAAGTCGCATCCAACCCAAATTGATGTATTATGGACTCCAAATGTGACAAATATTGTCAAAATAGATCAAATCCCTTAAAATTTTAGCTAAAAAAGAAGTTTTCAGAATGGAGAAAATAGATTGAGCAGCGAAAATTTGATGAGACCTGCAGAAAGGTCTCATAAACAAAATTGTCTAGGCTTTTCCCCAAATTTGGACTAAAATCCCGTTTCCGCGTCGATTCTTCATCGGATGGTCGACACCTAAATTTCGAAAGAACGAAAAAAAACGTAAAAAACACTTACATATATCCAAGAGATGCCTTTCATCACCTAAAGCAACCTATTCTCCAACTTCTGAAGCCATCCCCGTATTTTTACGCCTTCTGCAAAAAGGATCACACTCGTTTCTGCAAATTTATTTTACATCTGTCTACAAAGTTTTCCCTGTTGCAGAATGCCAACCATTTCTATCAACCAAAAAAAGCCTATCTCGGTTCGGCGTGCTCAAGACATCTTCCTTTCTGACTTTGTTCTACCTTAAAAAGTTGCTAAATTTATCTCGATAACTTTCCTTTCCAACTCGTATCTTGGGGACCACTGACGCTGGGGAAAACTTCGAAGTTCGGCATGAAAACATTCTGCGACAATCTAGCACCATACCCAAAACATCGTCTCATTTGATCACGTCTTACATGAGGCCAAAAACGGGCTGGTAAAATGATGATTCCACTTTGGAAAAAAGTTTGTATCTCATAAGCGAGATGGCCGTAAGTCATGGTTGCGGTGCCGTTGTGAATGTGAAGACTTCCTCTTTCTATTGCCGTCACAAGTTTCAGAAATTTTCGTTTCTTAGCCTTTTAGCCTCAGGCTTTTTGCTTTAATAATGACAGGTTTAATTTATTTAATAAACATAGGATAAACACCGTCTGGTTGCTTCATGTCAAAACTTTCTTTGTAAAATGTCTTTCATAAACTTTCTGTACAATTCTTTAAATCAGCTTTCGATTTCCGCAAAGCGCCGTATAATAATTAGCAAAGCCATTTCCTCCCATTGTTTCCTAAATGAACGGTTATGAACAGCGTTTATTTTGAGTGCAACAAATACACAGACTGTTTGCTGACGGCGTTCGGGAAAGGTTGTTAATACAAAAACCGGAAAGTTTTTTTTTCTTTTTGACTCAAAGTTTGTCAAAAAGTCTCAAGACAAGAAAAAGTTTGGTTATTCAAATAAAAGTCTCTTCAAAAATTAAGTAATCCACAAATATTCGAGCAGTATATAAGCATTAGAGATTGTGGAATAAAGTCATCAGTTCGACTGTATCCAATACAATGGCTTTCAACAAGATTACCCTCACTTTCTGCGTGTTGGCCCTCCTCTTGGCCGTTGTTGTTGATCAAGCCACTGCGCAATACTACCCAGCCTACGGATACGGATATGCCGCCTATGGATATGGCTATCCCGCTTATGGCTATGGATACTACGGAAAGAGAGCTGCTGGATTCGGTGGAGAGAGTCTTGGCGTCAACAATTAAATTGAGACATTCCTTGTGGATTTTTATTTGAAATAAATAAAAATTATTGCGATTCGAGTCCAATCACCATTCTTTATTTTGTACAAGAGTTATCCCTGCAGTTTGAAAAAAGTCAAGCAAAACTTTAGACATACGAGACTACCGGCTCTCGCTTTGCAGAGACACCCAAGATTTTTGGATTAAGAGTCGGAAAAAATGTTTTTTTGCGAATTTCGGCATGAAAAACCTTGTGTCAGTTTCTACCATAGAGGGTAATATTTCCAAAAAAAAACACAATTTTTTCCGCACGAAACTAGCAAAGTTCTGGCCAAAAAAATATTTCTCTCTCTGACCGCTCTCCGCGTTTCGCGTACTCTCTCGGTCGCAAAGATCGTTGAATATCTCGGTTGTCCCTGCAAAGTCCGAGCTAAAACTTTTAGGAATTGATATGTGGCTTATGCCGGGCGGGTGTGAAATATCTAACGTAAAGAAAATCTGAGCGTCGCGCTTGAGGTACTTCCCTTGTCAGTAATATTCCAATATTGCATTCCATCTCATGTTTATTGAGGAGACTCTAAGTTCCGCTCCCAAAGCCTACAACAAACCCCGGCTGAAGATTCTGGGCGCGATTCTCTTCCTCTCCCGAGATGATTGATCTCTACCCGTTACGGTAAATAAAAATACAAGCAAAGAGCTCCAAAATAAAATTTTTTGATTACAATCCATAGTGTATGTAGTCTCTATTTTGCGCTTCAACTTGTATAAAGTTATTGTTTATTCGTCGGAAAGTCGCGTTTCAGAACCATTGCATGCTCTTTGCAACGACAATGATGACAATCGTTAAATGATTGATTTAGGGAACAACGTGGATATTACAAACCAAATGTATATAAACCTAAGACTACATTTCGTTGTTTTCAAAAACAAAAGCTATCTTTTTTGCAATATGGTCAACAATTTTTGATTCCAAGGGTATTTAAGGACAACTGCGCAAGCTGGTTTTTGAGCTTCGCCTTAGCATTTTTAGCTAGCTTTCAGATCGCGGATTGTCCCTGGGCCACATTTTTCTTCCATTTCGGGGTTCCCTAAAGTCACCTCTTTTTAGATCATGGTAATTTACAAATCCACCTGTCCGGATATCCCAACGTCGGCAAGAAGAATCTATGAACTTATTTTCGATCGCATTAGGCAACATGAAAAGGATCGGCCCGAGCAGCCAATGTTTATCGACTCCTTGACTGGAATTGTAACGACCGGAACTCAAATCATTGAGAGAACGTTGTCTTTGGCCCACTTTTTGAGAGAACATGGTTTCGAAAAGGATGATTTCATTGTGACTCCGGTGGAAAATGGATGGCCATACGTGTGCACGGTGTTGGCATGCAGTATGTTGGGTGGTGGAGTGGCTGGCGCTTACCCGAAGAACAGTTCTTGTAAGTTGGGAGAAAATAAATTTTTTTAGCGATTAAAATTCGTGCCAAAGGAGTGATTGGATAGCAGATCAACTGTGTGTTTTCAGACGAAATTTCCCATCAGACCCGTTTATGTAAGGCCAAGTTCGTCATGTGCGAAGGTTATGTTGTCCCCAAGATCTTGGAGATCCTCGATGAGTGCCCCTCTATTCGAACAATAATTACAGTTGGCGATCATGTCAACGCAACAACCGACAGGCTCCCCATATTTCAAATTGAAGACATTATCAAACGAAGGACGGACTTCCATGAGATCCCGGAAATCGATGTGGATATCGAAAAGAATGTTTATTTTCTACCTCCGTCAAGGTAAAAATACGTCACTTTTAAGTGTCAAAACTTAATCGAATACTACCAATTCGTGCTCAAAAGCTCGGACCATTTATTGCCGACGTCTCGCGCAAAAATGTGGGATGTCGGACGAAAAAAATCGTCGCTAGTGCAAAAACGGGATATTGCAGTGACAAAAATGAGAGAACAAGGGGCAATGATGATTGTCCGGACTTTTGAGCGCGAGTAGTAGTACTCAAATAATGTAATACCATTTCAGTGGGACAACCGGCCTTCCCAAGGGAGTGTGCCAAACGCAATTCCGGAACAATTATGCTCTGCTAAACTTTACGGGGTAGGTTAATATCTAGTCTTCGTCGTAAGTCAAGTCCTTGGAGTTGGAACGGAATTTTTTTTACGTTTTTGAGTGGTACATTGAAGAGTTGTACCAGATATAAATACATATATGGCTTTTTTTATTTCTTTCAAACAAGGGAAAAGTATGAGTTTAATAAGTAGCCTTGCCTTTTGTAAGCCCTACCACTTGTTTCTCTTTCAGCGCGCTCACCGAGCGCCTCCTCAAGCCGCTGGATCCCACCTGGAATTGGCGTGACAACAAGGTCCTGGTTACCCCGCAAGTGGGCTTTGTTTATGGCCATGCGGTTACTTTCACTTCGATTCTAAACGGTTCCGTTGGCGTGTTCGTCCGCAAACCGACCCTGGAGCATGTGGCCGACTGCATTGACAAGTACAAAATACGACATCTGTATGGACATCCCGCATTGTTCGCGGCTTTGACTCACTATAAACAAGAAAATCCGGGGAAATTGACAACCCTTCAAACGGCGATGACTAGTGGAGCACCTTTGAAAGAGAAAATCGTCAATGATTTTATGGAGACTTGTAATGTAAAGGTTGCTCAACTTTATGCAATGAGCGAAGGGCTGATTGCGTATACGGAAGTGGATAGTCCAATAACCTCGGTTGGAAGACTATTGCCGCGGACTGAGCTGAGGGTGGTCGATACCGAAACTGGAGAGGAATTGGGGTAAGAAATGAATACAAAACACGGTCCAACTTTTGTTTTTGCGACTTGCATAGGGCTGTTAGCAATCTCTGACTACTTTAATCACAGTTTTAGTAAGCATAGACGAGATACTTAACGGCGCTTACAGATGGGAATGTTGCGAAAATTTTATCCTGACATGAGCCCTTGGAAAGGTCGCAGAATTTGGCCACTTTTACACTTCTAAATTCCTTATGCATATGTATTTTTAAACACTGCTTCTTTGAGAGAACGTCTGCAATAAAGTCTGGTCTGTCTGGGGAAAGGAAAAAATTGAAAAGTTAATTCTACGTGCCGGATTTTAGTTTTGCATACAGTATGTAAAATTTCCTCCAAACCAAAGGGTTGAATTAAGAGATTTTATATCTATGAGCGATATGCAACGCAGTGTGGTACTTTGCGCTGAGCCATATTTTACAAGCCTTGACCATTGCATTTTAGTCCCCATGCTGTTGGAGAGATTCAATTCCGCAACCCCACAATGACTACTGGCTATCTCAACAACCCTGAAGCAACTGCCGAATTATTCACCAAAGACGGATTTTTGATCACAGGAGACATCGGATATGTCGATGAAAATCAAGATATTTTCTTGGTGGACCGGAAGAAAGAGATGATCAAAGTCCAAGGGAAATCCGTTGCTCCGGGGCAATTGGAAGACTTGCTCCATACAAACAAGAAGATCAAAGAGTGCTGTGTTGTTGGAGTGCCCGATGAAGTGCTGGGCGAGAGTATATGGGCATTTATTGTGAAACGAGAGGAGAGTTTGACGGCTAAAGAGGTCGTAGACACTGTAAATTGTAATTTTATTCATGGAAATCTATGACTTGCCATTTTTTCAGTGAATATTGTGGATTATAAACAAATCACTGGTGGAGTTCAGTTCCTGGATGCGATTCCTCGCAATAACAACGGCAAAATGTTGAGGAGGAAGTTGCGGGAACTGGTGATTGCCAACAACAACATCAGTGCCTAACTTTAATTCCTTTTTAAATTGTGTTTTTATGTATTAAAAAATAAATAAAAAATCAAAAGGAAGAAGCGGTTAGATTTTCGAACCTTTCGAACCTTCTAAATAAATAGTCATGAAAATGCAGTCTCTCGTTTACAACAACTACCAGCATCAATCAACAAAAAAAGAAACAAATCAAGGGAACACCTTTTAGAGGGCTCGAGAAAAGTTGAAAAATGTTGTAATGTAGACATGGCCGCGGTTTTTGGCCCGGCCCGAGAGCCATGCCTTGTCGTGGTCTTCGAGACCTTAATTTCTCATTTCTTCTTTACAAAAGTGCCAAAATAAATGCTTTGATTTTTTCAAACTGAGCCGCCTTGCAACGGGTTTTATCATGATCCCTTAACGTTTTTCTGCTCCAGAATGATATTCAAATCATTCTCGGAATCATGCTCTGATCCCACGATTACAAACCAGCCAGTCCACTAGTCTATACTTGACGCCTTGACCAAGTATGGAAACTTTCGCCCAAATCAACCAATTCTTGTTGACGGTTTATCCGGCGAGGAAAGTACAGTAGCTGTATAATCGCAACTTGTTCCATTGCCAAGTTCCTTGAGAACAGATGGATTCAAATGCTTTTTTTCGACGTTGGAAAGTTTCGCTGTAAGATTACTGCATGCTCCTTGCACCGATGATTGTGACAATTATTGAGTGATCGATTTGGGAACAAACGTGGGTATTACAGGGCAAGTGAGTAAGTTTATAAACTAGAGGGTTCATTTTGTTGCCTTTGAAACCAAAAGATGACTTTAACAAAAGTTTGTTATAAGAGGGTTTTACCAAATGCAGGTTCATTTGTTGCATCGGGTCCACGGTAACCCCATGTGTTTTGTGTCTTCTTTTGATGATTTTGTCCATTGAAATCAGACAAACCGCAAAAAAGTCTTTCGTGAGGTTTTTTGGGCCGAAAAAAATTTACTCGAAATTATTTTACTTTTTTCGGGGTTCTCTAAAGTCACCTTTTTTTTAGATCATGGTTATTTACAAGTCCAACTATCCGGCTATCCCAATATTGCCAAGAAAAGTGCATGAACATATTTTCGATTGCATTAGGCAGCATGAAAAGGATCGGCCTTACCAACCATTGTTTATCGACTCGTTGACTGGAATTGTAACCACCGGAACTCAAATCATCGAGAGAACCTTGTCTTTGGCCCACTTTTTGAGAGAACATGGCTTTGAAAAGGATGATTTCATTGTGACTCCGGTGGAAAATGGATGGCCATACGTGTGCGCGGTGTTGGCATGCAGTATGTTGGGTGGTGGAGTGGCTGGCGCTTACCCGAAGAACAGTTCCTGTAAGTTGCGAATAAATCAAGTTTTTTAGCAATTAAATTCGTGCCAAAGGAAGAATTGAATAGTAGGTTAGCTGTGTGTTTTCAGATGAAATTTCCCATCAGACCCGTTTATGTAAGGCCAAATTCGTCATGTGCGAAGGTTATGTTGTTCCCAAAATTTTGGAGATCCTCGACGAATGTCCGTCTATTCGAACAATAATTACAGTTGGCGATCATGTCAACGCGACAACCGACAGGCTCCCAATTTTTCGAATTGAAGACATCATCAAACGAATGACTGAAATTCATGAGATCCCAGAAGTCGATATTGACATCGAAAAGAATGTTTATTTCCTGCCTCCGTCAAGGTAAAAACGTTAAATTTAAGTGTCAAAATACGATCGAATATGTATGGAATGTTGCTTCGAGTTACATTTCATTTCAGTGGGACAACCGGCCTTCCCAAAGGAGTGTGTCAAACGCAATCCCGAAACTACTGCGGTCTGCTAACCTTTGCGGGGTAAGTTGAGTTTTCACGTAAGTTCGATCTTTCCGACTGCAACTAGACGCTTTTTTTGCGTGGTAAATTGAAGAGTTGTAGAAAAACCTTTTGAATTATTATTTATTATAAAATATGAGCTAATATTGATCTTGAAGGTCTTCATACAAATATTTTTTACTAGTGACAAAGATGTATATATCTTTTGAACATAAATATCCATGTCTTTTGTAACCTTTACAATTCTTCTCTCTTCTAGCGCGCTCACCGAGCGCCTCCTCAAGCCGCTGGATCCCACCTGGAACTGGCGTGACAACAAGGTCCTGGTCACTCCACAAGTCGGCTTTGTCTATGGCCATGGAGTCACTTTCACCTCCATTTTAAACGGCTCGGTTGGGGTGTTTGTCCGCAAACCGACCCTGGAGCATGTGGCCGACTGCATTGACAAGTATAAAATACGGCATCTGTATGGGCATCCCGCACTGTTCGCTTCTTTAACTCACTATAAACAAGAGAATCCGGAGAAATTGACAACGCTTCAGACTGCAATCACAGGTGGATCCCCATTGAAAGAAAAGATTGCCAACGATTTTATGGAGACGTGTAATGTGAAGGTGGCTCAGTTTTATGCAATGAGCGAAGGGCTGGTTGCATACGCGGAAGTGGATAGTCCAATAACCTCTGTTGGGAGACTCTTGCCGGGAACTGAGCTGAGGGTTGTCGATGCTGAAAATGGAGAGGAATTGGGGTAAGAAATGCATGAAAGAAACCGTCCAACTTTTGTATTTGTAACCTGCCTATGGCTGTTAGCAATATCTGGCAATTCTACTCACAGCTTTAATAAGCAGAGATTTGTATGAACTTTTGATTTTGACACTTGACGACACTTCCACATGGGAATATTTTTTATCCTGAACCCTTGAAGAGGTCGCAGAATTCATGGTTCAAAATTTTTTCTCATAGCTTACATAGGGCAGTTAAAAACATCTGACAATTTTACTGATAGTTCGAAAACGCAGAGAAGAGATTTGGCGGCTCTTGGAGATGGGAACATGAAGAAAATTTTGTTCTAAACCCCTCGCAAACTCGGGAAGTTTGGTAAATTTTCTAAAGCTTTGTTGCCAAAGCGGTGCTTTTAATGAGACGTTTCTTGTTTCTTTAGCACCAGATAGTTGAACATTACCTATGAGCAACATGCAAGGCTTGCAAAATATTACCTTGATCATTGCATTTTAGTCCCCATGCTGTTGGAGAGATTCAATTCCGTAACCCCACAATGACTACGGGTTATCTCAATAATCCCGAAGCAACTGCCGAGTTATTCACTGAAGACGGATTTTTGATCACAGGAGACATCGGATATGTCGATGAAACTCAAAACGTCTTTCTAGTGGATCGGAAGAAAGAGATGATCAAAGTCCAAGGGAAATCCGTTGCTCCAGGGCAATTGGAAGACTTGCTCCATACAAATAAGAAAATCAAAGAGTGCTGTGTTGTGGGAGTGCCCGATGAAGTGCTGGGCGAGAGTATATGGGCATTTATTGTGAAGCGAGAGGAGGGTTTGACAGAGAAAGAGGTCATAGACACGGTAAATTGTAAGTTTATTCGAAGAAATCTACAGTTTCTTCATTTTTCAGTGAATATTGTGGATTATAAACAAATCACTGGTGGAGTTCAGTTCCTGGATGCGATTCCTCGCAATAACAATGGCAAAATGCTGAGGAGGAAGTTGCGGGAACTGGTGATTGCCAACAACAACATCAGCGCCTAACTTTAATTCATTTTCAAATTGTGCTCTTGTTATTATACAAACATAAATCAAAAGTCAAAAGGAAGAAGCGGTTAGATTTTCGAACCTTCTATTATAATTGATCGACAAAATGCAGTCGTTGGTTTACATCAACTAAATACCTGCATCAATCAACAAAAAAAGAGACAAATCAAAGGGGAATACCTTTTAGAGGGCTCGAGGAAGGTTGAAAATTGTTGTAATCTGGTCTGTCCTGGTCTTCAAAAAGACTAGATCTTATTTGCAAAAGTCTCACAAATACACCCTTTGAGGTTTGACGAACTGATCTAAGGTCTTTACCAGAGCTCTTTGTCTATTTTTATCCTCTAGAATGATATTCAAATCTTTCGTGGAATCATGCGCTAATCCCAAGATCACAAACCAGCCAGTCCACAAGTATATATTTGACACCTTGGTCAAATATGGCAAGGATCGGCCGAACCAACCAATTTTTGTGGACGGTTTATCTGGCGAGGAAGTTACAGTAACCCAGCTTTATAATAGAACTTGTTCCATTGCCGATTTTTTTGTGAAAAATGGATTTCAAAAAGGCGATCTTGTTCTCACTGCGGTGGAGAATGGATGGCCGTATGTGTGCACAATGTTGGCGTGTAGCTCGCTCGGTGGCGGCGTGGCTGGATCACATCCCAAAAACAGTTTTTGTAAGTCTTTTAGAGGTCGTGAAAGACCTGAGTCAAAGGTAGAATGTGACGCGAAAAAAGTTATGTTAGGATCTTCAAAAAACGTATAGTCCCACAATGAAATGGACAACACACGTCAAAAAAATTCTTTCAGAAAATTGAAAACACAAGGTATCTCGGATCATTGATTTTTTGCGAAGTCCCACAAAAATTATCGAGATATAAAAATTACTTTTTTCTTCGAAAAAAAATTTTTCTCAAAAAAAAAACTTTTTCTCTGGGAAAGTTTTCTTTTGTGACTCTAAAATTCAGCGACATTTCGTCAAAAATCAATGATCCGAGATTCCTTGTTTTTTCACTTTTTTTTTTACGTGCAACAGGGTAACAAACCTTGATTTCAAGATAAAATAGAGGCCTAACCATGGCACAAAAACCCACCACAAGTCTTATTTTATAGATGAACTGGTCCATCAGATCCGCCTAACCAAAGCCAAGGTTATCTTAGCCCAGGATTACGTGCTAGAAAAGCTGGCTGATCATCTACATGAGTGTCCGTTAGTTCAGGTAACACTAAGCGCATAAGTTACACGAATCGCTTTTTGTAGACAGTAATTAATGTGGGATCGAACAACAATCTCACCTCACTAAATGGAAAGTCCATTAAAGTCATCACTGTTGAAGAGATTGTGAGCAATCGAGTTGCCTCTTTGCCTAGTATTGAGTTTGATCCTAAAACTACAGTTTATTTTGTCCCTCCCTCCAGTGGGACCACTGGATTGCCAAAGGCGGTGCAATTGTCGCATTCAGCGCATCTAACAGCATTAAATTGTCATATGGCGTAAGCGAATGAGACATGTACTATTATATATATTTTTTATTATATAATTCCAGTGGCTTCCGAAGATTGGGATCCATAAACTGGCGTGATCACTACTTCCTATTAAATATGCAATGCGGCTTCGCTTATGGCCAAATGCAGACCCTTTTGTGTATGGCCGCCGGAACTATCGGCGTCTTTTTGAGACATACAGATGATAAAGGGTATTGCGAGGCGGTGGACAAGTACAAGGTGAATCAACCTAGCCCGAATCGACGTCTTTTTCTTCCAGGTTTCTTTCCTCCATACCAATCCCACGCTTGTGCAAAGTCTTATCAATTATCGACGAGCAAATCCCAAAAGTCTTGGCTCTGCTAAAGTGGTTCTGGTCAGTGGGGCACCACTGAAAGAGAAAAGAAAAACAGAATTCACAGAGCTCTTTCCTCACACAATTTTGCAGCAAGCTTACGAGATGACGGAAGGTTTAGTCACCGTTGGTGATAGCAATGCGCCTGTGGATTCGGTGGGAAGTTTGGCACCGGATACCGAGCTAAAGGTAAGTGAGGGTCGGATGTTGAGGGTGACATCTTCAAATGGTCCAGTACATAACATTATACGGAGAATAGGGTGTAGGAGATTTTTGCGAACTCCCCGAGAAAACCTACCCGTTGTTAGTGTCGAAAGGCCCGACAACCCAGTAACGAGACAAGACGAGAGCTCAGTAGTCAAGTGATTTATTCAGTGGAAAGGAGGCCTTTTATAGGGAAGCCCCACGTGGGAAAGTGCAATCAAATTTGAATAAATGAAGATCGTTCTTCGTGGGAAAATCCTCGAAGCTCGGTCGTTCCCCCTCACAGATAGAAAAAATAAAAGATCTTTTTCAGATTCTAGACCCCGAAACAACAGCTGAACTTGGCTATAACCAAGTTGGCGAGCTGTTTGTTCGAAACCAAACCCTTACTCTCGGCTACATCGACAATCCCAAAGCAAATGCTGAGCTCTTCAATGATGACGGGTTTTTAGCTACAGGAGATATCGGCTACATCACCGAAAAAGGCCACATCTTCCTGGTGGATCGTCGAAAAGAGATGATAAAAGTCCAAGGCAAATCTGTGGCCCCAGGGCAATTGGAAGACTTGCTGCTGGCTAATAGTAAAGTCAAGGATTGTGCGGTCGTTGGAGTTCCGGATGATGAGCTGGACGAAAGGATTTATGGATTTGTGGTGAAAGGAAATGAGGAACTGACGGAGCAGGAGTGCATTAGTAATGTTAATGGTAAGTCTACATAAAAGTATAATAATAATAAACCAACGTAAAAATGGCGTTTTCAGACAACATTATCTACTACAAACACATCACTGGTCGGGTGTTTTTCGTCGACGAAATTCCGAGGAATTTGAATGGGAAAGTTCTTCGAAGGCAGCTTAGAGAATATGTGCAAAATCATAGCTAAAAATCAAGTTGGTTTAGTGAACGCTACTGTACTTTTATTTCTTGTAAATAGTAAATATTGCTGAGACTGTGTGCTGTTTTGAATGACTTTATAAAGAGTGTGAGAATGCTGATCGCATGTCATTGTTTGGAGGCCAAAATACATGGATTAGAAGCTACTGGAAGGATTGCAAAATGTTGAAGTTAGAGTTAGTGATGCAGCTGAAAGAACACATGTAAAATCAACAACGCCATCGAACGTAGCAGGCCACATGTTTCGTAACATAAATTCTAGAAGATGATGTACAATATATTCCACAGGATGATTGTAAAATAACCGGGGTAGCTTTGAAGTTGACGTTACAAGTTCACAGAGCAAACATTGAGCTACTCTTCAAAAGTCATCATTTTATTACCGTCTCTTTTAGAGAGCAAAAAATATTTTTTATTTTTTCTCGCAAGCGGCTACTTTTTTTCAAAACACGCCTAGAATACGGAATTTATGCTGACAAAGAATGAACCACAATTTGTCGACGAAATCTTTGTTTTCTAGCCCACAAAAATTGGGTGTGCTGTAACAAAATGGTTTTTGTTCAAGTAAACGGTCACGTTAATGTAGTGTGTGACCATTTACAGTAAAGACGGACTGTCATACATAAAGTGCTTGCATAGCTAGCAAAGTTGAGAAAAAAATAAAAATAATTTCCGTTGGCTTTTTTAGTGTGGGAAATCAATAGCAAAATTAACGACGCTTGGCGTTAAAAGAAACTTCCTTTATGCTGTATGTCAAATTGTAGCTTATTCTTAGACGAAATGGCGAACAGTTTGACTTGGCTTTACAATGCAAACAGAGTATCAGCAAAGTCGCCTCGGCCAATTTTCTGGCCGGCTTGGTGAAGGTCCAACTCCGTACAAAACTGGTCATTTTAAGTCTTCTTGCAAAGAAAATCTTTCAAGTGGAGTACTCGGATTTGCTTCAAGTTTTTCATAAAGATCTTATTAGTCATTTATGATTTGCTAAAAGCTTTAGCTCCTACTTTTCAGCGGAAGCCGAGACACCAAAAAAAAACTTTCGAGAGAGAACATAAAATGAGGAGAATCGGTCAGACAAAACAGTGGCTTCGCTTATCACTTTTTGCTTCGTATGAAAATTTAGGGCTTAACACTTCGTACAGCGAGCTAATAAATCAAGTTTCAAAGTCTAAAATTGTAGAAAATTGCACCCAGCATTTTCTCCGCGGTTTTTAAATAGTGGATTTACTAATCAAGCATATTTAATTCCTAGAAAATTATGTTCTAACTTTGAGACAACCTACAGCCATTTCTGTATACCCCAAGGCAGAGACCTCCCTTGGAAAACCATTATCGTCTGGTAAAAAAAGTTCTAGACTTGATGTAAAGTTTAACTTTCCTAGAACGTCTGTCTTTAATTGAGATCGAAAATTATAGAAAAAAGAGATAGAAATGGTAAGAGTGCTTGTGCAGTTGAACAAGTTCCGTGTTAAGCGTCTCCTATTCTGGTTTGTCTGATGGCTGAACACTGAACTCTATGATTTGTTGCTGTAAAGTCGGCCGATTGCTCGTTTGGACCTGTCACTTTCATCGACAAAAGATTATAGTCTGTCAATGGTCGATGACTATAAATACAGTTAAGAAATCGCAGAGCACATGGTGTTTGTTGTGGGTTTTCCCGACCGCGAATTCGCCGACCAAAGGCTGCTTTTTGTGCGATTTTTGGTTGTCACAATTTATAAAAGGATGGATAAGAGTCGTAGCATAAAGTTGTCTTTAGCATAGAGTGTAAGACAGCTTAATAGCGGTCGTTTGGTCAGACAGTAGGGTTTTGAATTCTAAGGTTCTCTTCTGCTCTTGCATCATGTTTTTCAAAAATTTGCCGGTTTGCTTTACACAGCCGTAGCTGTACGATTAAAGCAATAACTGTTTTTATATATTTCGTCTTATGTCACCTAACTACATGAGTAATATTTTAATCCCTTCAAGAGTTAGATAGTGCTCAATAGAGGCCAGAAATTTTATCAAAATGATGTAACCAGGAAAGTCTGAAATTTTATTTCAAAAACTGCTTTTCGGGGCAAAAATGCCAGTACTTCAGAAGGTCGTAGCGACCTCAGTTTGCACTTTAAAATCTTGTTATTTTATAGACAAAAATTGATGTCGCTTAAAAATACATATTCCAAAAAAGAAGTGTCTGCGCCGCCTCCGCCGGAAGCTATAGCCTCACTTTCCTTCCCGTTTTTTGTAAGACCCTGTAGATAGTGTCCAGGAGCAGTCAGGATTTTCATTACAAAGATATAAGAAAGGTTGTTGCCAGAAGCCTTTATTGGATAAAATATGCGCTGATTAACATTTTTTACATTTTTTTAAACCAAATTCTAGAACGGTAGAAATCTTTTTTTTTCCTGCAACCGTTCATTACAAAGGACTACGGTCGCGCGGCTGTTAAAACTTCCTCCAGCCGAAACTACAGTCTCCCTTTCTCTTGACTTTCTTCCGCTTTGCAGGTCCAATTAGTGAAAAAAGTTTTTCGTTGACAAATCGGGGAGAACCCCATCAGTTTAACGGCCACCTTTGTCGTTGAAATGATGTAATGCGTCAATGGAGATCAAATTGATTTGTGATTTGTCTTCGAGAAGAATTTTGCATTCGATAATTCCAAAAAAGTTCATAAAAATTAAAAATGATGATTTTAAGGCCAAAAAATATACCAGTAAAATGGTGTTCACCTCACCCTACCCCTCCATACCCTTGCCAACAAAGCCGATGCACAAATGGGTCTTTGAAAATCTCCGGAAGTTCGAAGAAGAACGGCCAAATCAGCCAGTTTTCATCGACGCCAACACGGGAGAACAGACTTTTGGCCAGCAATTGTACGAAAGAACTTGTTCTTTGGCCAATTTTCTGCATAAAAATGGCTTCGGACAGGGCGATTTCATAATGGCGGCGTTGGAGAATCGTTGGGAATACATGTGCAGCACTCTGGCGGCATGCTCGTTGGGCGGGACCGTCAGTGGGGCCAATCCGGTTTACACGGAGCGTAAGTATTCTGGAAAGCTGTTTTTGGCAAAAAATTATTACATTGGCAGCACCGTATTTTACAAAAAAAGAACTTTTCGAAATTTGCGAACTAAACTCAGACAACTGAATTTCAATGAAACTACAAGCTTAGAGTGGAAGAACCTCATAAAAACAAATTCTCATAGAACAAAATCTGACAATAACGGACAGTTTCAGAGGTCGACAGAGCTAATTTTAGGGCAGTACGAAGCAACGACACCCTTCTACAGTGAGGGACGTGATCCAATGGCAAAAAAGGCCTCATTTTGCAACCCGGAAGGTACCACAATGACTCCAAACCCTTCCCTTCTCTAAGCTAAAAAACTCCGCTTTGAAAAGCGCGCCCTTTCTTTCAAGGCGGGCTCTTCAAAGCGGGGTTCTTTAGCTTAGAGAAACGGAGGGTTTGGAGACATTTTGGTTCCTTCCGGGATGCAAAATGAGACGTTTTTTGCCATTGGATCCGGTTCCTCACTGTATAAGAAATAATTTCTTTGAGCTATTTTTTTTGTACAGCGTATTCCACTGTAAACCCGTGAGTTTGACCGAGAAAAAAATGCTGCTTATAAGGCCCTACAGAAACCGTGATTTGAATTCAAAAAGGATGACTTTTCCCAATAGTTTTTTTTTAATAAAATACGTCTTCTCTAAAGCCGATCACAAAACTTTCAAACCCGCCTTTGCAGACGAACTCCTCCATCAAACCCGTCTTTGTGCCGCGAAAATTGTCATCGTCCAAGCCTATGCCCTTCCAAAGATCCTCAGCTTTCTCCATGAAGTTCCTCATGTCAAGGTGGGTTAATTCTCACATTCAGTTCATAAAATCTCTTGAATTTTTAGTTCATCTTCACAGTTGGATTGGAAGACTCTGTCGAGAACCCAAAGATCAAAATCATCCGGTTTGAAGATATTATGAAGATTAAAGCGAGTTATTTGCCGAACGTTGAAATTGATGTCAAAAAGGATATTTACTCGCTACCAGCGTCAAGTGGAACAACTGGCCTGAGGAAAGGCGTCATCGTGACGCATTTTACAAATGCTTTCGCTACAGAAAGCTGTCTTAGGTAGCTCTTTTGAATTTTTTTGATTTGCGTATAATATAATATTATAGTATGTCCTTACGCTAGGTTTGAAAGTCATGTTTTATGTCAAAATTTCAGCTTTTACACCGACCGAGTGGCCAAGAAAATCGATAAAAACTGGAATTGGCGGGACGAAAAGTTTCTGATTGCGTTGCCATTGGGCTTTGGATATGGTCAACTGATAACTTGCGTCGCAATGATGTCCGGAGCCACCGCTGTCTTTAATCGAACCGCTAAAATTGAAGATGTTGCAGCAGCTATCGATAAATATCAAGTAAGAAAAAAAAATGAATGATTTCTCTGACCGACTCTCCTCTTTTCACTACTCTCTCGTTAACAAAATTCCTTTATTGTAAGACCCTAAACTCATCAATTTTTAGATAAAAACCTACTTCCTCTCACCAATGTTGCTCCTTGATCTCATCCATTGGAAGAAAACGCATCCAGAAAGCCTCAAGAGTCTAAGAATGGTCATAGCCGGAGGTGGCCCAATTAAAGATAAAGTCGCCGCTGAAATCAGAAAATATCTGGGCTATGTAACAATGGTTGGGCAATGTTACGGGATGACTGAATGCATGTTGATTGCTTGTCATGATTTGATGAGTCCTAATCCAGTAACTGCTACAGGAAGAATTGTGCCGAACACTGAAGTTAGAGTAGGTTTTTATGGACTTTTTTTGCAAGATGACTTGGCTTTGTTTTTTCTGCCGAATAGCTATATTCACAAGGTGTAGCTGGGCAACATAGAGCTCCTTGTTAACCGTGGGGTTATTTTCAAGCATTTCCCGATGCATTTTTTGTCCTCGATGAAAAACTAAAAAAGTGTCGGTAACGCAAATTTTTGCCTCTTGGATGGTTCACTTTTGAGCCTGAAAAATAATAAAAAATTAAATTTTCAAAAAAATTAAAAGCACAGTTTTGTAGAGGAGAAAAAGCTGTACCAAGTGAATATATTCACATTACCAAACAATGAACAAATTCTTGTAAAACAAAAGAATAAAAAAACGACGGAACTTTCTGAGCAACCCATTACAATAACTCCCGATTAGAAAAACTTATTCTAATCGTTCATTTTTAAGGTCTGGGATCCAGAAGCCAAACGAGAGCTTGGAGTCAACGAAATTGGAGAGGTTCAAGTCCGTCTACCCTCCTGCACCCCTGGTTATCTAAACAATCCGAAAGCCAATGCCGAACTTTACACCGCCGACGGTTGGATGGACACTGGAGATATTGGATACGTTGATGAGGATTCTTTTGTCTTTCTGGTGGATCGCAAAAAGGAGATGATAAAGGTATCAGGACGTCAAGTGTCACCGGCTGAGCTGGAAGATCTGCTAATGGGACACCCGAAAGTTAAGGATTGCGTGGTGGTGGGATTGCCGGATGAGGAGACAGATGAGAGGATCACTGGGTTTGTGGTGAAAGCGGATGAGAGTTTGACGGAGGAGGAGTGCTTGATGGCGGTGAATTGTAAGTTCCTTGAGATTTCAGGAAAGGAAAAAAACGTCTGTTGTATGTCGTATATAGCTGAGACTCGGTAACTGGAGATTTTTTTTGTCTGGGCATTCGTTTTTTCAAGCAAGACCCACAGAAAGTTCAGGCTATTTAGGAAAAATGTAATTGTAGCCTCAATTTTATTCAAATTTTCAGCCGAAGTCAGCGGATTCAAGAAGATTGTTGGCGGCATCCATTTTATGGACATTATTCCTCGAAACCCCAATGGAAAAGTTTTGAGGCGGAAGATTAAGGAAATGTATGCTGACAAACTGAACAACAACTTGGTGAAATAATAATATAATATTTGTAGTATCTTTGCCGGTTGATATTGTATCTATGTAATTGCATAATATTATAATTATATATAACAAATGTAGTGGCTTTATTGGTAGGAAATCTAGTAACAAGAAAAAATTTAATAAACAATTTTTACAATTCTATTAAAGTGTTGTTGGTCATACTAATTTGAAGAAGAGAGAGGTCGATTGAAATGAGTAAATTTTCAGTCGTTTCAAGGATCTTAAACATGGGCTTTTTTACGCTGAAAACAAGCCTTCGTCCAACTAAAATTTTGATTTTTTGCATCACAGTTATTCTTTACTTCAAAAATACTATCTTCAGAAAAGATTCTTCATCCCGTAAAAGCTCAGATAGCCAATTACACAACCCTGTCTCAAAATCCCAGCCAAAACAATAAAGAATTATATTTTTAAAGGGATCAAGGTTCGACCCTTTTCGCTTTGAGCCGCGAGCCATTGTTCTGAGTATATAGTTTATAGGTTTAAAAGTTTGCGAACAGAAGCTAAAACCTCTATGACGTCAAATTTGAGCCACAATGAGCCTTTCTCACAATCTTTTTTCTTTTTTTTCACTTACTCTTTTGGATGCGGATTCATTAAGAAATAATGTATGATTTCCCTAATTTCTTGGGCCAGCTGCTATATAATATATTTCCATTTATAACCTTTTTTCCTTCTCTTCTATGCAAACACCGTTTTGGAGCTTAAAAAAATATGCCAATTCGAGTAATCGGAAGGGAGTAAATTTAGCAAATGCACTTTGCCTTCAAATAACGTTCAAATTTCAGCTGCTATTTGGAAGGAGCTTTAGATAAAGGTAATAAAGGAGATGATAAAATTGGGAGAGCTGATTATACGGGGTTTACAGCCAATAATCGAAAGTTAATTGAGCTCATTGTGGACTAAAATTGACTCGTGAACTTTTGATCATGTCATAGACGGGCTCAATATACTAAATTTTATTATACGGTAGTTCTGAAATCATATTTGTCTCGGATTTTGTTCAGACTTTTTCACCGTATAATATGAACTTTGCCATGGTTTCGTCCCGAACTCAATGACCGCTCTTCATGGGTCACATTTCCTTTTCGTTTCGGCCGAAGCCTTTTCCCCGCCTCCTCTCTTCCATGCTTCTTTTTGAGCCGAAATGGCGGGAAACGGAATGCGGTAGAATGCCGGGGGAAGGCTGAGGGCATTTTTTTAAGTCATCTAATTTCCGCTTAATCTTCTCTAAATCAGAATTTCACTGTAGGAAAATGTTTTTTGAATGTTTTTTCTGGCTAACTAAGTAGCTTACATTTATTTATAAAAATTTCAATTTTTTTTATTTTTCTTTTTTTATTTCGTGTTTATTTCAACGTCAAAGAATGACTCGTATGCTTTATGTTCAAAACGAAGGCCAGACAACCTTTATACGGCCGTTTTCTTTTTATTTCTTCCCTTGCTCTCTTTCTCCCTTTCTTCCCATTGTGAATATAAAAAAAACACATTGAAACGTACTTTGAGCTACGATCTCATCAGAAATGAGGCTCGCGTTGAGCCACGTTTGATCTCTGCAAATAATGTCTTCGATTGTAACAAAAATCTCCAATATTACTTTGTCAATCTATATTTTAAAATTGTGTTGTGGATTTTATTTTTTTGCCCCGAATAAATTTACAAAAAAGGTTCAATTTTTGCTGGACGGGGTAAAACATTTTGCGGGATTTGTCATAATAGCTCTACGAGGCAACTTCTAGCGCCAAAAAATTGGTATGAGCCCGTCGTACGAAGAGATGTGTTCGTAAATTTTACAGTCAAAAGGGTAATGTCAAATAGAGCCTTTTTTGAGGTAAAAAATGTCGGCGATTTCTGAAAACAGCGGGCTACAACATTTCGAGTAAATCTTCCAATATTCCATTTCAAATTTTCGATAAATTTCATTAAGTCCTGCTCATTGTCAGCACGTTTTACAGTTTTTGACCGTGCCGTTTTTCTATCCAGCTCAAGCTCTTCTTCTCCTGCGCAATTTCATTTCTCATCTCAGGAGTTCCAAAACCCGCCTTCAACTTCTCAGCTCCAATTCTTCTTGTCAAAAAAGTCTGCAGCAAATTCCTCACAAAACCCGCTGAACCATTGCCTCACGTGTACCGTACTTGAGCCGCGAACTTGGCGTGAGCCGAGATCACCTCTTCCTCCGTCTCCAGGACCACTTACTTGATTGGTCATTCCGAGGACAAATACCCATCCTTTTCCCGTTTCTTCTCCCCTCCCTTGGCCCCCTTGCTGCCTTTGCGAAGCGGGGATTTTCGGTGGGCCAGAGGAAAGTGCGAAAGAGCGGTGGGGGGAAAATTTGACCGCTCAAACCCTGAGCGGTCAATTTCCTCGCCGCCTTTCGGCCATAATGCGCATAATAAGCGGCGCCAAAATTAGACAGCCACAGCTACAATACAAGAACCTAGATTTTGCCGCAAGATGACAAAACATTGAAGTCATGACCTGCGGGCAATGCCGTTTTTTCGTGGAGGTTTTCCCGTTTTGATAGATGTTTGAGCTCTCTAATTTCCGAAAGGCGTGGCCAATGCGGGTTTTTGCGGAAAAAGCAATGGCCTAGACCACGATGAATCGGGCCAAACGCTATAATTTTTTGGAAAATGGGAAAGAATGTTCGAAATTTAAGGCGGATTTTTAAAACTGTTGAATTTTTTGATACTTTTTTGGAATTTTTTTTTAATCTTTTGAATTTCAAAAATTTTACATGTCTTTTTACATTTTTAAAAAAAATTATTTTTTTTTTAATTTCCACATCTCTCCTGAAAAATCTTCATTTATGCACGGATCTCAAAACAATTTTCATTTTCATTTCTTCTGTTCCACTTCCCAATCGTACGGTGCATCCACATCCACATTGTTTTCCTTGCCGATTTCGCGGAGCAAGTTATAAATGTACTTGTAATCTGGAGTGTCCACATATTGTAAGCCTTCCAAATAGGTGAGAATTAGATGAAATTTGGGTTTTGATTTGAGGTCGCCGTAAAAGTCTTTGTGAACCTGGGTCTTCTCGTCGCGGATATTCTTCTTCATCTCGCCTACAACGTCTTTGTCGCTTTCTTTGCGCCAAGGAAGACCTGAAAGAATTAAAGTTATAGCAAAATTTGAAAAATGTAGGGTTGGCAGCTCGCGCCCTAGGCAGCAATTGAAAATACGTTTGACTAGATAGTTGAACCAGATAATTAATTGCCAAAACTTCTACAGTGGCAGAATACTTCTAAAAGTTTGTGCAGCAGTCCGTCTTCATAGTTACAATGGGCAGCTCGCGCCCTAGGTAGCAGTGTAAAAATACGCTTAATTAGAATTTTGATTTAGATATTTAATCGCCAAAACTTCTAATTTAGTAATAATAGTCTGAAAATTTGTGCAGCAGTCCATCTTCATAATTACAATTGGCAGCTCGCGCCCTAGCTCAAAATTGATTTTTTTGCCAAAACGCCAAAAATTAATAAAAACGCTACATAGTACTACTTCACAACCTAAATTTATTAAATTTCAACCACTAGTTAGACTTTTAAAATCAAAAATCTTACCCGGTTTGACCAGCAAGTCCATCATCATGTATAACCAGCATTCCACATCGTCTTTTCGTGCCAATTCCTGATTCCGATGGCAAGCCAATGATGCAAATCTTACAGTTCCCTTGAATCCAACTCTTTCTCTGGGCGTCTTCAGCTGCTGATCTTTGTTCATTACTTTTCGGGCAATACCAAAGTCCAAGATATAGATCTAAAAGTACATATTTTGGTGTGGAAAAAAATAAAATTAGAAGCTAATTTTTTCCCTCAAGGAAATTATAGGACATTAGTCTTTTCAATCGCCCAAAAGTTCAATAAAAAAATTAGGTTGCGCCGTAAAAACTCAAATTTTTTTTCAATCCACTTACAACATGGGTATTAGGTGGTCTTCCACACGCATAATTGGCCGGCTTGATGTCTCGATGGATAAATTGGACCTCGTGCAGGTCTTCGATGGCTTCCAGACATTGAATTCCAACTCCGAGGCCTGTGCCAAGACTGAACACCTTCTCCTGTCTCAGCATTTTCAAATCCGCCAACGATTTCCCGACCAAATCAATGACCATGAAGAAGAACGTGGGTTCGCGGCCCCGGTCGATGATATCCGTAAAATGGTTCTCTCGTCTCGGCTAAACGTATAAGGTGCAATTCGAAAGGGAAAGGCGATTTTTTTGTTGGATTTTTTTTGATGACAAATTCGAACTTTTCGGGGTTTTTTTAACCAAGATTTATTTTTGAGCTGCAAAAAAAGTTTTTTGAAATTTTGCCGATTTTTTTTGTGAAATTTTGCCCATTTATCTCACTTACGAATTGTCAAAAATTCCAGCCTCTGAATTGCTACGGAAGCCAAGATATTTATTATAACATAGGACCCCTACAGATCAGAGACTATTCTAAATCAAGAGGTCACAGAAACAATTAATCTTTCTATATTTGCTAAAACACTGTGTAATGAAGCCAAAAACGGCAGAAAGTCATATTTTTTGACCAAATTCCCTAGTCAAAGTTATGAAATTTCTCTCCAGATTGAATACGTAGAAAGATCAATCGGGCTCGTATTTTACCCCCAAATTTCTTTACCTTTTTCTCGACAGTTGATTTGTCCGTGTCCACCTGGCGGTCTTTTCGAAGCTTTGCGATCGTCTTGAGGATGCTAATCTGAAAGGCAGTGATGATTACAATTACTAACATGTACATTAAAATTCCCAGTAGACCCTAAAACCTCTGATTAGAAGTTTTACTAATACGACAAAAACACTGAACGTATTTTACCTCCATCTTGAGCTTGCTGTGTCGCCGGGTTTCGATCTTCTTCTCCACTTTCATGGCGCACTCCTTGTTGCCGTCGTGGACCAGAAAAACGGAGCCGAAGCCGCCTTCGCCCAACACTTTCAGTACAACGTAATCCACTCGGCCTTTTATCATTGTGCCCTGGGAATAAGAGGCAATTTTAAAGCCGAGGGTACCTTTTTGATCCCGAGATCTTCATCAAACTCTTCTTCGGACATGATTGCCAAGGGAGGGGGATGCGAACAACCAACAGCACGACGCGAGCGAACTGATCGAAATGAAAGCGGAATGAAAATTTGGCGGGAGTTTAAGTTTTTTGACAGGAAATTTGCATAATTTAACCGAAAATTTAGGTCTCTGCTGCAATAAAAAATGTCATGATGACTATTTTTTATCAATACTTTTGAGATTTTTGACCATTTTATCGAATTTTATCGCGAATTTATTCATATTTTCAAAGGATTTTTTTAAAGTCGAATATTTTGCAGCTTCTATCAGCGCCTCGCACAATGCCGATCCAGGAATTCTCCGCCTTGGACTACATGGGTGTGGTTGTTTGTGCCGTGGTGTTTGGGTTAATCCTGCTGGTGATCTCGGTGACCTGCCTCAACTGGTGCTTCATTTTGCCGGATGATGAGCTCACGAAAATGGAGCTGGTAAGTTGATGCGGCTATATAGGGAAATTTATGATTCAAAATTTCGCTTTTTAAATTTATGATGACAGATTATTCCATGTTTTTTCTACAAGTTAAAAATTTTTAAACAAAAGACCTATTAAAAGTTTTCGTACATATTATGATAAAGCAGTTCAAGACCTTTAAAAATATATATAATATACATTCATATAAAAATCTTTACTTCGTAAAAAAACAATTGGAAAAAAGATACATAGAAATTGGAAAATTTTTTTGGCTTACCCTAATATTAAACAACCAATTTTAAGACCCGTTTAACCCTATTTCTTTTCAGATGGGTCACAAGCGTCGTCGTCGTTGGGGTCCCCGTCGTCTCTCTTACATTGAACATCATATCAAGCTGCGTCAGGAGGACGATGACGCTATCTTGTCCAAGGCTCGGAGCGCAATCCATTAAACTTCCCCAATTTTTAGGATTTTGACTGTTATTATTTCTTTTGTAATCTTCTCACACTGCTCACCTTTTTTTTGTAGATTTGGGAAGATGAAATTTAAAAGTATTATTTGCTCTATCTGAGCAAAAAATCTTCTAAGCCTGGAGGCATATTACTTTTTTTGAGCTTTTTTGACCACTTTTGAGCCCAAAGTTGAGCCAGTTTATGATGCTACATCTCTAAGCCTTCAAAAATTTTTCATTTTGCTCTAAAATCCATCTCTTCAACTTCCCGAATCTGCAACCCCTTACTCTCCTAAACATATTCAATCTGCACGACGGCGTAATCTTCTTTCCTCATTTTCTAGGCCGTTCGCAAAGTTGCTGACATCATTTCGACGACATGGAATTGACTCTTTTCTTCATAATGCCAATGCCAAAACTTACAGCAACTTTATTACGAACGAACTAGAACTATTACTTCCCCCTCTCTCAAACACCCGATATATTTAGCTTTCACATTTTTCGGTCTTCTTGTATCCCTCAATACTCACTTGAAACGAGTCGGATCCGATTTATCAATAATGTGTTGTATGATTACACTCTCACCTCTGTCGGTAGTTCCTTTAAAATTTTTTTTGTTCCGAATAAAAAATCATCAACAAACTATAGTACAAATGGCATCATAAAACACGACCTCGTGGACTCGGATTTGCATGATTTATCGAGCAACACCACACATTCCACTCTTCGAAAAATGTTTTCTCCATCTTGTCTGAAATGGATCAAAATGTGGAGTTTGTAAATCTGGAGGCCAAGCGGAAGAATCTGCTTCAGAAAACGGTCAATAATTACAAACGACCGTTCCGCACGAAGAATGTGTTCTTCAAATCTCTTGTTGGGTTCTGCCCCTCCATTCAATGGCTGCCCAATTACAATTTGCAGAAATTGTATCAAGATTTAGCCGGAGGGCTGACCGTTGGGATCATGAATATCCCGCAGGGAATTGCGTATGCGATTTTGGCGGAAATCCCACCCGTAAATGGGCTGTATACGGTGTTGTTGGCTTGCTTGATCTTCCCGTTTCTGTCGTCTTGGCCGCATGGAAGCTTAGGTAAGAGAACTGAGGGGTTGGAAGCGACTGAACGGGGGTGAAATCACTCTATTTTTAGGCCCATTTGCCGTGGTTGAGTTGATGTGTGGAGCACTTGTCCGTCGACTAATGGCCGACGACACACTCGACTTTGAGACAACTCCTACCGAAATTATTTCCACGCTCACATTTTTGACCGGCCTGTTTCATGTGAGCTTTGTGGATCCTCGTTTTTTGATCAAACTTAAAGTTTAGATATTTCTGGCATCGCTACGGGTCACCTTTATCACGGAGTATTTCTCAGGCGCATTGGTCGGCGGATTTGTGACTGGCGCAGCCATTCATGTGCTCATCTCTCAATTTGATTCTTTTTTGGGAATTATGAAAATTCGGAGCTCGGGTCTTCTGTATTTGTTCAAGGTAGGATATCCGGCCAAAAAAAGTGGTTTTCTGTACATGTTTCTCGCTGTTCCGCAGTTATATTATACAGTGGGGGGACCTGGTCTAGTGGCAAAAAATGTACCATTTTGCGTCCGCGAAATATCAAAAATGTGGCAAAATGCTTCACTCTCCAAATGAAAAATCTTCGTTTTGAAGGGCGCCTCACAAAAAAAGCGGACGCGCTTTTGAAGTCTGAGCTTTTCGCTTGGAGATGGAGGTAGTTTGACACATTTTTTGATGCTTCCTGGATGCAAAATGGTACGTCTTTTGCCGCTGGGTCAGGTCCTCCACTGTACATGTTCCTTGATGTTCCGCAGTTAATGTTTTAGTTGACAAATTAAAGCTTTTCTTCTTGTATAAAAACAAGTAAGTTTCAACAATTTCTACTTTTTTTCAGAACGTGATCGCCATTTGCAGCCAAATTCCGAACACCAACCTGATGACCCTCGGGATTGGCGTTGTTTCAGTCGCGTTTCTGCTCATTGGCAAAATGATAGTCACTCCGGCGTTGAACGCAAGCCTCAAGAAGAAGTTGACAATTCCTTATGAACTCATTTTGGTGAGAATTTCATTTCATTTCCCAAAATCAAGCATCAAAAATTTAGTGTATTGTGGCCACAATTATCAGCTACTTCTTTGATTTTAATGGCCGCTTTAACGTCAAGATTGTCGGCGATATTCCACAAGGAATTCCAATGCCCGCAATGCCGAATGCCGCGCTATTGCAATACATTTGGACGGACGCTTTAGCTATTACCGTCGTCATGGTGGCGGTTCATCTTTCGATCGCCACTGTAATGTGCCAGAAGAAGGGTTATGTCGTGGACGACAACCAAGAGATTTACGCGGTTGGAGCGACGTTGGCAGTCAGCGGGCTTTTCCCCACTTTTCCGGCAGCCAATGGGCTTGGTCGACCGTTGATTTTATCAGAGTGCGGAGCTGTTACTCAGGTAAAAAAGGAGGCGTATCTGTTGTTGAAGACGGGCATAATTAAAGCTTATTTAAACAGTACAGTGAGGGACCTGATCCAGTGGCAAAAAACGTACCATTTTGCATCCGGGAAGCATTAAAAATGTGGCAAAATGCTTCCCTCTCCAAGTGAAAAAACTTCGTTTTGAAGGGCGCGCCCTTTTCCTCACAAAAAGAGCGGGCGCGCTTTTGAAATCTGAGATTTTTTTCACTTGGACAGGGAAGCATTTTGCCACATTTTTGATACTTCCCGAATGCAAAACGGCACGTTTTTTGCCACTGAATCAGGTCCCCTACTGTACTAATTGGTTAGTTTTCAGATGGCAAATTTAATAGCATTTGCCTTCACATTCGTCGTGGTCATGTTCTTCGCCTCTTTCTTCTACTGTTTGCCAATGGTGAGTGCAATTAGCCGTATTAGGAAGCTCTATAATTGTGTGCTTTTCAGACCGTCCTTGCCGCAATCATCTTAGTGGCACTTCGAAATATTCTGAAAGGGTTCAAAGAGCTCCCAAGCTTCTATCGAATCTCTAGATACGACTTTGTAAGCAACAATATCTCGACTTTTCAAATTTTTGACCGTTTTCAGGTCCTCTGGTGTGTTGCATTTGGAGCTACCGTGCTCACCGACGTTATTGGTGGCTTAATAATCTCCTTATGCTTCCAACTTCTCATAGTAACTTGGCGAACGCAATGGCCAAAATGGGAAGCCTGCTATTCGAAGCGAAAGCACAAGATGGACATGTGTATTTATCGGTTTGAAGCGATGCTAATCTTCTCAAACGCAAGATTGTTCAAGAAGACTGTGGAAGAAACGTTGCGAAAATGGAATGCCCAAGGGCTTGGACCGGTATGCTGATCGGAACGAACGGAAATTGTCTTGTGTTGCAGGTCCCCAGAGTCTTCATTTTTGACTTTTCTGGAGTCACCCATATCGACACGGCTGGGCTGAAAGCTCTTCAGGAAATGGTGGAGGCTATTAAGAGAGCAGCGGCTAGCGTGAATTTTGTTGAAGCGACCGGTAGGGTTGAAAATTTCAAATTTCTCGGGCTAGAAGTCTCTCTTAACTCATGTCAGAACTTTCTCTTCAGAACAAGTTCAGCGCCAAATTCAACTAACACATCCAATCCTGGAGGAGTGCGGCTTCTACGACAGCGCTGAGGAACTCATCTTTGACTCAAGTTGTAAGCCCAACGAGCAGCCGATAACCATTTTATCCACAAATCCGTTCGATTTCCAGTTGCACGAATCGAGAATTTAATAAATAAATTAAAAATGATGACTTTTTGAATATCATTACTCAAAAGTCTCGAGCTCAGCCTATGGCGACAACTACAATGTCCAGCCTCTCTCCTCGGCCCAATTGTTTTTGGGCCGCTCCTTTTTTACCGGCCCTATAACGAAAGGCAAACCGCGCATTAATTCCGAACAGGGGTTGTCATGGAAATTGATTTGGCAATATGAAAAAAGTTTGAAAAGCCCTCAAGGCGACTTTAACTTTTGTAGGGAGAAAACGTTTCGCCGGGCGTGGGGAGAATGTTTTATTAAACTGGCAGTATGAGTGGTTGATAGTTTATAGACTAAAACAAAGGGAACTTGATGGCTTTGTTTTTCGAGTAGGCAAGTATTCTGTCTATCACCTATGGTGCATTTAAGTCAACAAAGGGTCTACATATGGTGTTTCTTTTTTTTGTCCGGAAACAATATTTTTTGTATAGGTTTATATTTATATGAGAGCAATTTTATAGGGCGCTACGACTGCTAGGAGAAGCACCCCGATTGATCGGGTGCTAAGATAGCTTATCACCTATTTTGAGGCATTTTATATGTAATCACATCAATAATATATAGGTAAAAGTTACGGATCTTCGTCTTTTGCCGCAAACTTTGGTCGTTTATATGTTGCAATAACTCAGGGTAGAGAAACCTAACATTAGTGATAACTCAAATTAGAAAAAGTGGACATATTGCGAGCCCTTGCCGAGTCTTCGCCAAACATCCGCAACGGCTTTGCCAGGCCTCTAGGCACTTTCTACAACCTTTTTTCGGGTATCCACCTACCCTATGCCCCTATTGATCAATTTTGTATTGACCCGAACTTCCGTCGACCGAAAGGGGAGGCGTTTTATGTAATAGTACTCGAGACAAAAAGTCAGCGGAACATTTCCGCCGACGTCACGGCAAGGCAAGTTTGAAAGATGTCTCGCAAGAAAGTGCACGTCGCTTGGCGGTAAGTCGCAGCGACGAAAGCAATAGATCAGAGAAGAACAAATGCAAATTCTACTGACTTTATGCCTCGAGTAGCACCGTAATAGTCCCCAAGGACGTCAAGCACTTTTGCCTTGAAATTGCGCTGATGTTTGTGTGGCGCTAGCTATGCAGAACAGAGAATTATGCCATATAAAACCACAACCCTCTTAATGATTCCGTTGTAATTTCCAATTCATTTCTTTTCGACTTCTCCACTCGCAATTGACTATGCATATAAGGAAGTAACACCTTCCATTACCCATACTTCAGAATAAGTTGGGTTTTAATGCAATCTAGCCGGTCCGTTAATTCAGTTTTCCGCGGCGTTTTCTAAATCTTATTGGTCTTTACGGTTTCCAAGTGCGTTTTTAATGCCATTTTCGTAGGTTTAAAGGTTAGCCCGGTCGTTACACTTTCTCGGAGTGGCAAAAAATGTCACGGAGGTGTTTGTTGATTACACAAGGTTCTTCTTTCAAAACTTTTTTTCAATTTTGAAGAAACTGCCTGAAATGTAGAGGTTTATTGTTTTTTTTGCATAATAAATAACTGGTGTGTATTACCACATAAATGGTGTACTCCGTTAAACGTGGAGCAGCTGGAAATTTGCAGTACATTGACCATTTCCTTAGACATAATAGAAAATAACCAGTTTTTGTGAGATTTTTCGGGCGGTTTCTAGAGAATTTGCGATTGCCAGAAACAGCGATATTGAAATTTCTTTTCTTCCCAAAAATGGCTCAAGATGACGTGAAAGTCAAATACCAGCCAGTGCTTATGCCCGCAGGCAGCAACTTTATACAGTGAGGTACCTGATCCAGTGGCAAAAAGCGAACCATTTTGCATCCGGGAAGCAACAAAAATGTGGCAAAATGCTTCCCTCTCGAAGTGAAAAAACTTCGTTTTGAAGGGCGGCCCTTTCCCTCACAAAAAGAGCGGGCTGGCTTTTGAAATCGGAGTTTTTTCACTTGGAGAGGGAAGCATTTTGCCACATTTTTGATATTTCGCGGATGCAAAATGGGACATTTTTTGCCACTGGATCAGGTCCCCCCACCGTATATTCAAGTTATATATTTTACTAGGCCATCCCTTATTTTTCAATACCTAACCATGCCTTTCACGTGACGCTCCAAAACTCGTTTTGTCGTCTTTTTTATGGCACGTATTGTCTGCCGCCGCTACCGTTTTTGCTCGCTTTCATTACAACTCAATTAGCACGTTTACACCTGCCTCCTTTTCCCATATTTTTATTCAAAATTATTTGATTGGACCACATTTTATTCTCTCAGAAAAAGGTAAACAGAATTTCGTTTTGATACGGAAACACTACGTAGTAAATGCTCAAAATTTCTAGCTTATGTTCGTCAGACAACTGCCATTTTTTAATCAGTTTTTAGTATGAAAAAATTGATATATTGGATTGTAGCTGTCTATAATAAGATTCCCCATTCACACAGTTGTATGTACTTGGCGGATATTCATTTCTCAAAAGTTTTCGTATTTGTCCTAGTTTGGTAACAAGGGTCGCGTGATACGAATACAAAAAATAATATTTTTTCGTGTCACCCAAGGTCAAAAACTGTTTAGACAACGGTCCTTAGGGGTTTAGAAATGTTGAAAGAGTGTGCCTCAATAGCGCAGTGGCAGCGCGTCAGTCTCATAATCTGAAGGCCGTGAGTTCGATCCTCACTTGGGGCAGAATTTTTTTTATGTTTTCGGAAAACCTATTGTGTACGTAATTGCTATTTACGTTTTCGGCGTACTTTGTAGGCTCCGTGGCAGTGAAGCTTCGTATTTTTCTTGGTTCCACTTTACCTCTTCCTACATTTTTTTTGTTTTTGTATGTCTCGCTTTTCCAAACGTCTCAGATGACCTTTTGAGGTATTTCTGGAGCGTTGTGAGTAAAGTGCATTCATTTCGTAATCACTGCGGTTATTCGTAATTTGCACGACACTGGATTTCTTGGAGCGCCTCAAGAGTCTATACATAGTGCAACTGCTATCTCTAAAGAATTATAAAAGAATATATGTCCGAGTTTTTTTATTATCATGCCCATTTTATTATTTTTTTCGAAAAAAACACAAGTTTTTCATTTTTTTTTCAAATCTGTGTTTCAACGCGAAAACAATCCTTGTTTTGACTTAATAATAAAGGCCCTCGGTCGGCACCACCTTTTCCGCATCAACCATTTCCGGAAAGTTACCGCTAATATCACATAAATTCCCGGTTTATCCGCGAATTATAAAAATACGTACGAAACATATTTTCATATTTTCAACGCTCTGCAAACTTGTCGAAATTCAGGTTGTTTCTTGTGTGAACACGGAAGGTGTAGGTGTTCGTGGGAGAACGAAAACACATTGTGTGGGAAATGGACTTTGCTGTAACTTTTCGAAAAATGTTAATTGAGTGTGGGGGGATTGAGAAATAACCTTATAGAGTTAAGTTAATAAGACTTCGGAAAAACAAATTTTCAAGAGAATTTCTAATTGAAATTGTTGATTTTTCAGTCGTTATGGCTTTTCCGTACTAGCTGTTTATACTAAGTTTCAAATAAATTTTTTTTTTAAATTAAAAATGCTAAAATACGATTGATTAGATCAAATTTAAAGCCGCAATTTTTGCTCACAAAGTTAATAAAACCTGACTTATGAGAGTATGAGGTGTCCTTAAAACCATTGACACCATTAAGCGGCCCATTCCACAACCCACGAAAACATTAATTTTTTACCTTGCATTAAGTCCACTTCTAACAAACAAATCGAAAACTTCTTGCCAAAGGGCTTGATGTTTGTTAATCTGACGTAACTTTTCGCTTCCAATAAATACAAGGTAATGAGTTGTGTGAAACGAAAGCTTGAGCAGGACTACATCCACGGGTGTAAACGGAAGCGGAATTTGATGCCCCCCGTCCGACTTTTTTACCATTGGCCAATTATTTCGAGATTTTTGACGTTTAACTTCCCCATCTGGGGATTCCGGATGCTTACATAAGAAATTGCGCAATAGAGGTGAGTATAATTATTTGTAGGATAAGCCGGGACATTTTGAAGGGCTGAAGTGCTCTTGAAATGTAATTGAGGCGAAATTTCTCTGAATTTCGGTAGATTTTCTTATTTTTTTTTTATTTTTTAAGCCTACTGATTGCAGAACAATTATCGGATAGTCATCATAACAAGTAGTTATATATGGCTTACAGTAAGTATTAGGGGTGTGTTGCTTGGGGTCTATGTTGAAGTGTGTTTTTTTAGTTATTAATTTTGGGAGGGATTTCCGGTTATGGTCCGTTTTTTGGCTAGTTATATACCTTTTGCTGACATTGAGTTCAGTCCAAAATCAAGACGCTATTCAAATTGAAGTAACAAAAAAAAACAGATTTTCTCGTAAGCTCACAAATCAAGCACGCAAAGAAACGTTGTTTATAGAGACGTTGTACATACGCCAACCTTCAAAAGAAGTTTTGAATTCATGAAAACTTTTGGCGCCAAAACTTAGGGCTTTCTGCACACCCCAAGCTAATAATGTTACATCTTTCTTAACAAAATTCGGCCCGAACACATATAGACCAACTTCAAATCACAACCCATACGATCCCTTCTTTTGAATATATGCTAGAAATAATTACCCGTAATTACCACATTTTTCTTGCAAACTAATTACCGTCATCTTAAAAATTTCGCTTTTTTCCTGAAAATAAAGTTATTTTCGGCATCTTCTCTTCGCCTATTATTCTATTTACCATCCAATTTGAATACATACTATAATTTTATATTACACTTAAGACATTTTCTTTTCTCTTCAAACCCCATGTTTTCCCGCTTTCACGTGACTTTACTTTCATCTACGTTTGACGTACAATGTCAATTGCGCCTTTTTATGCCCTCAGAATACGCGCATCTTTCCGATTTGTTGATTCTAATGCACTTTCCCGACACTTGTAAAAAATGCTTTTAATTATAACGTCTGAATGTCATAACGAATGGTTCCAATATAAATTGAAGTCCGTTGCGTGCTACGGTTGATATGCCACCGTAGAATTAAATTTTCTTTTTTTGATCCCTCGAGGAATTAATTTCTTTCTTTGACGGTAGAAATTACATATTAGCACTAATAAGAAAATATATTGGAGGATCACATAATAATTGGTATAAAATTTATTTATTTCCAATCGCAATTCACACTTTTCTCTAGGCATACTTCTCCTTTCATTAACCAAAAACTAAAAAGTTACTGCCCCAAGTGAGGATCGAACTCACGGCCTTCAGATTATGAGACTGACGCGCTGCCACTGCGCTATTGAGGCACGTCTCGCACCCGTTTTATTTTCCCTCAAACGGTGGCGTACTTTGCAAGGAAATAAAAGTTCCTAGTAGTGAAGATATACTAGAAAACACTAGGACTAAGGATAGTCGTTTTGTGTATAAAATCGCTGTGTAAATGATGAAATTAAAGATCTCTCATTTCGAAGCCAGAAAAACCCACTTTTGTACTTTCCCTACCCTATTCCCTCCACTAAACATTTCGATGCATCTGACTTTCACCTACTACAAAAGCTGTTGTCTGATTTCCCATTCAAATTCCAACTGTTTTTGCCGAAAACTCAAACTTTGTCTGCGAATTCCCTTAGCATCTCATTAGGATAGATTCTAAACATCCTATTCGTAATAACACTCAAGTAGGTTTCACAATCATGTTTTTCGTTCGGATTGTTCCGGAGAAATGATTATAGTCGCCGGGTCGTGAAGTCACTTGCCCAAGTCGGCAAATATTTGCAATGCGGTGGAGTAAGTGTGGCATTCGACCTCAATAAGAGAGTTTTGAGACTTCTGGGAATTGTCTGAAGGACTCTGCTCGCCTTTTTGCACTTTTCTTTCCGTCATACCCTGGCTTACCGTATTTAGAACTATTATAAAAAAATCGAAACCTAATAAAAATTTTAAAAAGTTACTGCCCCAAGTGAGGATCGAACTCACGGCCTTCAGATTATGAGACTGGCGCGCTGCCACTGCGCTATTGAGGCACACTCCACCTTTCTCTTCTTTTTCCTTGGGCCGCTGACTTTTTCTCAAGAAGGGGATTTCCGCAGGAAAAGAGAGTAAATTTAATGTAAACCGTAACTTTTTCACGAAAGTAAACCTCGCTTTCCTTTGCTAAAAATCTTGCTAATTGTTTTTCCAACCCTTTTTCACCTTCATATTTCGACTTTTGCGTAAAAATGCACGTTTCCTGCCTTATACTACCACATCATCTATGATATTAACCTTTCGTACGTTCGAAATGATATCATTTACACTGACCCAGTAATTTAAACCAAAAATTACTTTTGGTGTTTGGTGAAACGCCTAATTTTCGACAATACAAGAATTATCGCTTATAATGAACACCCTGGAGAGTAATAATACGCCCAGAGTCCAGGGTATAAAGGGGACACAGACTCATTTGCAGTGTTTCTTGGTTTCCAGTCAAATCCGGAAAGCTATTGAGGGAATTGTAGTGGGTGGGATGTCAGCAGTACCTTTTTGTACCACAAATTGTCATATTATCTTGTTTTCGTGCAGTTAATCACAAGTTTCTGACATTTTTGTCCAAAAAATTAAACTGTTTTTGGTTGGGAGACCTGATCCAGTGTATCAAAAAATGTGGCAAAATACCTCCCTCTCCAAGTGAAAAAAAACTCTGATTTCAAAAGCGCGCCCACTCTTTTTGCGAGGAAAAAAACGCGCGCCCTTCAAAACGATGTTTTTCACTTGGAAAGTGAAGCATTTTGCCACATTTTGATACTTCCTGGATGCAAAATGGCACGTTTTTTGCCACTGGATCAGGTCCCCCACTGTATATCGGCAAGATTTGGTGCCAAACTGCGCGAACCCCTTCTATTTCCGCTTTTCATTACCTTATTCTCAGAGACTCCCCCAAAAATCCCACTGGCTGATCGATTGAGGTCCCCAAAACCTCGCACGGCTGGCCGAAAGATGGGCGCGGCATTATGTAAGCGGGACAAGGTTGTGGATGAAACCGCCGAAATAACGAATAAGACGATCGAAAAGGAGTTACGAAATGACAGGATACAGGAAAGGAAGACAATCAAGGTGCTATTGCTTGGTAAGAAAAAGGGATTTTTTGAATCTATCAGTCTGTCGGAAAAATAACGGCGGATCGTCGCATCAAAATGTCTCGCCTCGCCGCTGTCGCGCACCAAATCCCAAGCCGCGGCTTGCAGTCGCAAAGCGATGATGAGCGACTCCGAGGCGCGACGATCCGCCGTTTTTTTCCCGACAGACCGATAATAAGCTGTAAAATGCGAAAAAAATAAAAGTATTTTTTATGTACAGCTTTGTGCGACACATTCATAATTTACTTCAAAACCTCATAATTTTTTTGCTTTTTGGGTCCTACCACGAAATCCCTGAGGATCAAGGGGAATAGCTGAAAAGGCTATAAAATTACAAATATCGACGGTAAAAAGCTTGCAGATTATTTTTACAGTCTTTTCTGACATTTTTCCCCTTCTAAATCCCAAAAAATCCCCTTCTATACTACACCAAATCTTATTCTAAATTTCAGGCTCTGCTGACTCTGGAAAATCCACAATTGCCAAACAAATGCGAATATTGCACGCGCAAGGCTTCAACGAGTCCGAACTCATCAATTACCGGTATATGATCTTCACCAACATGGTCGTGGCATATCATCATATGTGTCGCGGCTGTCAAGCGCTAAATGTCCCAGTAAATGAGGAGGAAACAGTGAGTTAACAACCACTTCGACTTCATTCTTCCGTTTTTTAGACCATCTTCGATCAATTCCTCAACAAACATTTAAAAATCTTGGATATGATCGACGATGACATCATTGTTGCCTTGGGCAAAATGAGAAGCTCAATGTTTACGAAGGAAGGTCTCAAACACATCGACAAGTTCTACATGCCCGATAACTCTACATAGTAAGTTGGGAGCGAATATTTTTCATCGTATTTCAGCCTCTTCGCGAATGCACATCGAATCTTGGGAGCGAATTATCACCCCACAGAAATCGACATCATTCATGCTCGAGCCTCAACCACCGGTGTCTACGAGATCGGGTTCCAATTCAGAAGCTTCTATATTAGGTAAAATACAATTTAAAATAAAAAATACAGGTAAATTCATACCATTTCAGGTTAATCGACGTTGGTGGACAAAAAACCGAGCGACGGAAATGGATCCACTGTTTTGAAAACGTAACAGCGGTACTTTTTGTAACCGCGCTGTCCTGCTACGACCAATTTTTGGAAGAAGAACCTACGAAGGTCAGTTTTAGCGGAAAAAATAGGATTTTTATATTGAGCTGATGACCAATAAGGCATAAAAGATCGGTCGGATGTACAGTGGGGGGCCTGATCCAGTCGCAAAAAAAGTATCATTTTGCATCCGGGAAGTATCAAAAACATGGCAAAACGCCTCCCTCTCCGAGTGGAAAAAACTCCAATTTCAAAAGCGCGCCCGCTCTTTAGGGCATGCCCTTCAAAACGAAGTTTTTCCACTTGGAGAAGGAAGCATTTTGGATACCTCCCGGATGCAAAACGGTACGTTTTTTGCCACTAGATCAGGTCCCCCACTGTATTTTAAATTCCAAATATTGTATCTTCAAATATCTTCAAAACAAATATTTCGTATTTCAGAACTCTCTGGAAGATTCCGTGGAGCTGTTCAATAGTATGTATAACAATGAATATCTGCGAAAATGCAACTTTATCCTCTTCATGAACAAAAAAGATATTCTGGAGAGGAAAGTGGAACACTCGCCATTCAACAAGTACTTTCCCAATTATTCTGGGAAAAACAAGTATGAAGAAATCAGGGATTACATCAAGGATCTGTTTGTTGAGGTAAGCGAGGAAGTTCTCGAACTAATTTTGAGTCCCACCACGAAAGGCCTGAAAATCAGGGAATTGATCCAAAACAGCTGAAACTGGTTCAGAAAACCCCCTCAAGTTATACATCAACTAATTTCAGGCCGAAATCGATGACACAAGGCATATATATTTGCATTTTACGAATGCCACCGACCGAGGAAACATCGATTTTGTGTTTGGAGCGGCGTGTGACATAATCCTTCAAAACAATCTGAACAAAGCGGGAATGAACTGATTGATCTCTACATAAACTTTTCTTTCATTTGCGTTGTTAATAAATTAGACAACCGAAACTACAAAAGTAATGCGGAAATTACATTACCCATGAACAAAAGTCAAGTATCCTTTTCTTTCAACAACCTTTACTTCAAAGAAAAACCAACAAAGAAAAAAAACGAGTGAAGAATAAAGAGATTCCAGCGAGAAAATGGGAAAATAATTCAAAATCTTAGCATAACATCAAAAATCAGTTCGAAAATAAAGTAAAAACTACATATTATTGAATAAAAGAGGAAATAGAGTATTATAATAGTAATTATTACTTCAACAATGGTTTAATAAGACAGTATCTTTGTTCCACAGCCGGCACAACCATCAGTCATCTTCTTCACTCTAAAAATCGGAGCCTCAGACCAGCTTCACCATCATTCTGGTGTATTTCAAGTGGTAGAAGAACTTGCTGCGATCCTCCGACTTCTTGATGATGGCGGCTTTGAACCCGCCGCATTGCTGTTCTCTCAACCTTCCATTGAATGTGATCCAAGCACACGAGGACGAACCGTGCCACCATCCGCTAAAAAATCAAGTGTAACATCGAAAACGACAAAATCTCGCCGGAAATCGTAAATTAAAGTGCTGAAACGTTTTCTCTTACCCATTCGCGAAATGAAAAGCGCAATTAACGGTAAATCCACGGGACTCGTCCGTTGTGGCAAACTGATTTCCGTTGAGTTTTGTGAGACTTTCATATGGATCCGTGAGGTTGCCAGAGATAAAACGAGTGTTCAGACGGTAGCCATCATCCTCACCAGTGATCTATGAACCGAATAGTTCAGAATCGTTTAAGGAAAAATAAGAAAGTGGCAAAAAAATATATTGCACTGGCTAAAACATCAAAAAAAAAGAGCCGAAACAATCTTCAAATCTGCAATTTTAGCATTCACAAAGGCAGATAAACAATTACAGAGAAAAATCCATCCAATTTCGAGGCCATTCCCGAAGAATTCCCACAATTTTCCCAACCTACTTACCTCAAACTCATGATCAGCAGTCAAAAACAACTCTCCATACGAAGTACCGCCTTTCTTACAGGGTTCAGTCTCCGCCTCAAGGCGCAATACCAACTTTCGACCATGTTGCAAAAGGGCGTGCACCTTTTTCAGACCGAGCCAATAATCTCCATGCGGATCACCAAATCCGTCGCCGTATTCCTTGAGTGTTTTACTTAAAAAGTCCAAATCATCAGTGTGACGCTCTTGAATCACAATCCAGGCTTCATCCTTCTGCTTATCGAACACGCACTTGGCTGGGAATTGTCCGACTGGGGAAACATTCAGCGCATAAACACCGTTCTTGTATCTGCCTTTGTTCAAATAGGTTTCGCAAGTCTAAAAACAAAAAACAATGCAAATCAAAAAATTCTCACCTCAAAAGCATCATCAATGCTCTTGGTCGGCAGCGTTCTGAAAATGGATGGAGTAACAGTAGTGGTGGTAGTTGTAGCAGTCTCTGGAGCTAAGGCTGTGCCAACATGGAAACGGTATACTTTGGTGGTAGTACGAGGACGATAGACCAACTTGGCAGTAGTTGTAGTTCGAGGCAAGATAGTAGTTGTGGTCGTTGTATATAGATCCTTCCTCGGCTGGAAGAAAACAGAAAAGATTATATAACTTTAGGTAAAGCGCAAGTAAAGATGCATTTTTATGCAACAGGGCTGTAAAGCCCGCGTTCAGGACCTAACAGACACAGTTTACGATTGCCACGGATATTCCCGTAGATCTGAATGTGTTTTAGTCAACTAAACTTATTTTCATCATGTCACAGACAACATAAAATATCCTACAGCCTGTCTAATATCTAAAATCCAAAAAAAGCAATGCGCTAAACAACTTACAAAAACCGTCTCAAATCTCACTTCAACGACATCTTGGCCAGGGCGAATGATGATGCTTGGCACCGGCGTGGTAGTTGTTGTAGTAGTCGTGCTCGTAGTTGACGTCGCTTCAGTGCGGTCAGAGAAGGCGAATAACAGAACAATCAGCAAAATAACGAAGATAAGCGCAATCAGAAGAGCTGAGCAAAATTTGGCGAATCCCCAGCAACTAAAACATACGAAATTCAACCGTTTTATATAACCTTACGTGCAGTCGCTCGGATGTTTTAATCGGACTTTGGCGGCCAAACATGGATCCAGTTCGGTGTTGTTCATGCAATTTTCGTCCATATAATACCTTTTCATTCTGCTGATTCGACTGAGGTTGCTGAAAAAAACATTTTTTAACAAAATTTACATTCTTCATGGATAGAAGACACAAAACTCACTCCAAAGTGAAAGAATCCATCAATTTCGACCGATTCATTGTACCAAACACTAATTTAGCCCGTAATTCTGATGGAAAGTTGCGCACAAAGGCCGGATTCGGCCCGCGTTGTTTGGTTAAACAGAACGCCAAACACGTGATTTCGCGGTGGGACTCCGGCACAAGGTATCATAAACATTACAAATTCAACAGAAGTCCGACCAATGAAACGTTGTAAAAGCTTCAAAATGAGAGAGCATCGGAATTTATTAGGCGAAACAAAAAATCCATCGAACGGTAACAAAAAACAATATAACATATTATTATTGGATTAAAACTTGGAGTATATAAATTTTGTATGTACATAAAGCGGTTAAAAAGCACCCTCTCGGCTTAGGATTATATACATCACGATGAACATCTTATTGGCTCTGCTCTTCGTCGAAGACATCGAGTTCGGGGTCGTACAAGCTACACTCGGCCAGATGTTTCTTGTCGTTCGTGGCGGAGATAGTAATCAAGCACAAGACGAGTCCCTGAACAAGGTAGTAGTATCCATAGGCAATCACTTCCAAGACCAGCCGAGTAAAATATGGGAGCGAATGGTGGTGAGTGAAAAAAATGAAACCAACGACGACCCAGGACAAGATGAACATCACAATGTCCAACACAATGCTGGCAGTCTAAAAATTCAAACAAATGAACAAAACTGCAATAAAAACTCACCAACAGTCTAATCACGACTCTGTACATCTTCACACTTCGATATCTGGCCGCGGCAATGAGCAAAAGTTCGGTGATCAACAGGATGGAAACTGAGATGGAAAACAGAATGGTGAACCTTGGGCTCCGGAAGAAGTCGGAGCATTGCGTAGAATGAAAATAGAAGAATGCTTGAAGCAGTTGCGAGCCAATGATGAACGCAAAGAATGAGATTGGCGTCACCCACTAAAACGGACAGTTTTCGGCAACAGTTATATAATAACTCACGTGGAATTTGAAACCAGTGCATTTCTCGAGGATTTCCTCGCCTTCGTCGGCTCCTTTGCGAATGTCGACAACCATCGTGGAGTTTGGGTGTGGGAAGGGTAAAAATATGTAGAAAATTAGAGCGGAAGGCTATAAAATAGAAATTATAATATTATACATGACACCAAACGTAAAAAGCGCAAAGACAACAACAAAATTGGGCAATCACACAACTCGGAACAAGAAAAAAGTCGAGAAAGTGCGACGAAAAATAAAAATGTTGTTGCTGGCAACTCCCGCAGAAATGCCAAGCCGCCGAGGTTGGGTCTCGGCACGAAAACATGACTTCCCAAAATATGCTTATTTTTAGGTTCAAACCGGCCAAGACTGGAATGTAATTGAATAGAGAGAGGTAAATATTTTAAAATAAGCATTATGAACCTGAAGCTTTAATAAAATTGACTTATGATATAACTTATGATCATTCACCAAAAATTTTTCCAAAAAATCGAAACAATAGGGCAAAAACAACCACGAGCTGATCGAAATCAATTGCTAATTTGCTCTTTGGACATTGATTTAGGAGGTTTATTGTAAAAAGTTTCTATTCTTTCTGGTTTTTTTATGATTCCCATTTCTTCTCAATCCAAAAAGCCCGCACTTTGCAAAAAAAATCCATGGCTTCGAGTCAAATCAGCGCAAATCCGCACTTCCGGCCTCGACCTCCAGAGACTTTTTTTGCGAAGGTTGCAAACTCTTAGTCATTCTGCTCTCGTTTTTGTCTCAAAATGGACTCTCCACCGAATTTTCTGGATCGTCATTGCGACTGTTTCGATGATGATATGCAATTCTTCCAGAAGTCGTTTCAGCGGAAAAATGTGAGTTTGAAAAGGATTAGGGGGTGAAAATACAGTATAATTGAGAATTTGTTTTTAGTTGTAAAATACGTTTCTAATTAGCTATGTTATTTATATTAGGCGTACAACTAATTTCAGCCCAAACCGCAAGTCCTTACAAAAGTCGGGGACAACAGTTTCTTCAAGCTTTCGAAGAAGGTCCCTCCAACTTGGAATCCTCGAGAATCACATGCGTGAGTCTTCATTTTTATATTCGCACTTTTCACTGTGGATTTTTGCCTTTGCGCACCGTGCAACCTCAAAAAAAGCCGATTGCACTGTGCAAATTTTTGAGCAAAATCGCGGCGGCGCAGTTGAGAAAAGCTTACGTCGCAGCGATATTTCAAATCACAGTGCAAAGCCAAAAAAAGGTGAGTGCACGGTGCAAAAGATCGGGGATTTTTTTTGCACTGTGTGGACCGCGGCAAATGTCCAGGCATCTCGAAAAGTCGACGGACTGTGCGAAAACAAAAGTTTTCTTTGCACTGTGCAATTTTTTGCCTTTTGCACCGTGCAATAAGCTTTTTTGGGTTGTCGCTCGCATCCTGACTTTTTTTCGCACAGTGCACACGCCAAAAATGAATCCGGCGACTTTCCGACGGCAGTCGTAGGTCCTAAAAAATACATTGATCTCAAAATGTATCTGTTCAATTGACTTTTCAGCCCTGAATTCTTTGATCCGATCTACAAGGCGACCCTCTGTTATTACTGCTATCTTAATGAATCAGATGGAGAGGAAGGGGACTTGTTAAAAATTCGACCAATGAAATTATCGTTTCATCTGGATGACGAGACTTTTTCACTCTACGAACCGATCACGGATAATTCAGGACATATTCAAGTAAGAGAACTTTGAAGGGATAAAAATTTTGAACCATTTGTAAAATAAAACATGGTATTAATTACTTTAAAGGGTCGACAATTCCATCGTCAGCGAATTCCGAGGAATCCAAAAACCGTTGGGACCGATTACTTGGATTGGAAAGACGTCCATGTTGGGGAAGATTTGGTCTTATTTGGAAGAAAATATCGGATTGTCGGATGTGATGACTTCACCAAGGTACAGTGTTATTAGTATTTTCATAAAGTGCATGGAATTTTTTTTCTTTGGCACAGTGCATCCTGATCTTTTTTTTGCAAAATGAACCTTCATACAACAAACCTCGTCTATAACAAATGTGTTTTTGAAACCGGTGATTTGTTATACTGAGTTTTGACCGCACTTCTTTGCATCTGTTCACAAGGGTACCTTGTAATTTTTGGTATTTTTCGAATTTTCTGGAGGATCGAGGGATTCATGTGGACGATTCGGAGCCAATCCCGACTGATGCTTGGAGCGTTTTTCGACACTTTCGACCGCAGAAAATGTATCGAGACGACGAGTTGACCGAGATGATCAACAAAGCTTCTCTTGAGGTGACTTTTACTATTTTTAATGATCCATTTTAGACCTTCTCTGGACCTAGAATATATAGTTGCTACGTAGCATCTGAACTATTAGTTCTAGAATTTGTCTTTCATATCCGGATTAGTAATCAGAAAATCTCAAAATTTCAGACCGAACTACCCTCTTGGGAGACCCTGCCCATGAACTTGATTTTCCATGTGGCCTGGCTTGATTCGAAAAATGATTTCCACGGAACGAAAGTCAAAAGGACATTTCGAATGATCGCCACACCAGCTGATGATACTGTAACTTTGATCGAAACAACTCCTGGTTTCAATAATCAAGTGTTTTTGAAGGGACTCAGGTTGAGTTATTTGGCCAAAGGTAAGACCATAACATAGCCAAAATTACAGTAAATATTATCTTCAGATCAGGTTCATCGTTTCTATCGAGTGGCCAATTTCCGGCCCGGGATTTGGATCGACGTTTTCAAGCGTCCAATGTACATCTACGACTGTGAGGGAGAGGCCACAAAGGCGTATATTCGTCAGCAATTTGGGACCATTTCGTACGGAACTCTTCACATGGAGATCTTGGAGCGAGGGCCTCCAGCGGAGCAGTTTGAAATCTTACCCAATGAGCTCATGTTCAAAGCCACGAATGTGAGTAAGATGTTGGCTTCGAATCCGTTGTTTCAGGACGAATTCCCGGGAGTCAAGTTTTTGATCCTCTACAATGTGAATAAGCGAAAAATCGACATTTTCGAGGAAAGCCGGCTCAAACAATGGGCCAAAGGGCGCACTTTTTTGTTGGACATTGACGCCACCAGCATGTCGTAAGTCTTTTACTTACAGTCAGAATACTATGGATTGTAATCCGACAGACCAATATCTTACTTAGCAAATAAAAAAAAGTAATTTTTAGGCTAGAAACCCTAAAGCCTGGGTCAATTCTTCGACTGTTCAAATGGGACTTCAAATTGGGCGATGCGAACGAGGTCACGGCCAAGTTCATCAAATTCACCGAAGACACCGAGGACACCCATAATGTTGATTTGTATAATGATGACTAATGGTTTAATAAATTCGATTTTTTTATTATTCCCGGAAATCATCACAAAAATAAAAAAAATCTGGGATCCACGAATCGCCTCCAGCTGTACTTACTTTACAGTGCGATGATTTATTGTTTGACCCTTGCGGCGACAATGAAACATTATTTTTCCACTGTAACATACGGTAATATCGTATCTTTAGATACGATATTTAGAATTCTCCTTTCTGAAATTTCACAGGCAATTTTACTGAATTATCATAAAATTTTGCTCTACTACACAGGCCATCAAAAAAACTTCGACAAATATAGTGGTATAGTAGTTAGTGCCAATCCAGCAACCCGGGTTTGAGTCCGGCTGGGTGCGAATATCGAAAAGAAGATGGAAATTACTGCGGTTCAACGCGTTATACCATTTTTGACGCAGAGTTGCCCAAATTGGTGAATATCTTACTCCAGAGCTAATTTGATAGAAGGCAAAGATTTTTGGAAATTTTTGTTCTTCTCTACATGCGGAGCGCCACAGTTCAAAAGTTTCAAATATTAACATATTCTTAACCATGTTGTTGATATTTATTGTTACTTTTGTATAATTTAGTTAGTATTTCCCACCGTAATAACAAACACAAAGATATAATTCACGTTTCTGTTGTGTTTCATCTGTGTAATTCCAAACGATGACCTCAGTCCGTTCAGGAGAGTCTCTGCTGTTCTTTCGAAAGGTAAGTTCAAAATCACCGTCATGAACTTCGTGACAAAATCCATTACCATCTCGTTTATGGCGGAGGCCGCACTCCACCGAAAACAAATCATGGGAAAGTTTGTCACATGGCTCAAATAGAAAGGAGCCGCGGCGCACGTATTTAATTCGGAGTTTGACAAACTCGCCTTCGGTAAAGTTGATCGTGAGCGGAAAAAGATGAAATTCGCGTATATTTTTAATTGCTAAATATGAATTTCTTTTGGGGATTGGTTCAAATGGCAGGGTCCCACCATCAAGATGAGTTTCAAAGTAAATGATCTGACAGCTCTTGATGAGCAACAAGTTTAAATCGAATTTTTTGGCCAGGTAGAAAGCTTGTTCAGCACTTTCCAGTGTCACTTTTTCCAGGAGTACGAGTTCGCATTCGTTCTGAAAATAATTTTGTTTCGAAAATGGCCAAAGTGTGTTCATTGCAAAAACGTAAATTTGCTCAAAAACATTCGGGTCAAAGTTGAATTGCAAATCGATTCTCTTAAAGGAATTCTAAGCTTTGATTTCGTATTTAAAATTTGACGGAGACTCTGGCATACAGTTAACTAATTTCTAGCCAAAATCCACTCACCTTTAGGTCTTGGAGATCATATCGATGTGCCAAATGGATCACACTACTCGCTAACTTGAAACTATCAATCTTCGTGTTCATGTAAATGTGTTTCAACATGGCTTCTACTGCGTCGGGATCTTCGTTGCTTAGGTTCCAGACGCCTTCTTGGTCTTCTTTGAGGCCGGAAAGGAGCATTGTTTCAAGGACCAGCGACTTCTTGACTAACTGATGCTTGCAGACCTGAAATTGAAAAAGTCAGAAAATGCTTAGAGCGAAGATCGTACATGGAACGTCTTGTCTCCAACTTTGACTTTCAGATCGCTGACTTTGGGCTCGTTGAAAAACTTGTCCTCAAACGGGATTAATTTCTCCACATTACCTAAAACACACAAAATAAGGCTGTTTAACAAAGATTATCAAATAAAAATAGTAAATTTTACGGTAACTTACTCCGAAGTTCCATTATCTTGCGTTCCAGGAGTTGTCGTCGTGTCTCCTCCATGACCAAAGCTGGGTTTATAAATGCTGCGCTTTCGATTTGAGACGCCAAGGCAATGACCTCTATTTTCTCTTACGGATTACGTCATCAAGTCACTCTACGAACCGATCACTGATACTTCAGGGCATATTCAAGTAATACCGTAATATCGTATCTTTAGATACAATATTTAAAATTTTCCTTTCTGAAATTTCACAGGCGATTTTACTGAATTAGCATAAAACTCTGCTCTATAGAGGCCATCAAAAAAACTTCGACAAATATAGTGGTAGAGTAGTTAGTGCCAATCCAGCAACCCGGGTTCGAGTACGGCTGGGTGCGAATATCGAAAAGAAGATGGAAATTACTGGGGTTCAACGCGTTATACCATTTTTGACGCAGAGTTGCCCAAATTGGAGAATATCTTACTTTAGCGCTAATTTGAGATGAGTGTTTGATAAAAAGTAAAAATTTTTATTTAGAAATTTTTTTGTTTTGGCGGGCGCACACTTGCGGGCAACCACTTTGCGGGCAAATATTTTGCGGGCAGCCACTTTGCGGGCAGCCGACATTTGCGGCCAGCACCGGCATTTGCGGGCAGCCTGGGACATTTGCGGGCAGGGTCGACAGTTGCGGGCAGCCGACATTTGCGGGCAACCGGCAATTGAGGATAACAAGGTGGAGGTGGAAAAATTACTGCGATATTTTGGAAGTTTTCCGACATTTGCGGGCAACCGACACTTGCGGGAAGCCGACATTTGCGGGCAACAGTTCCAAAAGTTCCTATACAGTCTGTGTGATTGTTTTTTCCTGTTGCCCGCAAATGTCGGTTGCCCGCAAATGTCGGCTGCCCGCAAATGTCGGCAAATTTCCAAAATATCGCAGTAATATTTCCACCTCTACCCTGTTACCCTCAGGTGCCGGTTGCCCGCAAATGTCGGCTGCCCGCAAATGTCCAAGGTTGCCCGCAAGTGTCTCAGCTGCCCGCAAATGTTTCAGCTGCCCGCAAATGTGACCCCCCAAATTTTGCCCGCAAAGTGGTTGCCCGCAAGTGTCGCGACACCTTTGTTTTCTCCATGTGCGAGGCGCCACAGTTCAGAAGCCTCAAACTGTGTATATGGTTAGCCATGATATTTATTGTTACTTTTGTAAAATTTAGTTCGTTAAAGAAAAAATTGGTACAAACATGAGTTGCATTATCCTCTGGTCGGAAGGTAATAACAAAAATTAAGATATAATTCACGTTTCTGCTGTTTTTCATCTGTGTAATTCCAAACGATGACCTCAGTCCGTTCAGGAGAGTCTCTGCTGTTCTTTCGAAAGGTAAGTTCAAAATCACCGTCATGAACTTCGTGACAAAATCCATTACCATCTCGTTTATGGCGGAGGCCGCACTCCACCGAAAACAAATCATGGGAAAGTTTGTCACATGGCTCAAATAGAAAGGAATTGCGCGCGCGCGAGTTCATATTTAAGCGGCGGCGCATGTATTTAATTCGGACCCTGACAACATCGTCTTCGGTAAAGTTGATCGTCCACGGAAAAAGTTGAAATTCCTTTAAATCGTTAAGTGTTAAAAATAAATTTTTTTTGGGGATTGGTTCAAATGGCAGGGTCCCACCATCAAGATGAGTTTCAAAGTAAATGATCTGACAGCTCTTGATGAGCAACAAGTTTAAATCGAATTTTTTGGCCAGGTAGAAAGCTTGTTCAGCACTTTCCAGTGTCACTTTTTCCAGCAGTACGAGTTCGCATTCGTTCTGAAAATAATTTTGTTTCGAAAATGGTCAAAGTGTGTTCATTGCAAAAACGTGAATCTGATCAAAAACATTCGGGTTAAAGTCGAATTGTAAATCGAGTATCTCAAAGGAATTCTAAGCCTTGATTTCGGATTTAAAATTTGGCGGAGGCTCTGGCGGACAGTTAATTGATTTCTAACCAAAATCCACTCACCTTTAGGTCCTGGAGATCATATCGATGTGCCAAAGGGATCACACTGCTCGCTAACTTGAAACTATCAATCTTCGTGTTCATGTAAATGTGTTTCAACATGGCTTCTACTGCGTCAGGATCTTCGTCGCATAGGTTCCAGACGCCTTCTTGGTCTTCTTTGAGGCCGGAAAGGAGCATTGTTTCAAGGACCAGCGACTTCTTGACTAACTGATGCTTGCAGACCTGAAATTGAAAAAGTCAGAAAATGCTTACAAGGGAAGTCACTTTTTTCGCAGACGGACTTCGGAACGGGACCTAGTAGGTTTCAAACCTGAAGCGTCTACGATCATACAACTGATTTCCAAAAGTGTTTACGGGGCTTCTCGGCCGAGAAAATCGACCGCAAAGTTTAGCCGAAATGAGCGAATAGCCTCCTCAAAAGAAACGGCTTATTTCATCTGCAGTGGTGGCCGAGTGGTCAGCGCGCTCGCTTTTTGCGCCAGAAGAGGCGGGTTCGATCCCTTGCGCAGTTTATTTTCTTTTGTGGTTCGTAAATATTGATTTAGTATGCAAACATAAAATGTATACACTTTTGTAATTTTTTACAGTAATTTAAACATAAATTCAAAGCTGAATGTTCATGAATATTGTAAAGTCAAAACAGGGCTGGGTTGATGAAGATATACTTTCTAAATTTGTGTTTTATTAAAAATTGCTAATAATTAGGTTATGTGATGTTAACGGCATCTCTCTATTTGATTCAATTGTCAAAAGAAATGCATCCGCAGACGACCGAAGTCGAACTCACGTCTTCTGGCGCAAAAAGCGAGCGCGCTGACCACTCGGCCACCACTGCAGATGAAATAAGCTGTTTCTTTTGAGGAGGCTATTCGCTCATTTCGGCTAAACTTTGTGGTCGATTTTCTCGGCCGAGAAGCCCCGTAAACACTTTTGGAAATCAGTTTTATGATCGCAGTCACTTCACGTTTGAAACCTACTAGGTGCCGTTCCAAAGTCCGTCTGCGAAAAAAGTGACTTCCCTTATTAGAGCGAAGATCGTACATGGAACGTCTTGTCTCCAACTTTGACTTTCAGATCGCTGACTTTGGGCTCGTTGAAAAACTTGTCCTCAAACGGGATTAATTTCTCCACATTACCTAAAACACACAAAATACGGCTGTTTAACAAAGACTATCAAATAAAAATCGTAAATTTTACGGTAACTTACTCCGAAGCTCCATTATCTTGCGTTCCAGGAGTTGTCGTCGTATCTCCTCCATGACCAAAGCTGGGTTTATAAATTCTGCGCTTTCGATTTGAGGCGCCAAGGCAATTGCCTCTTTCTCTGCCCCTACGGATTACGTCATCAATTTTTTTACCTCCTCCAAACACAATTACCAAATATAAGCGTAATTTTAATTTATACTAGAAATTTTTTACTCACAAGCACCTAAAATTTGGCCTAAAATGCTTTATTTCTTTTGTCTTATAGCCGCGGCCAATTCAGGATGGCCAGAAGATATCAGAGAGACTGTTTTCAAGCTTGTTTCATCGAATTTATCGAGCTTTTCGTCGAGTCACCGTCGAAAAACGGTAGAAAGCGACACTTGACCCAATGGAAAATCCGCGTCATGTGTCTTTCTGGAATTCTTTTGCAGTTTTTCTCCATCAAAGCTAGCTGTTCGAAACAAATAAAAATGTAAATCAATTGATCACATATTTTTTTTGAAACTTTTCGATCAATCCCGTTCGGCCAGACCGATTGAGACACTCTAGGGCCGCAAATTTCCCTGTCTGATTCATTTCCTCCAATGTTTTGTTTATAAAAATGTGTTCGAGGGCTCATGTGGTTTATAACTGGTTTCAGATGGCTTTATCCTTGTCTCTTTTTTGATATCGCACCGTTTTTTATTTATCCCGCTCAATTTGTTTCGGATTTAAATTGCATTTTGTGGATAATGTAATTTGATGTGCTTTCAGGTCATGTTAAGATAATGGAAGAGAAAGTGCCTGGTTGTGATGACCACTGCCGTATAAAGGTTGGTTAAGTTGTACTTTTGACCTTTTCGGCTTTTAGATTTTGGTGAAACAGCTGGGAAGGAAGGATAAAATTTTGTTCAACAGCGTTTTGACCCGATTAAGCCGCATCACCACAATTGATGGTATGAATTTCAACCTGTTTCTTTTTTAAGCCACGAAATTTGTTCTTGATAATTTCTGCATCTAATACTTTACTTTTCCTCATCTTTTCTTCAATTTTATCTCATGGACAATACAAATTTTTTAGTGGAGAACACTGGGCGATACATTAGGCCGGTTTTTGTGACGCAAGCTAATTCGGAAGCCGATTTCGCTATTCTACAACCTCATAGGAAGATTTTTGGGCTTATAGCCGTGATATCCCTGAATAATATTCGAGATGATGCTGATAGCCTAGCTGTGCTAGGATCAGCAAGGGTAAACTTTGATCAGTTGAAGAATGACATCAACGAGGATTTGGTCAGCTCCAGATGTGTTTCGTTTGGGAGGTCGAAGAATGTAAGGGATTTTTATTTTTATTTATTTTTTTTGAGGTTTAGATGACTAAAACAATATAGAGATTTGTTTTTTCCAGATAGAGCAACTCTTTCCTTCCTCCGAACTTCATGCTCATGACAGTCTGGAGGAGTCAGCAAGCCTTGAAGACCAAATTCGGGACTTTCTTAGGACGATTTACTACGTTTTGGAGAGTCGACGGATTGATATCAATTTCGAAAAACCCGATACCTCAGTAAATTGCCCAGCCCTGCGGCAAGAAGAGCGGTACATTACGGGGCTGGAGGATAAAACCTCGAAAACCTATCGAAAGAAATGCCTCGGAAGGTTGCGAAAACAATGTGCGGATTATGCACTTCTGACTGGTCAATTTCGAGGTGCTCTGGAGGGATATCAGAATGCTATAGATCCGCTTAAATCCGCTGGAGATCTTCTGTGGCTTGCAGGTGAGTGTTTTGCTTTTTTTGATTGGTTTTTAGACGCGAATAATCACGATTGGATATTGTTTTATGGAGTGGAGGCCTAAAGTAATGTCTTTAAAATCTAGTTAGGGCCTTAGACGCGTAGTAGTCGCAGTCTTAGTGACCCAATTTTTCATATGCACCTTTCCTAATCTTATCGTCCAGAATTTAGCTGCGTACGAAGGCTGGGCGGTCGCCGCATTAGCTGCTCGCTTCTCCGGTAAAATCGACGAAGAGCGCTCTCAAATCCAACGAACGGTCTCAATGCAGCCGGAGGAAATGAAACGAAGTGCCGACGAGGCTGATCGACTCAAGTAAGCGTTTATTTACACGGTTTTTTTTTGAAGTATTTATATCTTTCAGTTTACTGATACTGATCTCTTCAATTTTAGTGTCGTTCTCGGCCATCAACGCCATCGTTCGGATGAGACGAGTGTCCTCCAGGGCTCCCGATCCGACCTCTCCAATCTGAGTGTCTCCTCGTCTTCTACCAACTCCCTCAGTAATAAGAAAACGTTCAAAAAAGCGTTGGCGATGTTGAGCCTGGAAAGGAGCATCGATCCCAAAGAAATCGACCTCAAAGATATTATCGAACGCTTCAAGTCCGCACTGAAGAACTACGAACGATATTCGTTTATCGCCTTTGTGGAATTCGAATGCGTTATACGAGTGGTGAATGTATATAAAATGCAGAGGCTATATATCGACACGGAGGTGAGAAATGGTTTTTTTTAAGTCTGTTTGGCGAAATTTCTGAGGGGTTTGATCCAAAAGTTTCTGTGTATACCGTATTTTACCTACATTTGAAGTTGGAGAGAGGTTGAGAGAATTTTTTTTGTTTGCATCAGTTTTTTATATTCTCCATGAGGGCAGTGTTGAAATTTTCAAAAATTTTTCGAAAATTTATATTTTTTGCTGTGATTTAGTCTCGCATTTTAGGTATTCCTCCGAGACAGAGTTGGGAAGTACCTCGCGGACACGTTTACATTGTTTTCGAACCAAGTGAAATCCCAGATTTGCATGATTTGCGCGGCAATCTACAAATCGATGGGATTCCGAAGGAAAAATGCGTTCTTCTCGAGACTCGCGGTCTTATTTCGACTTCACGTTGATGACGATGAATACCGATCCGAAGCGGATTACAAAATTGTATATCCAGTGCTATACTCGTCCCTTCGGGGGTATGGAGTGGACGATTCGGTAAGAGGGAATAGAAGATTAGGACATGTCAGTGTACAAGTCAAGGCCCTCCATGAAGTATTTATGAGTGCACAACGCGCAGGACTTACGGAAGCCGCTGTCAGGCATCTCTGTTATATTTTACAGGTAACTTTTTTGAGTTAAAATTTTTTGTTGGATTTTTGAGCTTTTGGAAGAGTTTGGAAAAATAAATGATTTTAGACCTACTTTTATCACATTGATAACACCGTCAAGCTGCAACTGGTCAGCGAATTGAAACGTCTAGTCCACACACACAAAACCAAAATCTCTTTGGCTCAACCAATTGCCCTAGAACAATGTTCTTTGATATTGCCCCCGCTTCAGATGACCAAAATACCTGTGCTAACGTAAGAAGGGGATATTTGGAGGTGGGGTTTTAAAAAAAATCCTAATTTTTATTTTTTGGGGGGCTTTGATTTTTTTGCTGACAGGGGAAGTACCCCAAGTGCGACGGTTTTCTTTAGATTTTGCACACACTTCGGGCATAGACTAGAAAGCAATTCCTCAAAGTTGTAGCTCGCGCTTTGAAGGCGAAGTCGAGATATTCAACGATCTTTGCGGCCGAGAGAGTACGCGAAACGCGGAGAGCGGTCAGAGAGAAAAGCATTTTTTGGCCATAACTTTGCTAGTTTCGTGCGGAAAAAATTAGTTTTTTGTGGAAACATTAAACTTTACGGTAGAAATAGGGATGCAACTTTTGGTGCCGAAATTCGAGGAAAAGTCTAAAATTTTCGTTGCCTTTCGACCGAAAAATATCCATGTTTTCTGCAAAGCGCCGGCTAGGATTCTCGCATATATTTTAGAAAAAAATATTCTAAATTTGTGAGTACTTTTCCTGTAAATTGAAAAAACTGACCTTTGTTTTAGCGAGTTCAAAATCCAACCTCTTGCCCCCAACCTTGCCCCCACAATTTCTAATCCAGCCGATGCCGAAGGACGCATCTTTATTTATTCGCCATTCCAAGACAAAACGGTCGTAAAAGGTAAGATTTTCTTAATTTTTACGTCGCTTTTTGATTTATTATAGATAAGTTTAATAGCGTAAGGTCTTAAAAGAATTTTAAGTAGGTATTTTGATTGTCAAAGATAATGTCGAGATTAATTTCTGACCTTATTTTAGATATAGTATGGGTTGTGAATACCGCTTGCCAGGTCTCAGCCAAAGTTCTAAACTTGCTCCCGATGGACTTGGTAGTCGAGAATATGATCGTACACACCGATGGAGCAAGCTTTGATCCAGTTCCGGTACAATTAAACCTGTCTGCGACCGAAGATAACCAACCTCCAGCTGAGACAACTGTAGCTCTTCTTGGAATACCCAGAACTCCCGGATGGATGACCTTAACTGGTTACAGTTGCCGGGTATTCGATGTGGAGAATGTATGCTCTCTAAACGATCTTCCAGAAACTCCGCCAGTCAAGGTTAGAGTCCTGCCGCATCTACCGAGACTTCAAGTGGATGTGGATCTGAAAAGAGCCCCCATCTTGGAGGAAATGGTCGGAATCGCTGAAGCAACCGTGTTTTCAGGCCAAACGTGAGTTGCTTGAAACGTTTTGCGGAGGCTGGGTTTGAAAGAAAATTTTTATTATATTACTTTAGGTAGGATTAAGTGGAAATTGGGGAAGATTAAGTAATTTTCGTCTTGTTTTTGTACGAATTGATGTTTTTAGGGCAAGAAGGAATTGATTAAATGGTTTAAAAGAATTTGGGCTAAGCTTTATAAAAAAAATAATATTATTTTAGGCAAAAATTAGCAAAATACGACTGTCAAGTCTTCAAAAAAATTTTTTTTTCAGATTTTTCCACACAATAAAGCTCCGGAACGTCGACCAGTCGATTGGAATCAGGACGGTACGAATCCGAATCGACCAACCGAAAGTCTACGGAGGCCCGCCATTACTGGAATTTGTGGATTTGGAAGAGAAGAATGAGGAAAAACAAAACAATTTAGTGATTTTGGATGGGCTTGGCCCTGGTGAAGAAAGGCAATTGAATTTCAAAATTTTTGGAATTGATCCAAGCGCCTCAACGTCCGAAAATAACCCCTTGAATGAGGTAAATTTTTGAAAATTTTTAAAAAATAGTTGATTTTTGTAAAATTTTGAATGTTTTTTTTTAGGTATTCGTAAAGAAAGGAAAGCCCCAAGTTCAATTGAATAACAATTCTGCCCATAATGATAAGCAATCCTCGGAGGAATCCACCAAATCATCACCAGTTTTGATAAAACAAGAGACGATCGAAGAAGAAGATGCAAAAGAAGAACATAAATTGATAAAAGAACCAAAGAAAACAAAATCGGAAGGATCGGTGGCTGAGCTGAACAAAGGCCATCACGATTTGATACCGTATATTGGGGTAAGCAGAGATTTTTTATAATTTTTATATTGTAGTAGGTGGAAAGGTTTGATTTTTTTTTGATTTTTTTGTCAAATTTTAAGTTTAAAGTGGGAAGTCTGGATCCTTAATGGTGAAATTGAGACTTTCAATATACTTTATACTTACATCATACACAAAAGAAGAACAAATTTTATTGATTATCACGGTCTTTTTTCGGCTTTGAAGATGTTTTTTCTACCTCATTGGCAAATTTTCCCTTATTTTTTAAAAATTTCAGCGTCTCCTAACTGCTGAGTTCATTTTCGAATATGTGGCTGATATCGAGACGGAGTCGGGAGAAATCTTCGAACGCCAAGAGACCCTAAAGTTGGCCATTACGATCGTCCCGGCCATCACCGTCTCCCATTGGCAAGTTTTGGCCGGCGACTCCCCAACCAATAGATTTGTGGTGGTCGATGTGACGAATACCACGGAACTAGATGCGGAATTGGAATTTGGGACGGACGGAAGGATGATTTCGGTTCAGCCAAAGGAAGCTTGCAGGTAGGAAGGGTTTCTTTGATTTTTTAGTGAAAAATCTACCTAAAATAAGGCGTTTTTGATGTTTTTTCGCTTTTTTGATGTCAATTGCAAGTCGGATTAAGTTTTCTAGGCCCATTAAGGTATTTCACAGACTGCAAAAGAGTATTTACAATTCTTTGACCTATAATTTTCCCTTCAGAGTACCTTTACTTTGTCCATGTTCCAATCTGATTCACACCTCGGATTTTCATCGCGCCGCTCAACGCGCTTCGCATATGATGCAAATGCAAGAAATGGAGGCTCTCCGGCGACGATTGGAAACCCATTTCTCACAACATCTGGAAATCCGTTGGAGAATCAAGGCTCTAGGATTAGATGGACTAGTACCAGTTGGACCACTACTTTCGTCTGTTGGATTCTTAAAACAACTGGTTGTGCCGGTGATTTCAATAGGTAGGGTTAAATATTTGAGTGGGTTGGGGCCCTCTAAATGCTAGAGGAAAATTCGAATTTCGAAAATTTGAAATTCCCGCTGTTTTTGGCATTGTGTTTTAAGGGTTGGATTTGATTCTAAATTACTCAAAATGACTTACAAGTCAAAATATAGAAGTTGGGATGGTAATTTTTGAGTTTTATTGTGATTGCCAGCTGCTTTGAGGCTTTATATTATTCAATATGATTAAAAAATTTTGGTATTTTTTTGCCTTTTTTAAGCTCAAAATGCTTTTAGTGGTCCGAGTAAATGGAAACCAATACCTCAGCGAAGACGATTTGCCCGTCCTGGTTGGCCAAATGCAGAATTTGGAGATCGAGTTGGTCAGCTCAACCAAGGGTAAGATCGGGGGTTTGTAAGGGATTTGAAAGATTTGTTGGGCCTGAATTGTGGTTTTGGTAAAATGCCATGCGATTTTTGTGATTTCTAAAGGTTTTTTGTTGTGTTAAAATACGAATTTTTATGTTAAAATACGATGGGAGAAAATTTGTTATCTAACAAGGGATCGGCAAATAGTTGTAACCTGCTTTCTTAACGAAACCTATATCATTTGAAAGAGGCTTAAAAATAGTTCACAGCGCAAAAAGAATTAGCTGCCTAAATTCACTTTGGACAAAGTTATGGCCAAAATACAGATTTTAGCCTAATTTCCGCCTCGCTTTATAAGCTCTCGGAATGGCAACAGAGTTGTGTCCAGTTGGCCGAGTGGTAGTGAGCCCACCTCCGGCTCAGCGAGTCCTGGTTTCGAATCCGGCCTCTATAAATATTTTGCGTTTCGTCTCTTATATGCCACAAAACCATGGTATGTTGACATTTTTTAATAATTTTTGTTCCTCCGCAGACAAAATCCATGGTTACGCAATTTTTCTGAGATTTTGAATTTTTTTTGAAACGACCACAAATTTGATGGTGATGAGAGTGGGTATGTCACTATCGTATAATCAACAAGGGTGTTGTGCCAGTAACCTGACCGCTTATGATTACTGGAGGATTATTCAATTTAGAAGGGCCTATAAATATACATTTTTTCGAAAAAATACGAAGATAAAATTGTAAAATCGGCCAAAGACACTATTGCTGACACAGTGGACCAACCATTGGTAAGGCTAGGACATAAGAAATTTTCGATTTTGAAATTTTCGTTTGTGAATGACCACGACGATCATATAAATGTATTTCCAAAGCTTTTTGCTCCAATTTTCCCTTTAACCTAGTTTTATTTACAATTTACTGTAACTAGCAGTAATGTCTAATAACATATAACCGAGGATTGGTAAAGCCATAAAACGACCGTGATAGACGTTTTTGGATACCAGGAAATTAATAAAGACGATTTCAAACCGCCAGGATTACTGTAATATAAGGAACCGGCGTTTTGGACGCATATAACCCCTTTCAAAAAGCGGTCGTATCTATGCCCTAAGGTAATTTAGGCAGCTAATTTTTTTTGCGCTGTGCACTATTTTTAATGCTCTTTCAAACGGTATATGTTTCGTTAAGAAAGCAGGGTGCAACTATTTGCCGATCCCTTGTAAAACATAAAAAAATTAATTTTTTGTGAAAATTTTTGAAAATTTGTCGAGTTTTGAGATTATAATATGTAAATTGCAGTCCCTCTGAACTTCCACGGCTATCTCCAGCTCCTCTGCATTCAAGATATTCAAAACGCCGCCGAAATTATCGACCGAACCGACTTTTTGGTGGTGTGTGGAGTCCGAAAACAGCCATTTTCCCTCAAAATAACGGATTTGGAACTGGATAAGGCCTTCAAAACCCGATTTTCGTTTCTTTTCCGCTCCGAAGGCGTGTTCAAAATACGGCCGCAGATCGAAGTGGGCCCGGGATTGGAACACTTCATGGAAGAATTGATCGTCCCCACTGTGTCTTTTAATGTAAAGTCAAGGAAATAGAGTAGGAAAGGAGCGAATAGAAGGGTAGAGTCTTGTTATGAAACATTTTGGGGGATTGAAAAGTGAATTTTTTAATTTTTTTGAAAATTTTTGCGATTTTTTTGCTAAAATTTTGTTTTTAGCAGCTAAAAAGTATATATTTAGCTGTAAAATAGGCGTATCATTTCTTAAGATTGCTCTTTATCAACTTTGGACGTGTGGTATAACAAGATTTTACAAAAAAATTTTGAGAAATTTAAGCATGTTTTTTGATTTTTTTTTATTATTTATGCAAATTCTTGCGAAGTCTTGCTTTTCTTCCCGGCAGAAAATTTTAGATTTTTATCTCTTTTTTTGTGTACAATTTATGGGTATTATGCTAAATTATTGTACGGTTATAAGAAAACATTAGTATTTATTGGAAGCCTCATACAATGTTGTGTCTTATATCGAGTATTGTGATAATACAATGTTCATACTGGTATTGTTTAATAAATTTCTAAGATTTTACGGGGATTTTAAAGGGAATCATGGGGTTTTAGGAGGGTTTTGAGTGTTTTTGTAGGATTTTGTGAAATTTTTCCTCGAAAAAATCGATTGAAAAAGAGTTTTGGGAGCATTCAGCAATGTCAGACAGGAAGAAAAATCAACAAAAAAAGATAATTTTTTCATTTTTTCAATAAAAATTTTTCAAATTCCCAGTCGTAAATTCCAAAAAGACCGAGAATTTTGTTTTCAAGAGTTGTGAAAAACCAATTTCCTTGACAAATCGCACGCCCAGGACATTAGTCTCGCAACGCAAATACAAATAAAAAAGCAATTTGCGTCACGAAAATTCCGTTAAACACCGTGAGGCTGATACCGGCGAATCATGAGGTGAAAGACAATCCGAAACAAAATGTAGCCAATTAATGTGTAGGCAAAAGTTGTTATTATTTCATTTTGAATTGATTTTTGGGACGACTGTTATCAAAAATTTACGCCGGCTTCCGGATTATACGGAAAAAATAATAAGTCAAAAATTTTTTTGTTTTTGTGAACATTGAATTTTGTAGATAATATCAAACAAACTTTGAGGTGGGGATTATATTTTTGGTGACTGTTTTTATGAGCAAAAAAGGAAACGTTGAAACAACCAATAAAAAGGAGAATTTCAATGGAAAATGTGCACAAAATCTCTCCATAACAGATTTCTAAAGATACCCGATTTCTAAGATACCTATTACAAAGCAATTTCGCTACAACTTTCAACAATAGTATGAAAAACGTTTCTTCATAAAAAAACAAAAATTGAGATTATGACTAGTGTTCTTTAGATTCGTCATAAGACTACGGCTTTAAGCTTCGTTCCGGTCTTGTAGGGCCTTCTCGTCTTTCGATTATACCTTATGACTTAAAAAAAGTAATGAAAAAGAAACGCTGCCTAACAACTTTTTTGATCCGTTATATTTACCACACTACAGTCTGTAACTATTCGTTGGGGACCTAAAACTTTATTTGTTATAGGGCGGTTTCGTTGTACGGAGGCTTAGTAGTCCATCGGCAAAGTCGCTGGAGTGATTCCGTACAACGAAACCGTCCTGTAACAAATAAAGTTTTAGGTCCTTGCGATCCGTTGCACAGACTGCAGTATGGTACGTATAAAAGATCAAAAAAGTTGTTGGGCAGCGCTTCTTTTTCATCACTTCTTTAAGTCACAAGATATAATCGGAAGACGAGAAGGCCCTACAAGAACGCAATTGAAACTTTAAGCCGCCTAAACATATGACGAATCTAAAGAACACCAACCATAATCTCAATTTTTGTTTGTTTTTTTATGACTGAAGATACGTTTTTCATTCTATTGTTAAACGTTGTAGCGACACTCAGGTCAGCAGTTACGACTTGAGATAGTCGGAAATTGATAAAAGTTCACTCACAAAAGAAGTTTGAGGTGCAACACACAAGATATGTGTTAAACCTGGAAGAAACAAAATATTTTTGTTGATGGCGAAAATCGAGCTGTATCTGGACGACACTTCTCTCTCAGCGTTTTCTAGCGATTGAATCTGTCACTTTGGTCTACAAAAACGCAAGCAAAAATTCAGGGGGTACGGTTGGTAAGCTAGGTAAATCAGATACTCAAAATAAAAACGAATGTCAGCGCATTGCCCATGTTGCGTTATCCGTCAAGATCACCAGTTTATACTACGCCACTAACACACGAAGTTATATAAGTTACAGCCTGTAAATCAATCCTGTTGAAATTGCGTCACTTATGGTCTGAAAGTGAAAAAAAAAACTCTATCCCTTCCTCTGACCCCCCTAAGGCGTTATTCATGGAAACGAGAGGAAGGATGAAAAAAAGAGGTGAGGTCTCGAGAACTTTTCTTCGATGATAACACCAAACTCGGTTTCTTCAATCTTGTTCGGGAGTAATTTTAATGACTCAATGCCCTGCCTGGGGCAATGTCTTTGAATCGCCTGTTTACGGTAGTTATTCTACAAGTCTTGGCGACACGATGGATTCAGTGCGCACGAGAGTGCTTTGTCTTCAACGGTAAGCCGGCTTTGGGATTTTTACGACGGAATTTTGCTTGATTTTGTAGGAAACAAGGAATTTTTTGATGGAGACAGACTTTTGTGAAGACTTATCTTGGTTTTTAAAAGTTTTTTTGCGTTTTTCGATTTTTTTGTTTCGTCAAATAAGACTTTGATTTCCTTTGGACTCTTTACTATGTAAAATACGTTCAAAACATTTGTGATTTTCCGGGGTTTTGCAAATTTTTTGGTCATTTATTTTTGAAAAAATGAAAAATTTGTTGCATTTTTTACCACAGTGATCTTTGGCCAACGGTAAACTGTTGAACAGCCTGCTCAAAAAATAACTTCATCGAAGTTAACACAACAAAAATTAATCTTCAGACCAAAAATACGAGGTTGCGGTGGATATTGGGAAAGATGTTCATGCCCAATTCGAGTTCAACTTTGGTGAAGCCAAGTTTGTCGAGGGCGACTCCAGTGTCGTCATTATGCAAAAGTATCACAAGAACACTGCAAATTACATATTTAAATTTCGCTTGAAACAAAGCCTCCGGATAGACGACAAAGTGTAAGTGCTGTTATTTTTTGGTTTAATACGGGAGTTTCATGGTATTTTTGTAATTTTTATGTGGATGTTCATACAATGCTTACAATGCTATCTCGCCTATGGGAATTAAATTTTCAGCTGCCATTTCGGGAACTCCAAGCTCTGCCGATTGGACTATGACCCCAACCAAGCCGAAAAGTTCATCTTTGAGTTCAAAGATCTCGAAACCGCCCTAACCGAGGACGCTGTAATCATCGACGAGTTCGCCATAACGCCTCTTGTCGACACCGACACTTGCGTTCAAAAGGATGCAACGCATCATGGCTTGGCTGTGGTTTATTGTCGTTGCGGGGATTACTATCCTCCAACACACGCGACGTGTCCCAAATGGGATGATCAGGATCCGCCGTCGCCTCCGCCGCCGTCGCCGGACCCCGATCCAGAGCCTGATCCAGAGCCTGACCACACAACGGCAACGAACGATCAGACAGACGGGACAACAGGCACAACGCCTAGTGGGCCAGATGAAGATAACAACAGCACAGACACCACGGATAAGGATCGTAAGTCGAGAAATTTGCTAAAAAACTTGAAGGAGCTACAGTGAGGGACCTGATCCAGCAGCAAAAACGTAAAATTTTGCACCCGGGAAGTATCAAAAATGTGGCAAAATGCCTCCCTCGCCAACTAAAAAAACTCCATTTTGAACTGCGCGCCCATTCCCTCACAAAAAGACCTTTTGAAATCGGTGTTTTTCACTTGAAGAGGGAGGTATTTTGCTGCATTTTTGATTCTTCCCGGATGCAAAATGGTACGTTTTTGGTCAATGGATCAGGTCCGTCACTGTATATTCTAACCTCTTGACGTTTTGCCAGTTCAAAGGACTTGAAATTGAATGCCTAATACTGAATCCAGATCTTAATAAAAGAAGCCTTTTTTGTCGTGTAATTTAAAAAAAAGTTTAAAAATTTATTTCAGACGCCTTCCTAATTAACTGCGTTGATCCGACCACCGAATTGGAAAAAATTTACTGTCATGCTAAAGAGGTATACGGCTTTCCCAAATAAAACAAAAACGTAAAATTTAGGATGTCATCGAGAAGGATGATGTGAAAAAAGTTGTAAATAGGACCATCCACAGCTTCGATGAGAAAACGGCCAACAGCTCGGACTTTTACATGCTCTCAAGGATCCTGGAGCGGATCTCACAAGTGAATGATATCTATATGGACGTACGTTTGAGCTGATATTTGCGGATGATTCAGAAAATTGTTTTTTGTTTACATTTTTGAAATGTTTTTTTAGGATTTCGAACCGCTCTACCTCCTCTTTGACAAAAGCTTGGGTATCGATGAAGCGACAATGCTCCAAGCCAATCAAGTGAATGCAAAGTCGACTACTCGAGTGATAAAAAGCATCGACAATGTTCTGACGAAAGCCAGATTTGACTTGGAATTGGATCATGGCCATCAATTGGCCATGCATCGGATCAATGAGGTCAACTGCAACAAGAAAATCCATGGCATGGCAATTTACGATGACAAATTCGGATGGTCGGAGGATAATAAAAACCCGATTGCTCAGATTGAGCTGGAAAACGAGGTGGTTTGTCATGATGGGAGCAGTGGAGGTGAGCTTTAATAAAAGACAAAAAAGTCTTGGTATTTACAGGGGAAGTACCTCAAGTGCGACGCTCAGATTTTTATGAAACTTGGCACAGATTTAGAATATTTTTTTCTAAAATATATGCGAGGATCCTAGCTCACGCTTTGCAAAAAAAAATCCGAGATTTTTAGGTCGAAAGTCGACGAAAATTTTAGGCTTTTTGTCGAATTGCGGCACTAAAAGCTGCTTCCCTATTTCTACCGTAAACTTTAATGTTTCCAGAAAAAAAACATTTTTTTCCGCACGAGACTAGCCAAGTTATGGCCAAAAAGTGTTTTTCTCTCTCTGACCGCTCTCCGCGTTTAGCGTACTCTCTCGGCCGCAAAGATCGTTGAATATCTCGGCTTCGCCTTCAAAGCGCGAGCTAAAACTTTAAGGAATGGATATTTTGTCTATGCCCGAAGCATGTGCAAAATTTAAAGAAAATCTGAACGTCGCATTTGGGGTACTTCCCTTGTGAGTCGAAGATTTTTTCATTTTTTTCGAATTTGACCAACACTTTAGGCCTAATGTTCGCCGTTGAACAAAGCTCAGTCTACTTTGTCGCCTACCGTAAGAACAGTTTGTTCGTCCCGACAAAAGATGTTGAAGTGGCCACCAAAGAAGACCGTTGCCGGAAGGGGATGATAAAACGAGAAAATCCGGTTATGTCGGCCAAAGTTGTTGGTAAGACCATAGACGACACGGACATACCGGTGGCCACTTTGAAATACCGAAAAGATGAAGTGAACACGCCATTACACGGCTCGCTGGCTGTAACATCGTTTGAGAATGAGGATTGGCAAAGAGAAAGGAAGTGTGATCTAAAGGAGAAGGATGGGTATTATGTCGGGGAATGTCATCATTTGACCGATTTTACGATCTTGGTGGTGAGTAAATAGGATGACAAAATTTGATGTGGTTTAGATGCCGCTAGTAATCTCACAGTGAGGGACCTGGTCCAGTGGAAAAAATGTACCATTTTGCATCCGGGAAGTATCAAAAATGTGGCAAAATGCCTCCCTCTCCAAGTGAAAAAACTTCGTTTTGAAGGCCCTTTTTCCTCACAAAAAGAGCATTTGAAATCTGAGCTTTTTCACTTGGAGAGGGGGGTATTTTGCCACATTTTTGATACTTCCAGAATGCAAAATGGTACGTTTTTTTCCACTGGATCAGATCCCCCACTGTACGGGGTCGTGTTGAAGAATATTTTGTCCAAAAAACCATTACTTCAAGATGTGATTTTTTGCAGAAATCGTAGAATTTTTTCTGTGGCACAAAAGCAAATTTGATGCATCAATTGATGTGTTCTAGATGCCGCTAGCAATCCTACTATAACTTAATTTTCAGGACGGATGTGTCACGGATCCAGTTCTTTGCGACCCGGCCCTTCAATCGCTCGGGTTGACCGCGAACATTGGCTCAACTTTATGTCTCGCATTTCTATTCACAGTCCACTTTCTGCGGAGATTTTTCAGCCGGTTGAGTTTTGTCCGAAGCAACCTTTCATTCGTAAGTCGTATTACAAGTTAGATTATTTTCATTTTAAGAAAATTCTTTTTAAAATACGAGAGATTAAATTAATCTTCATTTTTTACTTTTCAGATTCGCGTAGACTCAATTCGACTGCCCTATTATTTCTCCTACTTTTTGTTTTACCTTTCTTTTACAAGTTTCGCGGATCAACGGCGGACCACCGGCGAAGGGTTTTGCTCAGCGATTGCCGGCTTTAATTACTGCATTTTATTGGTGTAAGTGTTTGAAAAACGTTTCAAGTTTGCATTAGGATCAAGTAATATGACCTTGTTCTTTTTTCAGATGTATTATGTTGACAATAACACAGTCATGGAGAGTCTTGAGGACGTGTATAAGTAAACCGGCGATTCAGGAGAGGATACGAGAATGGACAAGGTCGAGGGTAGTGATGCCCGTTGTTTTGGGTGAGTTCGTCGGTTAGCAATGGAAGATTTATTGCGTTTTGAATGAAAATTAGATTCATGAGACATAAGATTTTGTAATCAACTTTTGTAAAATACGGAAACGGTATATTTACCGCTCTTTTCCGGCGAGAGAGTAAGCAAAATGTATAGAGCGGTCAGAGAAGACAGCTTTTGACCTTTTAGCATTTTAGCATTGATCTTTTTTGTGACTGAACGTTGCACGTCAAACTGACGAGTCCGGTGAGAGGAATTGACTATTCGCTATCGGTTTTTTACACTTCGTCTTGATTTCACAAAGAAGTCAGAGAAAGATGAGCAAAAACGTTCTCTCTCGCCCCAAAAATTCCCCATTTCTTCCCCGACAAAACGTTTTTTCGTGTCTTTTTTTTGGCAACTTTTTTTGGCCGGAATGTTTTTGCTTCTCTCAGTTTGACGTGCAATGTGCAGAGTAATGATAGAAAAGGGCATTTGACCGTAGCATTGGTCTTTTTTTGTGACAGAACGTTGCTCTTGACGGTAGAGATAGGATCGCAGCTTCCTCATGCCAAACCCCTTAAAAGCCGCAGCCTTTCTTGATGAGAAAACATAGATTTTTTTCCGTAAAACGTGCTGAGGATTTACTCGGCAAAAAATCATCTTCATATACGAAAAGTGCCACTTAGGTCTAACACCTGAACTTAGAGCACACCGCGTTTCAATGAAGTCTTCTTTTGCTCATAACACACGCTTGTTCTTGATCTAAGCCTACAAATTAGCTTGCCCGTTATAAAACACACCATGTTGCTTTAATTTCCCTCCCAATTTATCTTTTAGTCTCCATTATCAGCAAATTTACAGACGCCGGAAGGCTCAGCCAAGAAAATTAATAAAATTTTTCAAGCCGCTTATACAACAATTTGAAGTTTATACTTTCCAACTTTATATGCTTATTTTTCAGTGGTCTGTGGGTTGATAGCGCTAATCTGCAGCTTTATCACGCCCGCGTTCTATCGCCGACATGATGATTTGTAAGTGCAATACATAATTATCACATGCAAATACGGTGGGGGGACCTGATCCAGTGGCAAAAAAATATCATTTTGCATCCGGGAAGTATCAAAAATGTGGCAAAATGCCTCCCTCTCCAAGGGAAAAAACTCCAATTTCAAAAGCGCGCCCTTCAAAACCAAGTTTTTTTTCAGTTGAAGGGGGAAGCATTTAGCCACATTTTTTATGCTTCCTGCAAGCAAAATGGTACGTTTTTTGCCACTGGATCGGGTCCGTCACTGTAGAACAACAGCATTTTAACTCACAATTCTTATTTCAGCTGCTGGATCAACCCCTCGTTTGTGATCCTCGCCGTGATGGTCCCACTTTCCTTCCTCATCCTAAACGCAATCTTCTGCCTATTCGTTGTTTTCATCACTTTGTTTGGCAACTACAAATTCGCCGCTCATCTGCAACGGGCCATGAAATTCAAGGAGCATTTCAGCGTGATTGATCGCCGAAATTCGGCCAAAAAGCGGGAAATTCGCAACAAATTGTCGGTGATTTTTGCTCTCCAATTTATGATCGGATTGCCCTGGATCTGCCAGTACTTCTCGTTGTTCACCGCGAACACAACGGTCTGGCATTACCTGTTCAACATCTCCAGCGGATGTCACGGGATCTACTTGATGTTCGAGTTCATCATCAAGTACTTTGATCATCGTTACCAAAAGAAAAAGCATGAAAATGTCTCGGCGACCTCGTCGAACAACGTCACAACGCTGACGACACAAATCGGCAAGTCAAAATTGCACACAAAGCTCAGCGATAACAGCGAGAACTCGAGGGCTACTGTACCTTGAAAGAGAAGGTCAGAATTGCCAAAAAAAATCGACTTTGTCGTGTTGGATAAGGTATTAGTATGTGCAAACCGTCTTAACGATCTCATTCTCTCCGCTTAAATATTAATTCTTGCATTTTTCAACCTAATAAACTTCTAATTAAGTTTTTTGGGGATGGTAAAATTTGAAGGTGACAGTTGACCCATTGGAACAAATGTTGACGTCATAAAGCGTTTGATGAACCTCTAGGATTAAGTAGAAAAAAATATTTTTCAATTTAAACACCGAAGAGTCCAGAAAAAACGGCATAAAACCACAGAGGAGAAGACTTGACCCATTGAGTCAACTCTTTCTCTGATGATTCAACCTAATCAAGATTTGCAATCCTTCCGAAACTCTCATTTACTACCAAAATTTACAAAAACGGACAAAACAATCAATACTCATAATAAATAATGAAAACATTGAGATCAAAGTGCATTTTCAATTACAAGAACAAAACAATCTCAAAAAAATTGACAAAAAATCTTGTTTCAGTTACTCCAGGTCTTCCTGTTCATCGTACTCTCCCTCATCGTCGGCAGTGGCATCTTGATATTGTTGGTATTCGGAAACCAGGTCATTCATGTTGCTCTCGGCCTCAGTGAACTCCATCTCATCCATCCCTTCTCCCGTGTACCAATGCAAGAACGCCTTCCGGCGGAACATTGACGTGAACTGTTCGCTAATTCGCTTGAAAAGCTCTTGAATCGAAGTGGAGTTGCCGATGAAAGTAGCGGCCATCTTGACGCCTCGAGGCGGGATGTCGCAAACCGCGGTCTTCACGTTGTTCGGGATCCATTCAACGAAATAGGAGGAGTTCTTGTTCTGGACGTTCAGCATTTGCTCATCCACTTCCTGCAATCAAATTTGGGGTTATTGTGGACGATTGAAAAGCAAAAAAAGTTTATTTTGTCTCCTGACCTTCATGCTCATCCTGCCTCTGAAAATAGCGGCCACAGTCAAGTATCTGCCATGTCTCGGATCACAGGCAGCCATCATGTTCTTGGCATCGAACATTTGTTGCGTCAACTCGGGCACAGTCAGCGCACGGTATTGTTGGGAGCCACGAGAGGTCAGCGGGGCAAATCCCGGCATAAAAAAGTGAAGACGCGGGAATGGGACAAGATTTGTGGCCAACTTGCGGAGATCGGAGTTAAGTTGACCAGGAAAACGGAGGCAAGTCGTCACACCGGACATGGTCATGGATACTGTAAGTTAAAAACTTGGAGATACGCAGAAATTTTGACAAAGTTGTTAAAAAAATTTTTGAATTTACCAAGAACAATACACATCAAACTGAGGACTGAGTTACCGGAATAGACCCTTCGCTATCGGTTTTTTACACTTCGTCTTGTTTTCACAGAGAAGTCAGAGAAAAAGACTCGCAAAAACCTGCTCTCTCGCCTCAAAAAATCCCCATTTCTTCGTCGACTAAAAGTTTTTTCGAGTCTTTGGTGGCGGATTGCCAACCTATTCACTGGACCGTTGAGCCGAGTTTGACGTGCAATGTGATTCATATCAAATACATTCGAATTGCTCTTGTCACCTACCCAGATGGTTCAAATCCCCATAAGTTGGGGTCATCAATTTCAAAGTCCTGAAGCAAATGTCGTACAGCGCTTCATTGTCAATGCAAAAAGTTTCGTCCGTATTCTCGACCAGTTGATGGACACTCAACGTTGCATTGTATGGCTCGACCACCGTATCAGAGACTTTTGGAGACGGAACGACAGAGTAAGTGGCCATAATACGGTCCGGGTATTCTTCGCGGATCTTGGAGATCAGCAGAGTTCCCATTCCAGATCCGGTCCCGCCGCCAAGAGAGTGGGCCATTTGAAAACCCTAAAATACGAATGATCCTTGGAGAAAAAGTAAGCGGACATACTTGGAGACAATCGCAGGCTTCGGCTTCTTTCCGCACAACGTCGAGAACGTTGTCGACGAGCTCAGCGCCCTCAGTGTAATGCCCTTTGGCCCAGTTGTTGCCGGCGCCGCTTTGACCTAAAATGAACGAGTTTTAAAAAATTTAAGAAGTAAAATAACAAATAATTCCCATCAAATCTCTTAGTAAGTTCAAATTTATCTATAATTTAACCGAAGCTCCTCACCAAAAACAAAGTTATCGGGTCTAAACAGCTGTCCGAAGGCGCCAGCTCGCACCGAATCCATTGTTCCGGGTTCCAAATCCACCAACACAGCTCTTGGCACATATTTTCCCCCACTTGCTTCGTTATAATAAACGTTGATTCGCTCCAACTGCAAGTCGGAATCACCGTTGTAGACTCCAGTGGGTTCAATTCCATGTTCGTCGGAGATCACTTCCCAGAACTGAAAAAGGAAGATTTGAAAGCTATCGAATCGTATCGAAAATACGACCATTTTGAGGTCGAGACAATCCGTAATGCCTTGTGGATATTCTGATCAAGATTTCGATGGATTTCGGGATGGAAAATATTCCGAAAAAAAGTAAAATTTGGGGGAAAATGTTAACTTAAGCTTTCGAGATTTCACGCTATGAAAAATGTCTTTCAATCTTTTTTTCAAAGACATTTCTTCACGTATTTTCAAGGGCTTCCTGCGGATTTCACCTTAATTATAGGTCTCTTACCTTGGCACCAATCTGGTTTCCACATTGCCCGGCTTGGATGTGAACAATCTCACGCATTGTGAAAGCCCACTGTTAAGAAAGAACAAGGAAAAGGCTGAAAAATAATAATAATAACTTTGCGTCTGCAAACTCACAGTTCCGTAAAAAATTGCGCGAAAAAGAAAAGAAAAATAATGAAAGACATTGATGAATTCAAGTGAGGTAATCTCTGGCAAGGGAGGCCATTAAGATTCAAAATTTCCCTGAGGGGTCTGAATTAGCCAAATATCAAATTAAAAAATCTTAGCTCGTGCTTTTTGGCAGCATCGGAGGCATTCAATGATCTTGTTTTGGAGAGAGTCCACAAAACAAGGAGAGTCGACCAGACGAAAAGAAGTTTTTGCCCATAACTTTTTTGTTTCTGCAGGAAAAATTTTTGTTTTTTGTAGAAAAATTATACACCGCAATAGAAAATAGGCCTGAAATTTTTAGGCCTAGGAGAGAAAAAAATTTTTGTGATAAAAAATTTTTTTGTGGTGCTTTCTGGGCAAAAAAATCTCGGAGGTTTAGGGAAAGTAGGAATGCCGCCCATATCTTATAAGATTGTTCACTAAATATAAGTCGTTTTTGATCGAATTTTATAAAAAACAGCAAATAAAAGAAAGAAAAATGGAATTTTTTGTCATTTTTTCATTAAAAATTGCAAATATTCGAAGTCCTCTAAGTCCACGAAAGTTCAACCCTCCATTCTTCAAAACAATGCGATTACCTTCGCTGACCCCAATACGTTTTCGCCTCCGTGTGCACCCGTAACATTTCTCCCCACCGGTTTTCGCGTTGGGCATTCGGCCGAAGATCCGGCGCCACGCTTACTTTGCCATGGAAACGTTCGGCGGCCGCAAATTTGGGGGTGAAGAAACAACTAAGGAGTACCTGCCCTCGCCCTCCTTTCTGCCCTGGGAATCGCATTGGGAAAGCCGAAAAGGAAGTTGGGAAACGGATTAATTGGACACCGGGGGTTAATCAGGTGGACAGTGGGCATTTCGGTCCGGAACTGGTCAAGGGAATGTCCGTTTGGCGATGAGGTCAATAGGAGACATGTTTCACAATAAAATTGTTGGTTGATGAAGTGAAAGGGACCAAGGAAATGTTTAATTTAGTTAGTAGACTATTAAAATTTTTTGTGTCTAATGTAGAGTTGATTTTTTGCCAAGATGACAAATGTTTTCTCAAAAAAAATCGTTTTTATTCCCAGGAATTAAATTACAAAACAATTTCTAGACATTCAGAAACTTCCTTATAACAAAACCTGTAGATAACAAACAATTTCCGCGACCATAGACCTTACAAGGGAAGTCACTTTTTTCGCAGATCGATCCATACTGGCGACCTAGTGGGCAGTGAAGGCGTCAGGCTGTGTAAGAAGTATCTGGCGTCCAAAAGTGTTTACGGGCCCTGAGGGCAGAGTTATGGCTCATCAAAGTTCACGCAAAAAAGGTTCCGAAAAGACCCTCCAAAAAAACGGTGTTGGATAAGTGAGCTTCGGTAGCAGAGTGGTTCGCAAGTTTTTCTTTTGTCTGGAAGGGCCAGGGTTCGATTCCTCTTCCCGGCAATAAATAAAAATAATATTGTAAGAGTAGCGTAAGTTACATAAAAAAATATTTTAAAATATTTTTTGAAAAATATTATTATCCTGTCGTTAAAAAATGACGATTTTGATCATATCGTCACTAAATTTATCATCTGCCCAGACAGCAAGCGTTTGACTCAAACGCTTCAGCATGATATCACGATCACCAAGGGCGTCTTCGAAAACATCAGAGATGTACATATTGAGAATCCCAGTCCTACCTTTACGCCAATGTTCCCGCAGTTTTCTCCAATGATACGGCGTCTTGATCCACCGTAATCGCCGCATTATTCCGGAAATTGGATGCGATACTCGGTGGAAAAATGCCTTTGCATCCCTCACTGTGTCCAAGCTCACAACGATTCCCCAAATTTTAAATTTTTTAACAGGATAATAATATTTTTCAAAAATTATTTTAAAACAATTTTTTTTTGTAACTTACGCTACTCTTACAATATTATTTTTAGTTATTGCCGGGAAGAGGAATTGAACTCTGGCCCTTCCAGACAAAAGAAAAACTTGCGAACCACTCTGCTACCGAAGCTCACTTCTCCCACCCCGTTTTTTGGAGGGTCTTTTCGGAACCTTTTTTGCGCGAACTTTGATGAGCCATAACTCTGCCCTCAGGGCCCGTAAACACTTTTGGACGCCAGATTCTTCTTACACAGCCTGATGCCTTCACAGTCCACTAGGTCACCAGTATGGATCGATCTGCGAAAAAAGTGACTTCCCTTGTTAGTTTTACGCTAAATAGACCTCTGTTCAACAAACCCTCCAGTAACAAGCAAAAAAAACTTTTTCTTTGTTGACCAACAATTGGTCGTTAAGAGATTTGATTACCTCGCAAAGAATTTTTGGCAATCTAGCGTTCTGAAAGGACCCCGGCAAGAATCCCAGCCTCAGAATGCGAAATGCCGGCCGTTCGCCCACAAATAGGGAAGTCCTTTTCCAGACAAGCGCACTATGTCACCAGGTGTGCATGCAGGTCATCCGTAAAAAGACAATTTATAATTGGCCTCTCTTTGTCGCCGGTGGATGCCAAAAAAAACGACTGGAGAAGAGAGGGAGGCGAAAGACCAATGTTTCTTTAAGATTATATTGGTAAAATACGAGGAAAAAGCACGAAAAAAATGAAAATTTCAGCGATAAAAAATTGTTGCAACTAAATAAATATAAAAATGATTATTTTATTGACAAATAATTAGTAGGAACATAACTTACAAAAATTTTTATGTTACAGTATGCCTTTCAAGTCCAAATTTAAAACTCCATGTTGTCCGACCTTTCTTCCCGCGATTTTTGCAGCGAACGTTAAAACTGTCTCCAAGTCAAAGCCATGGTTGAGAAAATGCAAAAATGCGGCGATAAACGTATCACCCGCACCCAATGTGTCCAACACGTGCTCCGGAGGATATGCCGGTGTGTCGACAAGGTGGTTTTGTTTGGTATTCTTGGCACAGGCACCCTGAAGTGTTTTTTTTTTGAAAAGTTTAAAATACGGCACACCTTAGCTGGCGAGGTAATTGAAGGCTGCAAAACATAAGCTATAATAGTAAAAATGCAAAAAGTTTTGCATTTTTTTGAGCCTGTTTTTCTAAATTTTTCAAAAATCTTACGATTATACTGAATGGAACCTCTGTAAAATGATCGATGAAACCTGTACAACGAGCAATTTTAGACAGCCCCTGGCGATTTTAGGCCAAAATAAACCTTTGTATAACACTCACCTGCGTATCAGTCTGTCGGAAAAATAATGTGGATTTGTCGCAGAAAAATCTTTTCATTCGTCGCAGTCGCGCGTCAACTCTTCAGCCGCGGCAAGCCGTCGCAAAGCGATGATGGCAATTCCAAGAAGCAACGTATCCACATTACTTTCCTTACAGATTGATATACATATAATAAAAATATTTTTATCTATTGCAATTTGTTGTACAGAGCTTTACATTCGGAAAACCAATGTTTGAACTCACCTTTTCTCCCCATGGACAGACAATGATTGTGTTTTTGCAGTCATACGTCTTCTCCATCATTTCCAACGCTTCGAACATGCTCTTCCAACCTGGAAAGCAATTTCTTCACGTATTTTCAAGGGCTTCCTGCGGATTTCACCTTAATTATAGGTCTCTTACCTTGGCACCAATCTGGTTTCCACATTGCCCGGCTTGGATGTGAACAATCTCACGCATTGTGAAAGCCCACTGTTAAGAAAGAACAAGGAAAAGGCTGAAAAATAATAATAATAACTTTGCGTCTGCAAACTCACAGTTCCGTAAAAAATTGCGCGAAAAAGAAAAGAAAAATAATGAAAGACATTGATGAATTCAAGTGAGGTAATCTCTGGCAAGGGAGGCCATTAAGATTCAAAATTTCCCTGAGGGGTCTGAATTAGCCAAATATCAAATTAAAAAAATCTTAGCTCGTGCTTTTTGGCAGCATCGGAGGCATTCAATGATCTTGTTTTGGAGAGAGTCCACAAAACAAGGAGAGTCGACCAGACGAAAAGAAGTTTTTGCCCATAACTTTTTTGTTTCTGCAGGAAAAATTTTTGTTTTTTGTAGAAAAATTATACACCGCAATAGAAAATAGGCCTGAAATTTTTAGGCCTAGGAGAGAAAAAAATTTTTGTGATAAAAAATTTTTTTGTGGTGCTTTCTGGGCAAAAAAATCTCGGAGGTTTAGGGAAAGTAGGAATGCCGCCCATATCTTATAAGATTGTTCACTAAATATAAGTCGTTTTTGATCGAATTTTATAAAAAACAGCAAATAAAAAGAAAGAAAAATGGAATTTTTTGTCATTTTTTCATTAAAAATTGCAAATATTCGAAGTCCTCTAAGTCCACGAAAGTTCAACCCTCCATTCTTCAAAACAATGCGATTACCTTCGCTGACCCCAATACGTTTTCGCCTCCGTGTGCACCCGTAACATTTCTCCCCACCGGTTTTCGCGTTGGGCATTCGGCCGAAGATCCGGCGCCACGCTTACTTTGCCATGGAAACGTTCGGCGGCCGCAAATTTGGGGGTGAAGAAACAACTAAGGAGTACCTGCCCTCGCCCTCCTTTCTGCCCTGGGAATCGCATTGGGAAAGCCGAAAAGGAAGTTGGGAAACGGATTAATTGGACACCGGGGGTTAATCAGGTGGACAGTGGGCATTTCGGTCCGGAACTGGTCAAGGGAATGTCCGTTTGGCGATGAGGTCAATAGGAGACATGTTTCACAATAAAATTGTTGGTTGATGAAGTGAAAGGGACCAAGGAAATGTTTAATTTAGTTAGTAGACTATTAAAATTTTTTGTGTCTAATGTAGAGTTGATTTTTTGCCAAGATGACAAATGTTTTCTCAAAAAAAATCGTTTTTATTCCCAGGAATTAAATTACAAAACAATTTCTAGACATTCAGAAACTTCCTTATAACAAAACCTGTAGATAACAAACAATTTCCGCGACCATAGACCTTACAAGGGAAGTCACTTTTTTCGCAGATCGATCCATACTGGCGACCTAGTGGGCAGTGAAGGCGTCAGGCTGTGTAAGAAGTATCTGGCGTCCAAAAGTGTTTACGGGCCCTGAGGGCAGAGTTATGGCTCATCAAAGTTCACGCAAAAAAGGTTCCGAAAAGACCCTCCAAAAAAACGGTGTTGGATAAGTGAGCTTCGGTAGCAGAGTGGTTCGCAAGTTTTTCTTTTGTCTGGAAGGGCCAGGGTTCGATTCCTCTTCCCGGCAATAAATAAAAATAATATTGTAAGAGTAGCGTAAGTTACATAAAAAAATATTTTAAAATATTTTTTGAAAAATATTATTATCCTGTCGTTAAAAAATGACGATTTTGATCATATCGTCACTAAATTTATCATCTGCCCAGACAGCAAGCGTTTGACTCAAACGCTTCAGCATGATATCACGATCACCAAGGGCGTCTTCGAAAACATCAGAGATGTACATATTGAGAATCCCAGTCCTACCTTTACGCCAATGTTCCCGCAGTTTTCTCCAATGATACGGCGTCTTGATCCACCGTAATCGCCGCATTATTCCGGAAATTGGATGCGATACTCGGTGGAAAAATGCCTTTGCATCCCTCACTGTGTCCAAGCTCACAACGATTCCCCAAATTTTAAATTTTTTAACAGGATAATAATATTTTTCAAAAATTATTTTAAAACAATTTTTTTTTGTAACTTACGCTACTCTTACAATATTATTTTTAGTTATTGCCGGGAAGAGGAATTGAACTCTGGCCCTTCCAGACAAAAGAAAAACTTGCGAACCACTCTGCTACCGAAGCTCACTTCTCCCACCCCGTTTTTTTGGAGGGTCTTTTCGGAACCTTTTTTGCGCGAACTTTGATGAGCCATAACTCTGCCCTCAGGGCCCGTAAACACTTTTGGACGCCAGATTCTTCTTACACAGCCTGATGCCTTCACAGTCCACTAGGTCACCAGTATGGATCGATCTGCGAAAAAAGTGACTTCCCTTGTTAGTTTTACGCTAAATAGACCTCTGTTCAACAAACCCTCCAGTAACAAGCAAAAAAAACTTTTTCTTTGTTGACCAACAATTGGTCGTTAAGAGATTTGATTACCTCGCAAAGAATTTTTGGCAATCTAGCGTTCTGAAAGGACCCCGGCAAGAATCCCAGCCTCAGAATGCGAAATGCCGGCCGTTCGCCCACAAATAGGGAAGTCCTTTTCCAGACAAGCGCACTATGTCACCAGGTGTGCATGCAGGTCATCCGTAAAAAGACAATTTATAATTGGCCTCTCTTTGTCGCCGGTGGATGCCAAAAAAAACGACTGGAGAAGAGAGGGAGGCGAAAGACCAATGTTTCTTTAAGATTATATTGGTAAAATACGAGGAAAAAGCACGAAAAAAATGAAAATTTCAGCGATAAAAAATTGTTGCAACTAAATAAATATAAAAATGATTATTTTATTGACAAATAATTAGTAGGAACATAACTTACAAAAATTTTTATGTTACAGTATGCCTTTCAAGTCCAAATTTAAAACTCCATGTTGTCCGACCTTTCTTCCCGCGATTTTTGCAGCGAACGTTAAAACTGTCTCCAAGTCAAAGCCATGGTTGAGAAAATGCAAAAATGCGGCGATAAACGTATCACCCGCACCCAATGTGTCCAACACGTGCTCCGGAGGATATGCCGGTGTGTCGACAAGGTGGTTTTGTTTGGTATTCTTGGCACAGGCACCCTGAAGTGTTTTTTTTTTTGAAAAGTTTAAAATACGGCACACCTTAGCTGGCGAGGTAATTGAAGGCTGCAAAACATAAGCTATAATAGTAAAAATGCAAAAAGTTTTGCATTTTTTTGAGCCTGTTTTTCTAAATTTTTCAAAAATCTTACGATTATACTGAATGGAACCTCTGTAAAATGATCGATGAAACCTGTACAACGAGCAATTTTAGACAGCCCCTGGCGATTTTAGGCCAAAATAAACCTTTGTATAACACTCACCTGCGTATCAGTCTGTCGGAAAAATAATGTGGATTTGTCGCAGAAAAATCTTTTCATTCGTCGCAGTCGCGCGTCAACTCTTCAGCCGCGGCAAGCCGTCGCAAAGCGATGATGGCAATTCCAAGAAGCAACGTATCCACATTACTTTCCTTACAGATTGATATACATATAATAAAAATATTTTTATCTATTGCAATTTGTTGTACAGAGCTTTACATTCGGAAAACCAATGTTTGAACTCACCTTTTCTCCCCATGGACAGACAATGATTGTGTTTTTGCAGTCATACGTCTTCTCCATCATTTCCAACGCTTCGAACATGCTCTTCCAACCTGGAAAGCAATCCATAATTTTGAGTTTTGAAGCCCCAAGCTTTTTGGGAGCAGTGTGGACTTACCACGCCATTGCGCAAAGTCCTTGCTGACAAACACAATGTCGGCGCGTTTCACGAACTCCGTGACCCATTTATCCGGCACTCTGATCTCCAATTCCACACTGATCAGCGGGTATCTCTTGTAGCCCCGTTTCTTTTTGATGTAGTCCATAATCTGCACAACTTGGTCGTATTGCCGGCCTGATTTCGCTCAAAATTAAAGAGAATTTGATTAAATTAGAGGTTCAGTGAGAGAGACAATCCACAAGGAGGAATTTTTGTATAAAAATTGTCATCTTGTGCAACATTTCATCAAAATTTTTTCCTCTCTCCCTTAGCGCTATCCCTGTGAACCCGCAGTAAAAGTTACCTTCAAAATGAATGATCCCATAGTCATCAATTTCATCAAAAATTTCTTTGAACTCAATGGCCGAGGGCTCCTCAAGATCTCCCTCGTAATGCAGGATGGTTCTGGTGCCAAGTTCGTAGTTACATATGACTGTAGAGACGGGCACATCTTCCGTGGGCCGGTGAACGCAGCGTGTGAGATTTATCCCGGCTTTTTCGACGAGACTAGAAAGATTTGATCAGAATCAATGTAGAAAACGTTTATAATGCATACGAGGGGCCTGATCCATCGGCAAAGAACGTATAATTTTGCATCCGGGAAGTATCAAAAATGTGGCAAAAGACCTCCCACTACAATAAAAAAAACTCCGTTTTGAAATGTGCGCCCTTTCCCTCACAAAAAAAGCGGGCGGGCTTTTCAAATCGGAATTTTTGCACTTGGAGAAGGAGGTATTTTGCTGCACTTTTGATACTTCCCTGATCAAAAATGGTACGTTTTTTGCCAATGGATCAGGTCCGCCGCTGTAGAGTCAGAGCTTTGAAAAACGAATTTTAAAGGATCAAAAAATTTATTCGTTGTAGAAGGGCTTTGTCTTTGTTTCATTAGGCTCATTTTGGCCTAACAAAATCTGTAAAATCGTATGCCAAAACCTCGAAAATTAGTCTCGGACAAGGTTTCTGCATGGGGTTTATTGTACAGACCTTCCAGCATAAAGCAAATCTCTTACTTGTTGAATAAAATGTTTTGCGTCGGCACGGCCATGAAAAGATCTGTCGAATCGTTGAGCTGTGCCAACACAGAGCCACTGTTCGTGGCATTTCCGCCAAGGGTTATCAGCTGAAAAATAATCAAAAAATTTTACAAAAAAACCTTCGTTATAACACATTATATTCAAATGAAAGTACATCCTACCTGATCCACCCCTCGGTTGTCGGTGTCCTCTTCCGGGAAGCTTTGCACATAGTTCACAATATCCACGCAACAAACCCCGCACAACAAAAGCCGCTTCCCGGACATTCTAGCTTACAAAATGGAGGAGCAAAACACGGCCATGTGCGTAATAACCATAAAATTTTGATGATAAGCATGTTTTTCCCGCAAACGTTCCGAGTGTCGGTACTATCAGTTTGAGGGTGCGATTTTCGAAGGGAAACAGTGTGACTTCAATTTTGAGTGCTCTGTCATAAAAAAGGTTGTTCCTTGGGACACTTTTTGAATCATGAGATGATGAGAAAAGGCGTTGGAGAAAATGGAGTTTAGGATTTTGGCGAAAAATAATGCACGTTGCAAGCAAAAAAGCAATTCGATTATTTGAAAAAAAGAACGTTGGCGCAGACTGATATGAGAGCGGTTGATTTTCGATCTGATGTCATTTCCTGCCACACGCAGTTGGCTGTGTTTCTCGTCAAAATTTGTACACAAAACACCCTTGTGTTGTGAAGAGAAAACTGTTTGCCGTCGGCTGTACAATTTTTGTGTCCGTTTAATTTCAATTTCAATTTTACTAAAGGCATGAAATGAATCAAATGGTATCCATTGTCCGGCAAATGCGAGGTTTGCTTGTGATCTTTAGTCATTGTACTCTAAACAAGCTGCATCAAATTCAACTTTTCCAGGTGTAATTATTGGCAGTAGTTTGCATATTTGGTTACTTTTACAAACTGTTTCTAGTAACCAGTGTAATTTTAAAACTTCATAAAAGCTTGTGTCGAATTGTCCTGTTCTATGGCAATTAGACAATTGGCTTTAGCTAAAGCAAATTTTCGATGGACTATGAATACGTGGAGCTGCCGTCAGACTCGGCTGTTCGCTGCTATCGTGCATTTGAAGGATGCATGCTCGTTATTAGCGCAACTTGCTTCTTGATAACCGTCTGCACAATGCTTAAATGTGAGCTTCTATTCAATGCAATTGACTTGGTTAAACCTTATTTTTAGCCTCAACCAGAGCAATGAAAACGTATCGCTACTACTTGCTCAACGAGCTTTGCTGGTCACTGCTTTGTGATCTGAGTATTTCCATCGCATGCCCGATTTCCTTGTTCCCCATACCGTGTGGCTACGCCGTCGGGTGGATCACGAATTTTCCTGGAAATATCTCCGCTGCCTACATGTTTATGGGCTTAATTATTGGCGTTGGACGAGCGTCGGCGCTGACTTTCCAATTTCTCTATCGATTCTTCAGCGCGTTGCCTCCGGGTTCAATGATTTCTTGTGGAATTGAGAGATTGCAGCCGTATCAAGTTATCTTGATTTTTGTGGGGCAACAAGCGTTTGCTGTGATTGTGGCTACGGTAAGGCTTTTTGGATAGTAATTTACAGTCGTTTTCAGATTCCATTTTATTCCTCGTGGCCTGACCAAGATGAGCAAAAAAAGTTGTTATTTGAGAACATGCCCTTCGCTCGGCCTATTCTTAAAAACCATGGAAATATTGTTTGTGTAAATGGTGGGACTCGGCTCAAATACGAACCGAGCAATATCGTGACGTTCATCATCGTTTTGGTGCTCTTGGCTATGGGAGCATGTAAGGTGTTTACTATTGATGTATAGCTTCATTTTTGCTTTGTTATGGCTACAAAAAAGGATGAACAACAAGGGAGTAGAAAAAAGATTTCTTAAGGTCATAGCAAAAAATAGGTAAGAGGCTAAGATGGTAAAGATAGGAAGGCTTGGGGGGGGGGGTCCTTGAGATGTCTCTCTAGGTACAAACCATTCACTGAAAACTTCTATTCGCATCTAAACGCCATACGTTTCAGTATTCGGAGTCATCTTGATGTACTCCTTTCTCCGCCGCGCCAACTTGTCCCCCGCCACGTTCAAGCTTCAAATGATGTTATTCTGGTCGTTGGTGGCTCAATTCCTCGCTGTTTTTGCCCTAATGGTAGTGCCAGCTGTAATCTGGACAATCTCGCCAGTCTTTGGAATACTCAATGGACCTATAGTCTCAATGTTTTTCTTCAGTGTTTTATTGACGCATACCACAGTGGACTGCGCAATGATTCTTTACTTTATCAAGCCTTACAGAAGGTTTTTGAAAGGAGCTTTTATTGGAAGAGAGCAATCGGATTCGGAAGGATCCAAAATAACCTATTTTCAAACTGAAAAAAGAAGGCATACGTTGTTCAATTGAGCCAAGGCTATGTCGCTTTGAAGTGGCCAAACTTTGGTTTATGCCGTTGCAAAGTAAAGCCCCGTTTTTTAACACATTTGAACTTGTGTTTTCTCACGGTCACAGAGTATGTCGAGTCGTGAAATTAGTCAGGTTAATAAAGAAAGAGATAGAGGGTTGGTTTGATTTCAACTTCTCCAATTTGAAAGGCTCTAAAAAACAATCTGTCTTTACATCATCAGTTTATTACCTGTACAGTAAGGAATTTATCTTACACTAAATAAATCAAATCTGACCCTTTGCGGGCGTCACAGACGATTTTCCCACATACAACTTCGTTCTCCCGCTCGCCTCCTTCACGGCCGGTATTACTCGGCCAATTATGGACTGGAAGGTTGAACGGTATTCTTTGCTGAAACATAAAATAATACACAGTGCTCCAAAGAAGCTTTCAACTTGCTGTTTCTTACCTCATAGTGTACAAAATGATGACATTTGTTGAGCTTGCGATATTACAAAAAAGCCCAAAATAATCGGCGAAATAAAACCAGTATTCGATGGGAATACCGGCATAGGGAAGTAGAATTGATCTTACGAATGCATTGAGCATCCAGCCCACCACAACGAACACCATCATCACGGCCAACGACCGGAACACCTTGCGCATGTTGTCCGAGGCCGATGTTGTCAGACGGAGCTTGATGTAGACGGCTGAATACAGCAAGACGTCCAGAATTGTGAGGATAACACATAAATCGAACCAGAAATCGGCCGCATTACCTCCCATGGCATCGATTATAACGCACATTACTGGCCTGTAAACAGACGCCTTTATTGCCTTAGGGAAAAGTCTAACAGACTCGCAAGACTTGACTTACTCCTTTCCATACGGTGTGAAAACATGCATCAAAGCCAGATACAGATCGTATAGCGAAAACGCTGCGGTAATCACCACAGTAATCCCGATATAAATCCCAATTCGCATGTTTCGATAAAAAGTTGGGAACATCACTCCCAAAAATCGATCTACCCCAACGAAGAACGTCATCATAATGCTGACTGTAGCACCCATAAGGAAGAAAGATTGGATATAAAAACAGATGTTGTAAGGAATAAAGTTATTTCCGCTGACCATGTTGATGAAAAACGCCCAATGACAACTCTGATGCATTATGTCGCCCAAGCAGGCCAAGCTGACGAAGATGTTGTAGGATCCATGAAGGTTCTTGTTTATTATTGTGGCGCTGATTATAAGACCGTTCCCAAAATAACTGAAGAGCATTAGAGAGAAGTAGAAGATAGCGGGGAGGAGGATGTTAATGTTGACTCCTTTGCCATAGTATGTTTTGTAAAGCTGAAAATGCGAGATGGATTTGAATACCATGGACCTGTTTCTGAGATTTTTGTATATATTTCCTTGAGTTAACAAAGTAAAAAATTACAGAGTTTTCACTATACCAAGTGTACTGTATTTTATTATATTTATATACTTACATATTCAGAATACGGATTTGAAAACTCCTTCTCATACGGAAACCCCCAGCGATCTTTAACGGCCGGCGTTTGGGTAGTTAAAAATATCAGGGATGTCATGAAATATAGCGAGAGTTTACGAAGTATACTCAGATGTGAAACATAAGGGCTAGGTTTGTGACTATGTAGAGTACTGCGTCTATGAAATAAAAAAAATAGTGTTAAAATGGTCGAATCGTGGGAAATTGCGAGGGGTTTTGACGCCTCTCGGCATAAGCTATAGGGCGAATTACATAGAGAAATCTGGGTTCGGATTGGGAACTGCGGGAATGGGGACTACTGTAGGCCTTTGTCACGTAAAAGTTCATGGAAATATCTTATTTAAAAAATTGTTAACGAATTTCTGGCAATTTTCGAGCTCAAACTGTCTATGGTTTTTAAAATACGCCTTTAAAGAAACTTGGGTTATTTTTCAAAGCCCTTTTTTAGCTTCATTAAAATCTCGAACGTCAAGCCCTAAGGATTTTGACTGTGAGCTTTCAAGGATCGGTTGAAGTCACCAAAAAACAGCCATCATGCAAACCTCAGACTACAGAATAAAAATATGGTCATTTCTACGGCTCTCTGGACTATAAAGTTGCATGTGAGTGCATAATGCCATTGAGCTTTGAGCAAAAACAAATTTAATCATTTTAAAAAGTGCTTACAGAAGTAAATTACGTACTCTTGGCTCTAGAAAAAATTGATTTGAAAATAACAATTTTCGAAATTAAAAATTGAATGATTCTTCAAAAAAGCTTTAGCTCCATTCGACCGGTTGATTCTTTGAGTTGATTCCTCTTTCAAAGGTCGGTGAATATGTAAGTTACCCAATACTTAGTCTAAGTTTTGTTTTCATTACTTCAGTAACACCATCCAAATATGGCCTCTCAATTCGTTTCGATTACCAAGGATTTTGTGGAAATGGCTCTGAAACAATATGAGGAAGAGGAAGATGCAGCGGCCCAGAAGAAGATGAACGATCTTTGGAAGGAATCCGGACTTCTGCTCAAAACTTGGTGGATGATGGTCAACATTGCCGTGGCTTTCACTCGAGATTCATCGATGCATAAGAAAATCGGAGATGACTTTTTTGAGGGGTCTGAAGGTTCTCGAATCCGAAGTGAGATTTTTTTTATTGTTCATTTTTTTTAATTCTGGTTAAAATTGGTGACGTTTGCCCTGTAAATCGCGGTCGTTTCTGCAAAGCGCAATGTGTTGGAATATCTCTATACCTCAAAAATATCGCAGCATATCTGTCGAAATATTGCATTTATTCCTATCCTTATCCCAACTTTTCAGCTCATCGAACGGCCACCTTCCAAGAGATCCGTGACGCTTTCGCTGAGAATCTTCAAGAAGAATTCGTTCAGCAACACGAGCAAGCCAAAGACCTGTTCGAAGACGGGTCCGTACAAACGTAGATAGCCAAGCAAAATCAATGAATATTATACGTATTTTATAACCATAACCCTGAGTATTTATATAAATTAGAATTAAAATGTCGAAACAATTTGATGTTATTCAAAAGTAAAAAAAACTTTATTACAAAACAATATTAACAATTAAGTTAGAAAAATTGGTTTAAAAAGGGCTCATAATCGACGGATTTTTAGTTTGGTTAGCTTTTGAAGCCTTGAGAACGATGCTGAAAAGAAGCCTTATTTGTAAAAAACTTCATATTTAAAAAATTTCAAAAAACTTGCTGAAGAATAAAAAATTCGCTTACCTTTTTGACCCTCAATTCAGAAAATCCATGGGCGAACCGGCATCTTTTCCCCTTCGGGCAAATTCCGTCCGCTTTGAAGTAACGGCCGTTTTGTAGTGAGTTGGACCTCGAGGGCGTCTAGGTCTTCTTCTTCGCGCAGACGGTTCCTTTTCCCTCAATCCTTTTTCGTGGATCTGGACGAATATTGGAAGCCGGCCTTTGATCAGAGAGATGGAATTTTTTGAGGTTTCCTGGAGCGCCACTGAACCTGTTGGTGATGGAGTAGTGTAGCTACAGCTGGGCTGAGATGACAATGGACTTTGAGATGTCCCTGGGAGCGAGGCGGGGCTAATGGAGCCTTCAGAAGGGCAAGGGGCAATCGCGTGGCCAAGAAAAGTAGTCTGTGGAAAAATTATGCCCCCAGGATACATGTAGACTCCTTGTGCTCCAAGGAGAACTGGTGAAAAAATCATCGGCGCTGGTTGGACAAGTTGAAATCCCTGACCAAACAATGGCAAACAAGGATAGATAAAACCGGAAACAAACATGGTAAAAGGCGTCAGATTGTCTTAACAATGAGCAGAATGAGGATCTGATGTTAGCACTCCTTATGTATCTGCTCAATCAAGAGTTTCCGGTGATTTTATAAATTTTCTGCGAGATTCGACTTGATTTTCTGTATTTTTGTCTGCAGATCAGAAGATTTTGGCGATGACGTAATTTGTAATTAATTTTGAAAAGAGAAATTAACGCAGAAAATATTGTAAACCAAAAAAGAGCGTCTACATGATTTTTGGATTTATGGATTTTCCATAAATTTAAAATTTTTTGGTCGTTTGAGGTTCTTGCATATTATTTATTAATTTTACACTGTCTTCTTAATATCTGCGTTTATTTGATATTTTTATGATTTTTTAAGAAATTTTTGATAATTTTTAAAAAGCGGTTTTGCTGGGAACTGGGGAAATCTTCGATGGCTCACTGTTGAATTTTCCAGACTTCTTCCGCGCCAAGAATGGCAAGAGTTTCTCGAAGGTTGCTCGGTATTCCGCGCTAAAATATGTTTATAAGGGTATTTACGTTCTCTTGCAATGATTTATGCTGTGTCAAAACTGCTTACCTAAAGGTGTAGAGGATAAAAATGTTTGATGTACTGGCGATGTTGGCGCACAACCCAAAGTAATCCGAATAATAGAACCATTGGCTAACCGGGATTCCACAATACGGCAACAGAATCGATCTAACGAACGCATTCATCATCCAGCCAAAGAATACAAAACACATCATAACGAGAAGCGACTTGAAGACCTTTTTCATGGCATCAGATGTGCCGGTTTTGAATTTCAATGTGATCCAGACAATAGTGTAGATGACCACACTCAAGAAGTTGACCGTGATGCAGAGATCAAACCAAAAAGTCTGAGCCTCGCCTCCGAGCGCGTCAATTATAACGCACATGACTGGTCTGGAAAGCGATGTCAAATTTTCATGCCAAAAGCATGCAAAATAGAAAAAGTTTTTTCCCAAATTCTGAAAAGACCATGATCGCTTTTGCCAAGCATATTTTTTTGGAATCTATTTGTACAAATCATCTTCATCTTCTTCAAGTTGATTTTTCACAGAGCCGACTCACGGCTACCCGAAATAGAAGAAAAATGTTTCCCGCCCACTTTTGAGTTTCGCTCAAACGAAGTGTCAAAATTGACAAAAGAAATATTACAAAATAGTTCCGAGAAAAATATTTTTCGGTCGGAAAATCCCACAAAAAATTCTTTTGTGACATTTCGTTTGATTTCAACCGATACAAAATGGGCGAAGTGTCGAAAGGAGCCAGGAAACACTTTGGGTTGCCGTGCAAATGTCCTTTCTTATTTACTACATTGACTTACTCTCCTCCATACGGCGTATAAACATGCATCCACGCCAGATACAGCGTATACGCACACAACGCTCCCGTTATGGTCCCAATCACCGAAAAGTACAGAGCATAATTGAGTTGTCGGTAGGTTGTCGGCATCGAAACACCAATCAGCCGGTCGATGCCGACGAAGAATGTCATCATAATACTGATTGTCGCGCCATTCAGAAAGAAGGCCTGTATAAAGAAACAGTAATTGTAAGGGATGAAATTTTGCCCCGAGACCAATTAATAAACAATGCCCAATGACAACTCTGATGCATCATGTCGCCAAGGCCAGCAAGGCTGATAAGGTAGTTATAGGAGCCATGAAGGTTCTTATTGGAGATGGTGGCAATAATTATTAGGGAATTGCCAAAGTAACTTCCCCACATAAGGGTGAAGTACAAAATGGAGGGAATCAAAATATTTATCTGGACTCCTTTACCGTAATATGTATCATAGAGCTGGAAATAAAAAAAAGAGAAATTATCTAGTGACCATAATATTTACATAACATGTGTATACGACTTACATATTGCGAAAACGGATTGCTCAAGTTCTGCTCATAAGGGAATCCCCAAAAATCCTTATGATTTGTATTCAAAGGCAAATTGGAAGTCACGGCATTCGTCGCATTGGCCATTTCGCATTTCCAAAATAATTTTCAAGGACAAATATTCCCGTCGTAACCAACTCAAACACACGATAGACCTATATATTTGATGTCCGTACGTACTATTAATCACATTGTCACCAATTGCTTGCAAAAATGATTGTATGTGAAACACACTGGGAATCTACGTCCCTTTCCTTAAACAAAAGGTGGGAGTTGGCGTGGAATGTCGAACTTTTGGACGCTGGAGAACCCCACATAGTCACAAAACATTTAGAGGGCGAGTACGGATAACACGGAAGTCAAAATTTTGTGGGATCTTTGCTTTGATGATAAACTTGTTGGAGAACAAGTTGACTACTAAAATTGGCAAAGATTTCATTTATGAATAGCTGTTGTAACTCTTGCTTTGTTGCAATAATCAGCGAAATTTACTGACAGGAACGAAATCAAGTCCGAAGATTATGTAAGATTCTATATAAATTTATGCAAAACTCATGAAATTTCAGTTATACGACACATCCATAAAATGTGTCGTATAACTGAAAATAAGACGCAGATACAGGGCTTTCAAAAACTACATGGCGTAGAATAGGTTAGCTAATGAAGGCATATACTTGAGTTGTTCCATTTTCCTTATTATTTTTAAAGTTCATATTCTTGTTTTATACATGTAGGTATACGTTTAAAATATAAAATTTTCATTGTTTGCTGGGCATGGCTGTGATCGTTGAGGGGGTGTTGAAGACTTTTTTCTCGCTATCCCTCGGCCTCATGCATGGGAATATGGGGCCGAGCAGACGTTGGAAGGTGGAACGGTATTCGGAACTGGAAATAGACTTATTAGGGAACTGTTTGAAACCGCAATGTAAGGTGTACGTCTGATAACCTTCTAATAAGCGTCTTGCCCCCAAGAAAGTTTCTGAAAATCTCAGATCGCGTTTTTCAAAGTGGATCTTTTTTGGCCAAAACAGTCTGTCGTGCTTGACCCCTCATTGTAGGAAAATTTTAGTCTTATATACTTTCACATGCAGTCAAAAAAACAAAAAACACTCACCTGAAAATGTACAAGACGGCAAAGTTGGAAGTGCTCGCAATGTTCGCGCAAAGCCCAAAATACGACGCATAGTAAAACCATTCCTCAATCGGGATGTTGAAGTAGACCAGTAAAACCGAGCGAACAAACGCATTCAGCATCCAGCCAAAGAATACGAAACACATAATCACCAAAAGTGATTTGAACACTTTCTTCATCGAGTCAGAGGTGCCGGTCTTCAGCTTCAGTGTAGCCCAAACAGCGCCATAGATTAAAACGTCAAGTGCGTTTGTTGCAACACACATTATGAACCAAGTGTTGGCTGCTTCTCCGCCCATGGAGTCAATGATTACGCACATTACGGGTCTAAAGAAAGAATTTTCAGGGAAGGTGTTCTAACTGGGATTTCCACAAGGGAAGAGTTTCATATGAAACCCACAATTTTTGTTCAAATATCAATACTTGAAATTTTTAACTTGCGCTTTCCGAGAAGAGCCCATGTATTGAATGATCTCTTTTCGAAAGATCTGCGAGGCCGCAGACGATACAGCGACTTTGGGGTCCGATCTGCGCCCAGCCACGGAGACATTAGAACCTTGGCATTTCGCCACAATGGAGAAAAGAGGATTGGAACGTTGGAATGGAGGTCAGAACGAAGGGGGTTGGTTTGGAATGTGAGGTTAGAGGAGCGGTCGTGCGTTTGGCGGGATATTTGATCTATTATATTGGTATATGGTTGTATTGTATTCGCGACCTATCAATAAACTATCGCCGGTAACAGTTGGATTCGGCGTTTGGGGATCTATCAGCTGGGAGATTGTCCCGTTGATACCTGTGGAACTAGTAGGGACCTAGAGTCGGCTGGAGGAAGGACCCAACTATACGTTCCCATTGATCACACAGAATGAAAAGAGAAGGCTAGACGAGAAACAGGTTTTGTTTGTTCTAACACAAATCCAACTGACTTACTCTCCTCCATATTCCGTATGAACGTGAGCCCATCCCAAATACAGAACGTACAACGCAAAAGCGGCCGTTATCAAAAACATTGACCCAATGTAAAGCCAGTAATTGAGTTGTCGGTAAGTGGTAGGCAGAGTAACACTGATCAATCGATCCACTCCAACAAAAAATGTCATCAACACGCTTAGAGTGCCCCCAGTTTGAAAAAAGGCTTGAGTGTAGAAGCACAAATTGTAAGGAATGAAATTATTGCCCGAGAACATGTTTACGGAGTAAACCCAATGACAACTTTGATGCATCATGTCGCCAATGCAACCCATGCACATTAGAATATTGTAGGAGCCGTGGAGATTTTTGTTGATGATAGTTGAAAACACTATCATCCCATTGCCAAAGTAACTGAGGAACATGAGGATAATGTATAAAATTGGAGGCAAAATAATTTCAAGCTGGACCCCTTTTCCATAAAAGGTGTCGTATAACTGAAAATATGCCGCAGATATTATACAAGGCCAATTTTTTTATAGGAAATTAAACATAGATATATATTCACGGTATGTTCATTTTTCTAGTTCAAATTTGGTAAACATCGATTAGGACCAATGTAACCACCCTGTTTGAAGTGTAATCACTTTGTCAAAATCATAGAGACCACCTACAATAAGCCTTATAAGCCGATACCTAAGCTGCTATGTTTGGGCAATTCTGAGATCCGGCTAGAAGAAAGGACGAATTTGTCGCAATTTGAAATTTGGTTGTTTTAAAATGACAGGCATCTTTCTATGTTTGCTAAAAATATAATACATGTGAATATAGGCCCCACAGTGGCCTATGATTTTGAAACCTAGCGTATACATTGTGTATATTTTTGGTATGTAGACCGAACAACATATTTTACCCTAAAGCTGAACTAGTACGTACTGGCGGAAAACCACGTAGTTTAGGACAGGTCAACTATGAAGGTATAAACTTGAGGTTTCAGAAGATAATTATATGTGCATACATTGACTATGTTTCATAATTATTGAACTCGGACAGAAAATACCAAGCTACCGCATAGATATTCATGTTTAGATTCGTAGAAAAGATTTTGGAAACTGCATACTTGTAGTATGACAGTTACGGGGTTTACAACTTACATATTGCCCATACGGATTGGAGAGCGGTCTGTCGTATGGGAATCCCCACATATCCTTTTTCGTTGAGTTCAGCGCACTGTTCACAGTCGTTGTAACAACTTCGGCCAGATCAAGGAGGTTGGCAGTTGTTGTCGACTTGACTCGCGGCATATTTAGCAATCTTTAAGATATTGAAAAAGTACAGTACGATAAAATTATTTTACGTCTTCGTCAGAGACATTAAACCGTCGCTGAGGAACAAGGTAGAGTAACAAGAATGCGGATAAGATTGAAAAGTAACAGCGGTTTCAACCCTCTATGGAACTTTCCCATGAAAATGCGAACACGGGCTTCCTCTGCCTTGTGCTGAAAGCACTAGTTTCAGTGGGTGTTACACCACCATAAGGCAAATTCTCCAAGTATGTTACAAACGCCTTTGTTACGAGTTGTTTCCAGTGGGAAAATATTTGACAAAGCGTGAAAACGTCTAGGACGAGAGATGCAAAGTACATATTGGACTGTTATAACAATAAGAGGACAAAGTAACCGTGCATTTCACCGGTTTTTTGGCTTTCGCACTGTGAATGGAAATATCGCTGCGACTTAAACAAGTGTCAAATACGTCGCTGCTTTGGCGCCAGGACTTTGCACCGTGCAAACCGCTTTTTTGAAGCTTGCACTGTGCATCGGATTTTCCTCTTTTTGCACAATGTAAGGCTTGAGAAAATCAGTCATCTTTGTAGGTGAAGAAGCAAAAAAAATCTGAAGATTTGGCGATGATCTAAGTTCATTTTTTCACTAAAAAAAAGTTCTACTCGCACCGTTCTATACTCTTTTTATTCACTTTTTCATTTACTTTTATTCTTTTTATTGTCGTATTTTAGTTACTTTTACATTCTGCGGTAATATGTACATATTACATACATATACATATTTGTACGCGTATTACACTTGCTTCTGGTAAAAAATAAAGATATAATTATTTGATGGGCGCTGCTGACACAGTAATCGTAGAAGGCGTGTTGAAGAAGAGTTTTTCGTCCTGCTTCGGCTTCATGCATGGGAAAATTGGGCCCAGCAGACGTTGGAATGTGGCACGGTATTCGGAACTGCAAATAAACTTAGTTAGGAAAGTGTTGGAAACTGAAAAGTTTTGTTCTGGAAAGCTATTAATATGCGTTTTGTTTTTACATAATATGAATTTCTGAAAACTTTATCTCGCGTGTTGCAAGAGGCCTAGAAAGTTGCAATCTTCTAAAAAGCAAAAAAAAAACTAACCTGAAAATATACAAGACGGCAAAATTGGAAGTGCTCGCAATGTTTGCGCACAGCCCAAAATACGACGCATAGTAGAAAAATTCCTCAATCGGGATGTTAAAGTAGACCAACAGTATCGATCGAACAAACGCATTCAGCATCCAGCCAAAGAATACGAAACACATGATCACCAGGAGTGACTTGAACACTTTCTTCATGGACTCGGAAGCGCCGGTCTTGAACTTCAATGTAGCCCAAACAGCGCCATAGATTAAAACGTCAAGTGCGTTGATTATAACGCACACCACGAACCAGGTGTTGGCCGCTTCCCCGCCCATGGAGTCGATGATTACGCACATGACGGGTCTAAACGAAGGATTTACCGTAGAAGAGTTTGAACTTGACACATTCGCGGATGCGCTACGCAAAATGGGGTTTTTGCCAAGCGACAAAGAGCCTAGACACATTACGTAAATAGCCGTATCTGGCTCGACGATATATCAAGATGTGGAAGTTCTCACACTTTCCAGCAGCAGCCGAGATACGCAGTGGCCTTTTTCGAGAGGGCACACAAATGAGGAGAGAGGGCCAAACGAGCTGATTTTAGCGTGATCCGAAAGAAAAAGAGTTTATGGCCGTGTATCCTCGAAAATTTTTGCAAAAAACTCCGAGTATTTGCCACGTAAAATTAAAGCAACTTACTCTCCTCCGTACTCCGTATAAACATGAGTCCAGCCCAAATACAGAATGTAAAGCGAAAAAGCGGCCGTTATCAAAAACATTGACCCGATGTAAAGCCAATAATTGAGCTGCCTATAAGTGGTGGGCATAGTAACACTGATCAACCGGTCGATTCCGACAAAAAACGTCATCACCACGCTCAAACTAATCCCAGTTTGGAAGAAGGCTTGAGTGTAGAAACACAAGTTATATGGTATGAAATTGTTGCCCGAGAACATGTTTACGGAGTAAACCCAATGACAACTTTGGTGCATCATGTCGCCAATGCAACCCATGCACATCAGAATGTTGTAGGAGCCATGGAGATTTTTGTTCTTGATGGTTGAAAGCACTATCATCCCATTGCCAAAGTAACTGAGGAACATGAGGATAATGTACAAAATGGGAGGCAGAATGATTTCAAACTGGACGCCCTTCCCATAATAGGTATCGTAGAGCTGAAAATGGGATGTCATCAAAATTTACCTACAACGGAAGGGTTTGTAATAAGATGTAGTACAATTACAGGGCCTGCAAAACTGTTGGTAGGCAAGTAGAGAGAATTTTCTCAATGGTAAGTTACTCTTACAATTAGCCCATATCGAACAATATACATTTACTATGGTTCATGATTGTCAAATTTAAACTATTTAAAAAGATCAAGCTACCACAGAGAGATTCTTACAAAAGATTTTGGAGGCTCCATTTTTTGTAATAAGAGAGTTTAATATGCGTTTACAACTTACATATTGCGCATACGGATTGGAGAGCGGCCTGTCATATGGGAATCCCCACATATCCTTTGTCGTTGAGTTTAGCGCACTGTTTACAGTCGTTGTAGCGACCTCAGCTAGGTCGAGGACGTTGGGAGTTGTTGTGGACTTGATTTTTGGCATTGTTTGAAGTCTTCAAGGAATAGATGTATAATATGTAAAATATAAAACTTTTTACGTGCGTTTCCAGAAAAAAAATAAAGCTTAAGCCGCCGCTGAGAAACAAAGTAGAACAATAAGAAAGCGGTAAAGATTAAAAGCTCAAAAAAAGCGTAAAAGGTTAAAAGTTCTTTAAAAACCGTCCCCAGAGGTGCAGGCTCCGCCCCAGAAAAAAGGGGCGGACCCGAGAAAAACTGTAGTCTTGCACGATCGAATAGTTGAGTGAAAATGGTGAAGAGATGTGAAGCTTTTGACAAAAAGGTTATGACATGCCAGTTTGTATGTATAATTACAAGGTGGAAGCATATTTAAATTTGTTGATTACAGTGTAAAAACGACAACCCGGAAGTCAACAAAAAAAGCCTGAAACATAAAAGTTAGTTGCACGATTTATTAGAGCATAGAACAACAGTTATGATCTTGTAAGCCTGTTATCTTGAAATTTTTTGGAATTTATAGTATTATAATACATGGAGTTGGCAAATTAGGAAATCCGAGGGTAGGTGAGAAACAGTAGGAATACTTCCTGGATGTCTTCGCTGCAACATTTCAAGCGACCGAGAAGGTATAAACTATGTTCCTAGAGTAATATAAAGTCAACAAGTTCATGATAAAAAGGCTTATTCCCTCCGAGATCAAAATCTTCAACAGAATAGATCATGAAAAGCGTTTCTCCAGTTTTGCTTCTCAACGGCCGGTGTAATTTTATTCCTTCACGCTTATATCATTTTATTTTTTATTTGTTTTTTGTAAATATATTAATAAATATTACAATATAATTATTTGCTGGGTGTGGCTGAGACGGTGATCGTCGAAGGAGTGTTGAAGAAGAGTTTCTCATCCTGCTTCGGCCTCATGCATGGGAAAATCGGGCCCAACAGACGTTGGAAGGTGGCACGATATTCAGAACTGCAAATTAACAAATTGTTAGGAAAGTGTAGGACACTGCAAAGTTTTTTCTGGAAAGCTAGAAATATGCGTCTTGCTTTTAATGAGTTTCTAAAAATCGTGCAAGAGGCCTGGAAAGATGCAATCTAATAAAAAACAAAAAAAAAACACCTGAAAATGTACAAAACGGCAAAGTTGGAAGTACTAGCAATGTTCGCGCATAGCCCAAAATACGATGCATAATAAAACCATTCCTCAATCGGGATGTTGAAGTAGACCAGAAGAACCGAACGAACAAACGCATTCAGCATCCAGCCAAAGAATACGAAACACATGATCACCAGGAGTGATTTGAACACTTTTTTCATGGCGTCAGAAGTGCCGGTCTTGAACTTCAGTGTAGCCCAGACGGCGCCATAGATTACCACGTCCATTGCGTTCACAATAACGCACATTACGAACCAGGTGTTGGCCGCTTCTCCACCCATGGAGTCGATGATTACGCACATTACGGGTCTAAACAAAGATTTACAGTGATTCTTGCCACGTTAGATTTAATCAACTTACTCTCCTCCATATTCCGTATAAACATGGGTCCAGGCCAACGACAAGTCGTATAGCGCAAAGGCGGCCGTTATCAAAAACATTGCCCCAATGTAAAGCCAATAATTGAGTTGTCGGTAAGTGGTAGGTAAAGCAACACCAATCAATCGATCAACTCCGACAAAGAAAGTCATCAGCACACTCAAGCTGGCCCCAGTTTGGAAGAAGGCTTGTGTGTAGAAACACAAGTTATATGGTATGAAATTATTGCCCGAGAACATGTTTACAGAGTAAACCCAATGACAACTTTGATGCATCATGTCACCAATGCAACCCATGCACATCAGAATGTTGTAGGAGCCATGGAGGTTCTTGTTCTTGATGGTTGAAAGCACTATCATACCATTGCCAAAGTAACTGAGGAACATGAGGATGATGTATAAAATGGGAGGCAGGATGATTTCAAACTGGACGCCCTTCCCATAGTAAGTGTCGTATAGCTGAAAATGGGATGTTTTTACATTGGCCAATGTGTCGTATTTGGACTAAAAGATCAAGATACCGCGTAGATCTTCACGTTTACATTCTTACAAAAATTTTCGGAGACTTGAGAGATACGGGTGACTTTAAAACTTACATATTGCCCATACGGATTGGAGAGCGCTCTGTCGTATGGGAATCCCCACATATCCTTTGTCGTTGAGTTCAACGCACTGTTCACAGTCGTTGTAGCGACTTCAGCGAGATCGAGGACGCTGGAACTTGTCGTTGACCTGATTTTTGGCATTCTTTGAAGTCTTCAAGTGATAGAAATAACACAATATAAATCTTTTCAACAGGAAATTTAAGGCTTAAACCGTTGCCGAAGGGAAATGTAGAATAATAAGGAAGCGGGAGGTTAAACAACAGCTGTGGTTTCAACACTCCGTTAAAACTTCCCATGAGAACGCAATCCCAAACTCTCTGAACATATCTCGTTTGTACTTTGTATCGAAACAACTACATAGTTTGAGAGGGTGTTACAGTATTACCCGGGGAACTCACCAAACAAGTTACATATACCTTGGTTGTGAATTGTTTCCGGTGGGAAAGACACCCGACAAAACGTGAAAATTCAGGGTTAGAGTACGTTCTGGAAGTTTCAAAGGTAAAAAAAGAAGTAGGCAGGGGCGGTTGGTCATTTCCGTAAATATGTATGTAACTGCTGTATCAGTCGACGAAAAAGAACTAAGAATTTTCTGGGATTATCGCACAAAATGCACAATGCAGGGTAAATTCCAAGGACTTTCAAGTACGATGAGCACTGTTGTCCGAGACGTAGACACGTGGGTTTTTGCGCCAATTTCCCAGAGTTTTTTGGTCAGTTTTGAACAAATTAATAAATTGACTACAATTTTTGTATACGGTAATACTGTAACGTGAGAGTTGATTCAAGCTTTTGTCGGATATTACTCACAGAGCACAAGAATTGGTAAGATTTGTGATCCTTTTACAGGGTGGGGCCCGGTTTGAATTGGCTATAACTCCTTTTGTTTTTAGCCAAATCTTAAAATGCTTTTTTCCCTGAATCCTCAGACATCCCTATTTTGTTTGATACGAAATATGTTATAATAGGTAAGTGTCATCTACAGTTATTGGATTTATTCTTGGAGGGTCGTTTTTTCTTATCATTGAAACTTATTTTTATCACGTTTACTTTATTTAAATAACATACTGTAGCTGTATAAAAAACATGCAATTTCTCTCATCAACCCATAGCCTTGTACCGAGTATCCATTTATTATTAGAATTTACGAGATGGCGGCAAAATACTCGGCCTGGGTCTTGTCACAAGCCGGATCCATGGACGTGTAATGAAGGTTGGGATAAAGGAGGAAATATAACAATGCGAAGATCACGAACCCGAAGAAGAACATCATCTGAAAACCAAATGTAATCATGAGAGAAAATCATAATATTCCTCTACAGAAAACTTCAGTAACTTTTCTATACAGCGAAGGACCCGATCCAGTGGCAAAAAATGTACCATTTTGCATCCGGGAAGCATCAAAAAGGTGGCAAAATGCTTCCCTCTCGAAGGGCGCGCTTTTGAAAACGGAGCTTTTTCGCTTGGAGAGGGAAGCATTTTGCCACATTTTGATACTTCATGGATGTAACATGATACTTTTTTTGCCACTGGACCAGGCCCCCCACTGTATTATCATCACTTACTTGAGTAATCCAATGAAATCGATGCATGGTCTGGGAAGTAAACGAAAGGCTGGGCAATATCTTTAGCATCCCCGTTCTTTTCAGCGGCCCAAACAAGTCGACCTTGGTCTTGGGTCCGTTCACATCGGCCGAAGCCATCGGAATCGCCGTATATTGCACCGAACAGGAGCGATACGCCGTGGAAGGGCGTTGGATGAGATTGGGAGAGTTGACATTGGTGCTAAAATGAGGGGAATTACAATGTGAATAGCCGTGTTAAAGGTCGGAAAAGGTGTCTTGCAGCACTTTAGTTAACACACTTTGAGTCCTCGTTGGTTAGACTAGTGGATAGGAGGTTTCCATTCGGCGGATCCCCGTTCTCCTGGCCTAATGGATGTGGGGAAATGGAGGTGCGGAATTCAGGCAACATCGAGGCAATAACACTGTGTTCACGGGCTCTTCTGGAAGAGAGGGAGATAGAAAGTAAAGCGATAGAAGTTGCATAGTAATAGAGTTTCATGGGTTAGTCAAGGTGGGGTATGATTAACAAGGGATGCGATAGATGTGCGACGCTCAGATTTTTCGTATGTTTTTCATATGCATTGTGCAGGCAGTAGGAGGCTAGATGGAATGTCATCATTATTTTTGAGTTCTGTGGACTTCATTACAAAGAAAATTTCTTTGATTTGCGGTGCAATATTATTGGGTCGTATTGGGTAAATCCGTGCAATTTTTTTTATTGTCTTGTTTTATACTGGTTGACAAAATTTTCTTTCCACCTCGTATCTCGGGAACCGCTGGGCCTAGAACCTCAAAATTCGGCACAGAAACATCATGGGACAATATAACACCATACCCAAAAAATCATACCGTTTGTTACACTTTGAGTGCACTGTTTATGCAAACGGCAAAAAAAGGGGTGACAAAATTTTCTTTCCACTTTGGAAAAACCTTTGTAAATCATAAGCCAGAGGCATGATTTTGGTGCCGTTGTGATCGCGAAGAAGTCCTCTTTCTATCTGTGTCACAATTTTGCAGGAGTTTTCGTTGTTTCGGTCTTGGGCGTCTGCTCATCGTTGCGTTGTCCGTTTTCGGTCAAATTCGTGGACAGAGAAGCTCGCAGAAGGCCCAAGGAGATGAGACTGCCCTTAAAAAATCTGGTATTTATGTCTGCAACATTTTTTACACCGGCAGTAAAATTAGATTCGATTTAAGTGTGTTACATGGGAAAATGTGCACTTACAGGGTTCTCGTTGCCAGAAAATTACGTTATTATGGGAACACTGTAGATAATTCAAATAACTTTTCGTGCTGATATATTTTCCATGATACTACAGACTTTAAAAATAGTGAAGATTTTAGTCTCTGATGTTGCGCTTAGGTATGAGCAGAAGAATGGTTCCACATGCCCCATGTGCAAGATTTGCAACCCTAAGCTTCCCGCGCAAGCTAGTTGTCGTGGCAAAAACGTTAAAGGCGGGTCAATGTCAATGTATTAAAATAGTCTGGCAGTCAAATTTCCCAATATATCCAGTTTAAGTTATGGCGATGCCTCTGTGTCATGTAGTGCAACAACCTGTATTACATAAGACGACATAGACCACAGGAGGTAAGGTAAGGCGGTAGGCTTCAACACATACGGTCGTATAATACCTAAAATACGCCATATCTACTGCAAAGGCATGTCATTTGAACGTTTCCATTCTTACACAAGCAATTTTCCGGTTTCGCGCAGTCTAAAGGTGCGCATTTTCCCATGCAACACACTTGAATTGAATCCAATTTTACTGCCGGTGCAAACAATGTTGCAGACATAAATACCAGATTTTTTAAGGGCAGTCTCATCTCCTTGGGCCTTCTGCGAGCTTCTCTGTCCACGAATTTGACCAAACACGGACAACGCAACGATGAGCAGACGCCCAAGGGCGAAACAACGAAAACTCCTGTAAAATTGTGACACAGATAGAAAGAGGACTTCTTCGCGATCACAACGGCACCAAAATCATGCCTCTGGCTTATGATTTACAAAGGTTTTTCCAAAGTGGAAAGAAAATTTTGTCACCCCTTTTTTTGCCGGTTGCATAAAAAGTGCACTGAAAGTGCAACAAATGGTATGATTTTTTGGGTATGGTGTTATATTGTCCCATGATGTTTCTGTGCCGAATTTTGAGGTTCTAGGCCTAGCGGTTCCCGAGATACGAGGTGGAAAGAAAATTTTGTCAACCAGTATACAAAGATTGTTTGTTGTTTGGCAAAGTGTACATATTTACTTGGCAGTGTTTTTTCTCCTCTACAAAACTGTGTTTTTACAAGGGAAGTACCCCAAGTGCGACGCTCAGATTTTCTTTAAATTTTGCACACACGTCGGGAATGGACTAAATATCAATTCCTGTAAGTTTTAGCTCGCGCTTTGCAGGCGCCGCCGAGATATCGGACGATTTATGCCGCCGAGAGAGCACGCTAAATGTGGAGAGCGGTCAGAGAGAAAAACGCTTTTTGGTTATAACTTTGGCAGTTTCGTGCGGAAAAATTTGATTTTTTGTAGAAACATTATCCTTTACGGTAGAAATAGGCATGAAACTTTTCGTGCCGAAATTCGGCAAAAAGTCCTAAATTTTCGCCGACTTTCGATCTAAAAATCTCGGTTGTTTCTGCAAAGCGCGGGCTAGGATTCTCGCATATATCTTAGAAAAAATTATTCTACATTTGTGCCAAGTTTCATCAAGACCTGAGCGTCGCACTTGGGGTACTTCCCCTGTTAGTTTTTTTTTTGAAATTTTAATTTTTTTATGATTTTTCAGGCTCAAGCATCTTCTTCGCCTCCAAACCGGTAGATTTCTATCGAAGAGGCATCGGAAAATTGGTCAACAGGTGGGAAGAGGTCGTAAACAGTAACGGAGAATACATTATTGATAAATTTACTGTTATAATTACTGTTTGTTTGCTAAAAAAATAGGTCCAAAAGATTGCACGAACTTACCGTACGACCCAATATGATTATAAAACATAAAATTTTGCAATTTCTATCCAAAAAACTCCGCCATATACTCTAAAAAGTCTCATTTCCGCTCCCGCCAACCTTAAATTATATCACCAAATATTAACAAACCGAGCCGACCCAAACTACGGCCAACCCAGGCAGTTGTAGGCCAAATCTGTGCGCCGCACTTTGACCACATCACCGGATGAATTGTTAGCTCACAATCAACTTACTGCCGGTTCAATTTCTGCCTCATAAACTTGACCAACGCCAGTTTGATCAACGACAAAAATACGATCATAAAACAGACGGCGAGCCAGATATCCAACGCTTTCAAATAGCTGACCCTCGGCATCATCTCATTGTACGAGAAAATCAAGAAAGTAATCGCCAAAATAATCGAGATCATGTCCTAAAACGACTCAAATCAAGCTGAAGATGTCCGAATTACCTGAAATTCGGTCTCGCTTTCCATCCACAACGCCACCCAAGAGGTGATAACCACAGCAGTCGAGGGGATAATCAGCTGCAGAAAGCAGAATCCAGAGGCTCGATCGAAGACAAAACAGACGTACAGACGACTGTAGTCTCCTAAAGCAATATTCATCGAATACTCTGATTACTCGGGTTGAGTCTGAACTCTCCCCCTTTTTTGAACTCTCCCGCTTTTCAAACTCTCCCCCAAAAAAGGCGAAACTCTCCCCTTTTTTGAACACTCCCCCATTTTGAAAATTTAAAAAACGAGGAGTGACGTGTTATACGATGAATTTTTTTTCAAATTGAGAAAAATTAGGTGCGACATGTTATACGATGAAAAATTTATTTTCAAATTTTCAAATTGAAAAAAAATTCCATCGTATCACATGTCACATCTCATTTTTTCAATTTGAAAAAAAAATCATCGTATAACATGTCACACCTCATTTTTTTCAATTTTCAAAATGAGGGGGGAGTGTTCAAAAAGGGGGAGGGTTCATTCAACGGGGAGTGTTCAAAAAGGGGAGATTTCGCCCGCAACGGATTACTCGTAATTTAAAAACCTCAAAACAAAAAAAACTTGCCAGTAGCATAACTCTCGAGTTGACTGACCACATACGCTTCCTTTATTTGAAAATCCGGCAACCGAATTTTGCTCAACTTTAGCGCATCGATTTGCCCTTTCGACCACTGATAAACGACCTGATCCGCGGTGTAACCATAACTCTCAATTCCGAGTTTACAGACCTGAGAGTCGAAGGGGAACTGCAAAGGGGTTGGTGTATTAGAACCTCACTTATTTCTAAATCTACAGCCCTAAACTTACCAGCACCAAATCCATGGGACATTCAGCGACTACCGAGATCCGCCGGCTGTACAAAATCCTCCCCTTTTCCTGTAATCTCAGCAAAGATCGATGGGAAATCGACTGTTTTTGCGGATTTTTGGAGGCAATAGCATTTGGCATAAACGTATCGGGATGCCAGAGGAAATTGGTGTAACTTTCGTGCAGCGAGATCTCTGATTTATTCTTGAAAAGACTTTTGTCGTAATCCAGGCGGCTGTCCGTCCAAGTCTCGCGATAGAACAGTTCGAGAGCGTAGTCCTGGAAAAGGACCAGAGTAATTTGTTTTTGACGTGATAAAACTTACCATAGTGACTTCGGAGACAGCTCGAATGTTGCTCACGACAATGCTGACATCGATGAGGACAGGGCCTAAAAATCAAAGTTATATTACATGGTTTCTGAGGCTCTGAATTGGGCAAGCACGGCCATGGGGCCGGTTCTAGGCCAGCAGCTTGGCTCGAACAGAAATAGGCCCGGTCCGGCTCGTTTTGAAGGTTTTCGAAGCCTGGCCTGGCCCGGTGAGGCTCAAGCGCCAGCTTATTTTTTGTCACTTTACTAACCCAATTTATAGCTACAGTGGGGGACCTGATCCAGTGGCAAAAAACGTACCATTTTGCTTCAGGAAAGTATCAAAAATGTGGCAAAATGCTTCCCTCTCCAAGTGAAAAAATTTCATTTTGAAGGGCGCGTTTCCCTCACAAAAAGAGCGGGCGCGCTTTCAAATCGGAGTTTTTTCACTTGGAGAGAGGGAGGTATTTTGCCGCATTTTTGATACTTCCCGGATGCAAAGTGGTACATTTTTTGCCACTGGAACAAGTCCTCCACTGTACACAGTTTCTGAGGCTCTAAATTTGGCAAGCACGGCCAACGGCGCGGGTCTTGCGCCGCCTCTCAAGGCCCGCAGTCCGGCCCTATGACAAGTAGGCCCAGCCCGGCTCGTTTTGAAAGTTTTGGGAGTCTGGCCTGGCCCCGTGAGACCCCAGGGCATGTTAGATTTATGACATTTTACCATTTCGATTTATGGCTAGTCCAGAAAAATTCTTATTTTGCTTACCTCCACCGTTCTCCGGGCACTGCCGATGATCGTATTTTATCCTCCTCAAAAACGCCAGAAAATCCCTCGTTTCTCTGAAAATTTCATTATAATCTTACAAATATCAACTACCACTGAAACCAACTAAAAATTCAGAAAATACCAACTAAAATTTTCTAATTTTCCAACATTAGAAATTACATTACACTACATAACTTTTGACAGTTTAGTGATGACAAACACAAAAGCAGGGAAAACGCAGTTTTTTTAAATTAGCCACTATTTTACGTGTTATCAAATAAAAAGGAGCGACTAAATTCACAACGATACCCAACGGAACACCGATTTCACATACCCAAAAGCTCCCGTTGTGAACATGGCGCTAAAAAAGGGAACAAAAACATTAAAAAGAGCCATAAAATACGATGATTATGGATAGGAAATTAGGAAAGATTGGATTCTGCACACATAAAGTGTCGGAAATAAGTAAATGCGGTGGACATGCAAAGCATTTTAAACAGGTTTAAAACAGTTTTTTTTGGAATTTTTGGGCTTAAAATAAAAAAAAAATTGTAAACTTTTGAACTTCTGAAGATGATATGCTTAGATTTTGACAAAACTTGATGTAAAGTTGAAAAAGAAATTTTTCGAGGTATTACTTCGACCTCGCGGATTGCAGAAACGACCAAGATTTTTGGGTGAAAAAATCGACAAAAATATGGCATTTTTATGCAAATTTTTCGGATAAAAATTTTCATGGCTATTTCTACCGTACAGGGTTATATCTCCACCAAAAATCAAACTTTTCCGCAAGAAACTGGCAAAAATATGGGCAAAAATAGATTTTCTCTCTTTCCGCTCTCCGCATTTTGGGCAGTCTCTCGTCCATTTTTATAAAAAAATCTCTTAAAATTTCATTTTTGGCAAAGAAAAAGGGATATATAAACTTCGAAATCGAACCTACCCTTGCTGAAAAATGGAGTCCTTATCAATTTCCGAGGTCATAATCTCCTTCCGCTGCTTCTTCTTGCTCCCTTTGTAGTTCAAAACAGGCTCGGCCCAGTCCTCTTCAATGGCCTCGTAATCGTCGGGCAAGATGCCATCCGAAATTTCAGCGCCACTCATCGCAACCGCACGAACTCCACCACTTTTATGGACATTCTAAATCATCTTTTTATTATTTATTTTGGATCAACTCTCACTCTTGATCTTTTATCGTTTTTATGAGTATAAAGTCTGTTTTGAAACTTAGAATACGGTATCTTTTGGAGATCCCAAATGCACTTTTATTATTTTTTTTAGATAAAATGGCGCAGTTGAAACTTATAAAAAGCGAATCTTTAGGCCAATTACGCCGCAAAATGAGTTTTTAGAGTTTTTTGGGGAGAATCAGAGATGAAAAAAAAGATAAAAGATAGCCAAGCGAAGACGTCATTATTGATGAAGTAATAAGTATGATTTTTTTGATAAAAATTGGGGCTAACTTATTCGAAATTTGAAGTGAAACCTTTCTGGAAAAAAATCTGTTTTTCCAGCCATGAATTCAGCGAGATTTTGATTAAAAATTTGCCTCTGACTTCTTTGGCTTCCAATTCCATAATATTAAATATCATTGAATATTTCGCTTGAAATTAAAAAGCAAAAGCTAACATTTCATGTACAGTAGGAGACCTGATCCAGTGGCAAAAACGTACCATTCTGGGAGGTATCAAAAATGTGGCAAAATGCTTCCCTCTCCAAGTGAAAAAACTCCGATTTCAAAAGCGCACCCGCTCTTTTTGTGAAGGAAAGGGCGCGCCCTTCAAAACGAAGTTTTTTCACTTGAAGAGGGAAGCATTTTGCCACATTTTTGATGCTTCCCGGATGCAAAATAGTACGTTTTTGGCCAATGGATCAGGTCCGCCACTGTATGTGTGTGTTTCCAGCAATAAATTCAGCAAGATTTGGCTGAAACTTTGTCTTTGACCTCTTTGGCTTCTAATTGATAAATATCTTCAAATATCTCGGCTAACACTTTCAGACGTTGAATTGTGGCCTAGACGGATCAAGAGCGCAAATTTTGAAGAAAATCTAGCTCTTGCTGGTCTACTAATATTGGCCTTGTAAAATTTTGGGTCAATTCTAACAACCTCTTTTACAAACAATTTTTACGCAAGTTTGGGGTGGCAACTTGTCGATTTGTCAAACTTAAAATAAAAACAAGGCATCTTTACTGAATTTTTTATACGTAATGCCGCACAATTCTTATAAAAAAACAGTAAACTTACATCAACCACCGGCGGAGAGGCTTCAACTTCAAATTTCCCTTGATTTCCTCCAAATAGCCCCAAAGAAAGATATGTGCAGAGCAATTTGAACATCAACGGGGCCAATGAGATCTTCACTCCCATCTTTTTCAAAGCCTGAAGTCTCTGCTGGTCATAAAAATTGGGCCATTTTTGGAAAAAAGATCCTAAATTTTTTTGGAATTAAGTATGATGACAAATCAGAAATTGGTTGGTAAGACAAAAGAGTCCCGGATGATTTTATAAAGACAAAAAAGGACACTTAATCATGTTGAAAAGGCAGACTTCAACTCTGTAACTAAATTTATCTCGGCGTTTCCGAAAAAAACAAAGGAATGCCATGGAATATAATGGATATTCGAATTGACAGAGACTCTTTCAAAGCAATTCTTATCTCTTTTTAGATTGGACATGCAATAATAATCTTAAATTGAACATTTTGAGTGTTATTTTAGTCATCAAAAAATTAAATTATTGAATTTAAAAAAATAAAAGTATTAAATTTCCAGGGTAAAATACGAGCCTCACACAGGCAAAAACGCATGCAAAAATTTTTAGTCTCGGTCACAAAAAATTATATTAACTATAGAGCCATTTTCACGTCATTGAAGAGTTCATGAGGCCCCACTTCATGAACTTAATAAAACCCGAAAAGAATGCCATAAATCAGCTTCGGAAGTCTTCGAAAAATGGGCCCGGAGAAAGTTGGGGCAAATTTTTTTGGGAGAGTAAAGTTGTGAACTAGTTTTACAATGGATTTACATCCCGTATCTTTGCAAGTTTCGCATGAAAAAAACTGATTTGATTTGTTATAGAAGCACATATCTTTACGGTAAAAACAGGCGTGAGACTCAAAAAATTCAGGCCAAAATCAGCATAAAAGATCCGAATTTTCATATAAGCTTCGCCCTTAAAGCAAGACACTTTCCTTATTAACTCATTGTCAGCCAAAAACCCTTCGTTTTGGATAGACATTCCAGTCAAATTCACTCTCTATTTTTGCAACTAAATAATTCAAAATTCATCATGCGTTCGAAAAAATGTTCCAAGAATGGCCTCGCTTTTCAATTGGAGAGCAAACTCGATTATCCGACAGTAATATCATCATCAGTCATATGCAGAATGCATTTATCCTGCTTTCAACTTGAAAACCATTTTAAAATCTCTCATTAAAACTTTTCAAAAATCCGGGGCGTTGAAAAAGGCGTAAGAACAATTCCCAGGGGCGATAAAGCAGATGAGCACGACTTCTGAGGCCAAAAACAATAAAAAGAAGCGGCTCTACATCGGGCGTGGATGTTCGCGTTTAGAATAATTTTAGGTTGTAAAAAACTTTTTAAAAGTTAAATGTAGTAAAGAGATGAGTTGTAGATAAAGAAAGGGCTGTAAAATTTTAAAATACGCTCTCGGTAAAATGTGCAATTATACAACTTATTGTTCACAAGGGAAATGTTGGCAGTGCAATGCTTACATTTCGATAAAACTCTGCATAAATTTGGATTATTTTTTCGGCGCTACGACTTTTCGAGTTAGCGACAGTTTGGGCCAACGATTGCTTGGGTTGCCTCAATTTTTTAACAATATAAAAAGTTAGAAAAAGTAGCTATACGAAGGTCTTCGCCAAGTCTCCGCAGAGCCTTCGCTGACCGTCCGCCGAGCATCCAAAGCTTTGCCGTAGGCAATTCATACCATATTTTTTGAGTCTCTGCCTGCCATACGCCTCGTATCAATTGATTTTATGTTGACCCAACTCTGTCGTCGACCCGAAAAGTCGCGATTTTTTCAACGCGCTTTTAGAGATCACCAAGTCAAAAGTTGGCAAAAAATTCGGCCGTTTTTTTGGGCTTGCCCAATAAAGCGTCATGCCTATTTCTATTCTAGAGTAAATGACTCTACAAAAAGATAATTTTTTTTAAATTTAAAATGGCAAAGATACGACAAAAAGCGGTTTTTTCTCTGACCGCTTTCCGAATTCCGCACGTTCTCTCTCTCTCTCTCTCTCTCTCTCTCTCTCTCTCTCTCTCGCACAGAATTTTTTTCAAAAAAGGCAAAAATCACGTCCCACACTTACAGCTAGAGCTCTTTCCTTGTCGAATTGTTATTATTTCAGCCCTCTAAAACTACAGTAATCCCAAGCCCGTCGAGCACCCCAAAACTCCCGATGCCGCGTAAAGAAATGCGGCCGATTTGGCCCTTCGGATTAAGCTGATTGCCCACAGCTGTTTTCACACATTATTATGGTTATGTCTCGAGGGCATAACCGCTTGATCTGAAGCCATTAAGACTTGTGGTTTGAGCTGGGATCAACTTCAAAGATTGGAGAAAAAAAGCAAAATTTTTGAAACCAAACAAAAATCAAACTTTTTAGATTTTTGCAGATCGTTTTTTGCAACAAAACAAATTAGAAGTCCGCGATGATTTTTGAGATTTTTTGAGTGAAAAATTCAAAATTAACTTTTTTGACGGTCTTGACAGGTGTCAAAAACCGCAGTATTTGCAATCAAACATCAGATTCACGTAATTGATGTCAACGTCATTGCAAAAATATTTTTTTTCACACCTAAAAATGCCTAAAATACGACTCTAAAATAAAAAAATTCCTAAAAATTCCTACAAATTTCAAAAAAATCCTCAAACAAATCGCTAGAAATTATTGATGAGAACGTTTCTAACTGCCCGTTTCGATTGCGTCACCGCCAAAATGGGTAGGTTACACATTGAAATTCAGACCCGGGATGGGCTCCATCCCCCGAGGTCAGTTAGGCCGGGTTTTTGTCATTCCCCGCCGCCCATTCCGAACATCTGGATTCGATTCTTGCGTGGGGCGAAAAAAGTTTAGGTAAGATGGAGGAAGAGAGTTTAAAATTTATGCAAAAAACAACTTGAAGGTCACAAGAGTTCGCAAATTTGGGGAAATACAAAAAATCCCGGTTCTTAGGGCCTTTTAAATTGTAACCTTTAACTTGTAAGGTTAAAACCTTGGTAGTTTTACTTCAAGCGCGTGCATTGAAATGAGCGAGATTTGGTGAAAATGCCAGCACTTTTTTGCAAATTCTGGCCTAAGAAGTACCATAACTGTCTCTGTCGTAGAGGGTAGTGTCTCCACAAAAAATATTTTTTTAAGCAACGCTGTTAATGATAGGCCAAAATATGTTTTTCTCTCTGACCTATAAAATAGTCAGGGTTCCCATTGCAAGACGAGCAGGGACAGTTATGGTACTTTTTAGGCCAGAATTTGCAAAAAAAATGGGATTTTTAGCTCGCGCTTTGCAGAAAGGCCGAAATTTTGATGTCGACAGGGGAATCAAAGCCGGAATTCTTCTTACTTTTTTAATTTAGCATTAGCCCTCCATATGACGTGCGGAATAAGCATTTCTTTAAGAAAATTAATTTTTTCCAAATGAAGTTTACAAATACATGCTCAAAAAACTTTTTTTTTCATGTATGTAAGAATTTGTGGACAGTAAATGACTTCACGTTTCAAACCATATCGTTCACAAAGCTCGTTGAAAGAGAATGTAATTTGTAAAATACGCCGTGTGACGTTACTTCTGAGTGATTTTCCAAAGTCACAGTTCTTGAAGTGCGGCTTAAACTCGAACCCGCTGGCACTACCGCTCTAAAATCATTACTGACGCATCCCACGACATTTCCATGTGTTGTTTTGACGAAAATTACCACCCACGATATCGTTAAAAAATCCCGACAAAAGAGTCATTAAAACCATTTGAAACTCTAAACAGATTGGCACCGTATCCAAGATAAATGTTTTCTACTATATCTACTTCCAAAACAATAACCCCGATTACTCAGTAAGGCCATTAAAATTCCGGGAACGGCCGCTTAATAAACTTTTATCGAATTTTCACGGCCGAAATGAGAGCAGGCCGTTTTGTGACATTAAACGGGATGGTCATGTCAAACATTTCAAAAATTTGCACAATTAAAACGGGATGACAGATCGCTGTAAGTGATAAACGTGAAGGGGCCAGACAAAGATGACGAATTATCGGTCTGTCGGGAAAATAACGGCGGATCGTCGCGCCTCGGAGTCGCTCACCATCGCTTTGCGACTGCAAGCCGCGACTTGGGATTTGGTGCGCGATAGCGGCGAGGCGAGACATTTTGATGCGACGATCCGCCGCTATTTTTCCGACAGACTGATAATAGGCGGATGTACAAGATGGGGCAAAAGGGTCAAAGCAAAAAAATCTCAGGATGTTTTTTAAGAGTGATTGGGGTAAAAAATAGTGCTGGTGCACTAATCTATGTCTACAAATGAGGCCTTCCCAGTGGAAAACTTATCGAAACTTCCTTGCCTTTCCGGAAAGTGAAATCGGCGACGCGCACTGTGCGAAAAGAAAAATTTTCTTTGCACTGTGCAAAACGTCCTTCCGGAAAGTCGCCGGACCGATTTTTGGCGTGTGCACTGTGCGAGCGACAGCCCAAAAAAGCCTATTGCACGGTGCAAAAAGCAAAAAATTGCACAGTGCAAAGAAAAAACTCTTGTTTTCTCGCAGTGCGTGTCGCTGGATCGAAATCGGCGACATGCACTGTGCAAAAAGAAAAATTTTCTTTGCACTGTGCATTTTCTTGCTTTTTGCACCGTGCAATAGGCTTTTTCGGGCTGTCGCTGGCACCCTGACTTTTTTCGCACAGTGCAAACGCCAAAAATCAACCCGGCGACTTTCCGAAAGGACTATCAGTCTGTCGAAAAAATAACGGCGGATCGTCGCATCAAAATGTCTCGCCTCGCCGCTGTCGCGCACCAAATCCCAAGCCGCGGCTTGCAGTCGCAAAGCGATGATGGGCGATTCCGAGGCGCGACGATCCGCCGTTATTTTCCCGACAGACTGATAGTAAGGTCAAAATTCGCAAAAAAAGTGTCAAAATTTTGCCAATTTTCGACTCAAACATATCTGTCGCTACAGCAAAGCGCGATAAATCTCGGAAGATGTCGACTTTCATCAAAACCTGAGCCCAAAATTCGAGTGTATACTTTCCTGTTAGTCACCTAAATCAACTATTTCTTCTCTAAACCCTAAATTTTTGTCAAAAAAGTAGCTAAAGTTCATCTTCAACTCCCTTATAACTCATGGGTATAATGAGATATTTTTCTTGGGAACTTCTCATTAAAAAAGAGTTATCACAACCTCCAGACCATGTATTAGGCCCTCAGGGCATTTGAATCTCCGAAATCCCATAAAACGGACTTGATTTATTCGGAAGCCTTGAATCTCTTGATTCGATTGGCCGAGAAATGTGATCACAGCTTGGGGCACAAGTAAATTTTGGCTATTTCGCCTCAGGGCATGTGGAAATATTTATGTTTATTGTCTTTGTAATAGGCCAGAAGCATCACAGACTGCAATATTGTATAAAAAATTAAGTAGTAAGAACGATTACTGCATAAAAATAAGCAGTAACCAACATTGATCGCCGATTTTGATGTTTTTTGCAAATTTTTGTACATTACACTTGATAAAACTCACTGATCCTTCTTCAAACTGCCATTCACTTCCTCATCATTATGCTGGCGAGAGTAGTAAAGATAAGTGATCACTAAAATACGGCAAAAAAATTAATTCCTGACCTTAATTTACACACCTGAGCCGACCAAAGAAATTCCAAGTAAAATTGCCAAAGCTGACACAAAATAGAGGGCGCCATACTCTAGCCAGGGGACCATTTTGATCACATGGTCCGAGACAAATGGCTGAAGACAAAATTATTTTCAAAAAATCTCATTTTACCCTTCCAAATAAGACCAACATTGTTAGCGCCGAAACCGTTGAAATGACTATGGCTATGGCCACAATTATACATCTTCGAAAGAAATCAGATCTGTCCTCGTCTTCCATCACTAAACCAGGGCTTAGACACCATCTGACGCCTGCAAAAATATTTTTTTGTCCTTACATTATAATAGGTCAAGTCAAACACCAAAAGATAAATATTTACTTGATTCGGAGTATGATTGATATGAAAATTATAATTTGCAATAAATAACAGGTTCTAACGGAGATCTTCGGGCATCTTGGCAGCTAATTGGGCATCAAGTTTGGGAGGTTCAATCAAAATTGGGGGTTTCCGGAGATTTGAATTCGGTTTGTTGCCAAATTTCGACCTCAACCTGGCCAATTTTTCCTCCATATCAGGTGAGAGAGGTTCTTCTTTCTGGACAACCTTCTTTTTTAGCTTCTGAGCAGGTTTTTTAGTCGAGGTCGGGGCCGAATTCACAGAATTTTGGGGTTCTTTTGGTTTTTCGTCTGGTACTTTAGATGATTTTGCAGCATTTTCCTTCTCATCTTGTTGCGCAATGTCCTAAATGTATAAAATATTAATTTTTGCAACTAAAAATGCATTAACCCCATACAAATTACCATAATGTCAAAAGTAAAACGACAAAAAAAGAAAGCTGCCTCATGCTGGAATCGAACCAGCGACCTTCTGTTTACTAGACAGACGCTCTGCCCCTGAGCCAATGAGGCACGTTCCGAAAGCATTTTATTTTCACTTTTCTCGTCCTTTCGAAAAGCCTTTTTGAAGGCGGAAAGATAAAAAATATTTAGAAAACCAAGAAAAACACAAAAAATCTTACCTGAATTAGTTTCTCCAATCTTCCCGAGGTCCTAACAATGGTTTCCTTGTTAACATTCACTTTAGCCGGCTCTTTGTTATCCTTTTCCGTCAAATTTTCGAACTTTTTCCTGTTTTTCTCCGCAATTTCACGAGCCTTGGGGTTATTAATATCCGTTGAAGCTCCGCCAGCACCACTCATACTTGACATCTTTTGTTTCGACATGGAGGATACAGACGAGACAAATGATCGAATCTCGCTGACAAATTCATCATCCTCCATCTTCGTCTTCTTGCCCTTCTCTTCGTCTTCTGAATCCGCATCTTCTTCACTGTCTGATCCTCGATTCTCAGCAATTTTGAGGTCGTTTAACCGCGTAACTAACAGTCTATCAGTCTCTTGAGAGAATATGTCTTCAAATTTTTTGTTGGAAGAATGTCCACCATGAGGAAGGTCAACTTGGTATTGCTTCGGTTTCCTTTCCCAATTCATCCACAATGGCTCTTCGTAGAGTTGCATTTGGATGTGATTGGAACGCTCGTAACAAAATCGAGAGCAGAATTTCTCAACCTTGGGTATCGCAGTGTAAATCTGGAAAAGATTTCTTTACCAACTGCAAAATGGACAATGGAGAAGATAAATGTGAAATGGCTACCTTCTTTTCACGTTTCTGTATCCAATACTTTTTCCCCATGTAGTTGTTGACAGTTACAGTCTCATCACAAGTGGGGAAACCACAGAATCTTGCCAAATATCGCTCTTCAACAACTTCATCCCAAGATCCGACATCCAACAAGTGTAACTAAACTCATAAAGAAAAATTAGCGATAAGCAATTACCTTCTCAATTAGCTGGTCTGATCCAATGGTATCAACCATCGAGACGATCGTATCTACCACATTCCTATGAATTTCCTTGGCTTTGGCTGCATTTTCTTCGGCTAATCTCTTGGCCTCCGCGATTTCCTCCGGCGATCTTTCCAATTTGTCAGTTTTCTTGGATGGAGATTTAGTTTTCTGTGAAGCTGGCTTGGCAGACATCCTAGAAGTTGAGCACAATCTAGAGATTCTCGATGAATTTCGAAATTATTTTACAGAATTAATTTTAGAGTGAGACATGACGCACTCTTCATTTTTGGGTCAAGTCGACTTTGAGTTGTTTGTCCTGCCACGAAAATAATATTTTGGCGTTCTGCAATATGTAGGAGATGGAATTGGACAATTGCAACATGTTTCTGTTTATGCAGAAGTGGTCGTTTTCTTGGATTTTATATTATTTTTCTTCCTAACCATTTCTTAGTCGTGTTGTTACCATTGTTTTTGATGTTTTATAAAGTAAATGTTTTATTATTGCGGTTTTCAGGATGACAGACGGTCCCTCGAAGTTTACTCTACCCCAACTCCAAGAGAACCCCGGAGGATGGGGCCCAGCTCCGTTGGAGAGTTCGGAACCCATGAAGCAGTTTATCAACATGCCATTCCAACTCTTCAACAAGTGCGATCGTGTTGGGCGAATTGTCGATTGGCTCGGTGTTGATCGCTACAAGAAGAGTGATACCCGTAAGTCTTTCGATTTGTCTTTTCAGTTTAGAATACGAAGCCAATTGTCATGGATAAGACTTTTATTATGATTGGATTATTTATAGGCGAGCGCTACAACGAACGTATGTATGGATCTTCTCAGAATGCTGGAAGTCAATTCGATTACGTTCATGACAATGAGGAGTCCAACTTCCAATTGGTTGATTCATCCAAGCCTCAGAAGCCGGCCCGACCTTATCGCAGAACTCAACTTCCTTTCAGGAAATTGTTGCAGAAGGAACAAGAAAGACGCGATCAACAATTCTACAACCAAAGCAACAAGACGAAGAGAAGTATCGCCAAGTATGTAGTACTGGAATTTGTTTATATTATACTTGTCATTTTGCTATCTAAAATAATATTTTAGGGAACAAAACCGTGCCTACAAGCTCTGGCAGCGACGTGGTGGTATGCGAAATGGCCAACCCAGCCGAGGAATGGCTGGCCGCCGTTATGGAGATCGTCAAGGTGGGAAAGGACGTCAACCATCTGTTCAGGTTCGACCAGACTGGAAGATCTTGTGGGATTTGGACTTCCAAAGGCTCGCCAAGCTGTCCTTGCCCAACATTGAAGGCCAAGACATGTGAGTTCATTTTCTTTTCCATTTGCTTCGATTTTTAGGTTATGGAGAATATAATTTTATATTTCTAGCAAGGGAGAGAACTATGGTATCCTTTATTATTACGATAAGGCTCTCGAAAAGGTCACAGTGAAGAACGCTGTACCTCTTCAGAGATGCGGAGGTATCTTCTACAACACCACAACCACCGAAGATCCCGTGATTATGAAGTTGGCGCAGAAGAACGAAGGAAATGTTTTTGCTACCGACATTATTCTCGCTACCTTGATGGCTTCTCAGCGATCTGTCTACTCATGGGATATTGTTGCCCATCGTGTTGCGGATAAACTGTTTTTGGATAAGAGAGATACTGGTGGAATCTCCAACCCAGTTGGTATGTTAGTTTACATTATTTTGTTTTAAGTTTAGGTAGTTTCAAGAGTTTGTCAATACGGAATTGCCTGTTTTAGACGCCCTGACTGTCAGCGAGACCTCCATGGACCCACCTACCTGGGATCCCTCGGTTCCTCAGAATAATGCCCAAGATTTGGCCACGGAAGCCTTGTTTATCAATCAAAACTTCCGTCGTCAGTGTTTGAAGAGATCCGAGAAACCTCTCAGCTTTGATCATGCTAGAGCTCCATTCGAGGATGATTCTCCAGACGCTCGAGCGGAATGTCTCTACAAGTATCGAAAATGGAATTTGGGAACAACGGAGCAAGGAAAACCGATCACTTTGGTTGCAAGAACTGAGTTGGACGGTGCTTTGGCCCCACCATCGAAGGACAAGGAACCTCAGAAATTGACTATTAAGGCTTTCAATGAGTGGGATAGTGCTGTAAGTCGACTTTGGTGGTATTTTTGATAAGATTTTATATTAATTTAGGCAGTTGGTTGATGAAAATAAAAATTTTTTGATATTTGGTTTTTTTTCAGCAAGCCGGTGGAGTCCGTTGGAGAGCCAAGCTCGACACCCAAAAGGCTGCTGTCTTGGCCACTGAGATCAAAAATAACGGCTGCAAGTTGGCCAAGTGGACTCTCCAGGCCATCCTTGCCAACGCCGACTACCTGAAGTTTGGCTATGTGAGCCGAGTGAACACCCGAAACAGTGCCCAGCATGAGATCCTAGGAATGCAACAGTTCAGGCCACAAGATTTCGCCAACAACATTTCCTTGAACCTGGATAACTCCTGGGGAGTTTTGAGAGTGATCTGCGAATTCCTCCTGAAGCAGGAACCTGGAAAATATTTGTTGCTAAAAGACCCGCTGCAACCTGTTGTCCGTATCTACAGTCTTCCCGAGGGCACTTTCGAGTCGGATGATGAAGGCGACAGCGAAGAAGAGGAGGACGACGATGACAATTAATTATTTTGTATTGTTTTTGGGTTACTGATTGAATGAATTTATGTTGTTGTCAATTTTTTTGGTTTTTATGGCTGTTATCTCGATTAATATTCGACTTGAGGCTTATCGTTTTTATTCTTATTGAAATGTAAGATTTCTAATGAAAGTGAGGAGTGCCAAGACAAAAAAGATTCAGGATTAGTCGTCTGGATCTCAAAAATCTGGCCGATTTTCGATATCCAGACGACTTTTGGGAGGCAGATTCAGGAAATGCACGAGTGGCGCGACTATTGTCTAGACGAGCCATTCGTTTGATTATAGGAGACGGAGTTTCTGAAGACAGACAGCTGAATAAATATACGGGGTTCCGAGAAAAGACAAATTACAAAAATAGAGGTGAACAAGGACAATATGACGGATGAAAAAGACGACATCGGTCATAACCGAGGGATTGGATGCCAAGAATTTCTTTGTAACGGGTCTACTTCTTTCTGGCATCCATATCCTGCTTGAATGACTCGCTGTTTCGCCGGAAACGACGGCATTCGCGGGCCGGGGATCGTTGATTCCTCGGCTTCAAAATATACGAAGCCATGATGGGAATATGATCGGAGGGAACGTGGGGATGAGGGAAGCCGGGAAGTCCGTTGTCTCGCACCCAATTCTGCCAGATCCCACCCAAATAACCGACTCGGTCCAGCGAGTGCGGCGTGGTCAGGATGTAGTCGATCATCCCTTTGAAGTCGGGGCTAAAATACGATTTGGGTTTTGGCGAAATTTGGGATAAATTAAGAGGAAGATTTTCTAAGGCATATTAGAAATTTTTAGCTTGCAAATTCAAGAAAATCGAAGTTAAAATTTAACTTACGTCACATTGGTGTAGATTCCCTCATTCGGAGGAATGGAACTCTCCAAATGCAGCGAATGCGAGTAATTCTCATCATCATACTCGTTGGTATTGATCCCATTGAGAACCATGTTGTTGCAGAAAGACTTGAGGTCGGGATGGTCCTTGGGAACGGACCCATTCACCAGATAATGAACAACTCCGGAATCGGGGAGGGAATTGAAATCTCCACAAATGATTAGAGGGACTTCCTGGAGAAAAAAATAAAATTAGTTTGGATCAAAAAAGGAGGAAAAAGAGTCATTGTGACGCTGAGATTTTTTGAAATTTTGATAACAAGGCATGTAGTCCAGATACAGTAGGGGACCTGATCCAGTGGCAAAAAACACACCATTTTGTATCCGGGAAATATCAAAAATGTGGCAAAATGCTTCCCTCTCCAAGTGAATAAACTTCTTTTTGAAGGGCGCGCCCTTTTTCTTCATAAAAAGAGGGGGCGCGCTTTTGAAATCGAAGTTTTTTCACTTGGAGAAGGAGGCATTTTGCCACATTTTTTGATACTTCCTGGATGCAAAATGGTACGTTTTTTTGCCAGTGGATCAGGTCCCCCACTGTGTCAAATTTATGAAAGTTGTGGGGTTTTTTCGACCCAAAACACTGAATTTCTCAACGCTGTAAGGTTAAAAACTTACATCAATAGGCAAATTAAAGTCGTTAGCTGCATTTTCGATCTGTTTCGCGCATTCATGGATCAGCATCATCGACTGAATCAGCTTCACATCGCAGTATTCCGGGTCCCAATGCGTGTGCGCTGCACACAAAACAAAAGGAGTCCCCACAATCTTGTCTTCGCTGTCGATTTTGTCGATCGGAACGCTCTCGTTTTTCGTGTTCAAGGGATGTTGTCCCGGCTCCACGTAGATGCCGGGGAGGATCTCCATTGTGGCCAAGAGGGCGATGTTGTCCTTGGGCATTACTCTGTTGATAATGGCGTCGCTTTGATGCGCCTTGTTGATGGCGATCTGGGCGAATTCGGCTAGATGCTGTTTGGCCATTCGGAATCTGAAGTTATAGGCTGGATTAATTGACTCATTATGACGATTTTTTTGGATTTTGTCGAAAAAGTCGGTTTTATGCTGACTAAAATAGTCAGCTGGCTATTTCTCATGCTCAGATCTTGCTGCAGTTCGAGGTTTAGCCCGCATTTTGTAGAAAATGCCAATATTTTCAGGCCGGAATAAAATTTCAGGCCTTCTCGGAAATGAAAAATCGGCATTCAGTTTGACAATCAAAAAAATGATGATACAACTGATTGCAAGTGCAATATAATCCTAAAAATTGTTATAGTAGTAGTCTCTGCTTACTTGGTATTCTTCCAAAACAACGAGCACCCATCCACATGCTTCCTGTTGTCCGTACTCATGGTTTTCGCTCTCGATTTTGGCGAGAAAATCCCGTCGTATCCCTTTTTCTTCAGCTCTGGTTCATAAAACACCCGAAACTGTTCCGCCTCCACCTCATGAAGTCCGATAATGTCCGCATCGTAGCTCATGATCTCCTTCATGATGATATTCTTCCGGTATTCCCAATTCAACGCCCACAATGGACAATACGAATAGAGGCTGGGGGTGGCGTAGGTATCACAGAGAACGTTGTAACAGAGGACTTTGAATTGAGCGACCGGCTTGCCGTTGTTGGCGAGCGTTTTGATGGTGAACCAGTCGCGAGGAGGCGGTTTCGAGATGGTTTCTGGAAAGAGATTTTGATTACTTTATCCATCGTGGAAAATGCAACAAAAATCTTAGGCCTTTGATTTTTTTAGGATTTCCATACCACTCTAAGCGGGTCTCAAATCCATTTCTACAAAATTTTAGTTCTATATTTCCCCGCGCAACCGAGATTTCTTGGGATTTTTGTCAGAGAGCACGTAAAATGAGGAGAGTCGGTCAGAGAAAAAGAAGGTTTTCAGGACTATAACCTGCCAAATTGTGGTCGAAAAAGTTGATTTTTTATAGATATACTATACTTGCCAGAGTATATCTGATTTCGGGCCAAAAATTGCAAAAAAAAATTTTTCGATTTCCGGCATAAAAATCTACGCTAGTCTAACCCTTGAAAATTCCATCTGCAAGTGTCACATGTCTTATAAAATTTGAATCTAAATTAGTCCCCAAATTTAATCCAGTTGATGCCAAAAAACGCCTCAAATATTGAGAACCCTGATTTCCAATTTCGATTACGCTAGCCCCCACTTACTCGCCAATCGGTCCAGCAGATATTGCTGCAGATTCCTCGCTCCTTGTGGACTGTTTCCATATCCCAGATATTCGTGGGGCAATGGATTCCCGGCCACATCTAAACACCGAATAATTTTAAAAAAAACTTTTACTTACTGAACGTCTTGATTCTGTAGAGCTTGCCGAGTTCGGCCGGCAGGCTGGTCAGCTGATTATCGGCCAGATTCAAGTGCAGCAAGCCAGTCATGTCGCCGATTTGGGGCGGGATCGAGGTGAGTTGGTTGTTGGAGACGTCCAATATGGACAAATGATGGAGTTGGCTGATCTCGGCCGGAAGCGTGCGGAGGAGATTGTGGCTGGCGAACAGGGCTTGCAGATGGCGCATGTCGAAGATGTCTTTGCTCAGGCATCGGACTGATCCTGAACGAATTGGACGGTTAATTTGGGATGATGAAAAATTTAATTCTTTTTATTGAAAAATACCAAAAATTTGAATTAAAATTAATGAAAATTATAAAAAATATTTTAAAAAATATTTGGTACATGCATTGGAACATGCAAACGACAAAAATCCCATAATTTTTTGGAATGATTAAGCCGAAATTTGAATAAAATCAAAAAATTTGCATAATTTTAAATAAAAAATAAAATTTTCGTATTTTACATGTGAAATAAATATCAGTAATCAACACAAAACCTTTAAACTGAAAGAAATTACCTTATTTCAGCACTAATCCGAATAAAATCCACAAAAAACTTTGAAATTTGAATAAAGTTTTAAAATTCGTTCTAAATTTTGAATAAATCAAAATTTTGAAGGGAAATCAAGGTCATGCTTACCGTGCACCTCGAGTTCGAACCATCGAGCGGCCTTGTTTTGTTTGAATTCGTCCCGGCCCAGCACCCGATGCGTCCGCTGTGCGCCGCTCTTCAACACCGTCCGACCTTCACCGTTCTCGTCGCGCGCAATCGGAAACCCCGCCGATCCGTCGTATTTCCACTCGCACGCCAGACCATTTTCTTCGTCCTTTACATCCGTCGAGTCTGCAAAGGATATTTGAATTTTGAAATTTGAATTTTTAAAATTTTCAAAATTTCAATAATTCCAAATTTTTCGATGGATAAGATGGTCTAAACTCGAAAATAAACAAACGAAAGCTCACCTTCAGCCATCAGAGAGAAATCTTCGGTTCATAAAAGAGCCACTTCTCCCTTAATGGGAAAGATTCCAAGCAAATTTGACCCTGAAAACACGTATATATGTTATACGTAACATAACAGCGTCGTCTGTGTCACAGAGAAAAAAGAGCTCGCTGCACGAAGCAGGCTTTCTCTGATAAAGCCTCGCCCAAGCTGTACGTCTTTCAAAAATTGGGGAGATTAGACGTCGAAAGTTTTATCAATTCCCCCAAAAAATAAATATAAAAAAACTTTAACACAAAAGAAGGTTAAAGTGCATGACGAAATTTTGTCGCTTTCTCACGCTCTGCGCCTCGGGCCGGTTTGTCAGAAAAATACAACAGAGGGCTTTTCCGATAAAAAAATAACAGGTGAGCAAAACGGATAATCTCTAAAGTGAAGTCTGTTTTTTTTTTGTGAGGAATACATTGGACGAGTCATTGTTATTGAGTTTTGTACAAAAAAAAATAAAAAAAAAAGCTTTAAAAATGATATTCTTTTTGGGCATTGAAGATTTTGGCAGAGAACACACACTAAGGGAGAGTTGTGGAGAGCAAAAATAATAGTGAAAATGAGAAATGAAATTTGGGACAACACATGTCAAGTGCAATATAAAAAAGTGGTTTTTGGCGGAATGAAAATGTGTTTCCTGCGGAAAGGGTAATGTGGTGAACCCTATAGGTCTCTAGGGCAATGATTCCACGTGGTTTTTTTTCAAACTCATGAAAAACCTAGAAAAATTAGATTTTTTGCTTAAGTCATCCATTTTTCCCGTCGATGAAATCTTTTTTCCCCTTCAATTTTTCAAACCGCTGATTCTCCCCTTACCCCAGCCCGTAATAACGGTCTCGCTGGAGAATTGTTTTATGACAAACGACTGTGACGAATCGCCAAGTCGAGGAGTTCAGTCATCGTGCATAAAAACGCGGTGGAGAATCGGGAATTTTACCCTGCGCTTACAGCCAGCCGACCTCAGCGATCCCCCCAAATTTCCCCCCTCCTCCGTCTTCCCCGATGAGCTGAGGGGTGGGGGAGAGGCGAAGGGAAAAAGCGGGGCGACCACTCGTCCCCCTGCATCTTTCCTTTCATTCTTCGCTTCCTTTGGTTGCGCCCCCCGTCCTTATAGAAGAATAAGACCGACTCGGCGCACACTTATTCGCGTTTCGCTGAGCCCCGCCGCCGCCGCTCTTCGGTGCACAGTCGATGGATCGGAAGGTCAGAGCGACGCAAATCGCGCGGAATAGGGGGCATAATTCGTTTCGAATGAAGGCATTAATAAGGAGCGCGTCGAGGAGTTCAATGGGACCCCGAGGAGCAATTTGGAGGGCTTGATGGGGGCGAATAAAGTCGCCAAAAAGAAATATTATCCATCCGGATGCCGCCGATCATTGTTTTTGCGCACCTAGACGCCGTTTCGCCGAGGTTTGGGAGGGCAGCGCCCGCGGGGAAGAGGGTAATTACCCTATTAATAGTTTTATTGGAAAAAATTTTGTAAGCCCCAGGTAATGACTGGAAATTAACGAGCTTGGAAAGGCTAGAACAAGCTGTTCCTTGAGTACAAAGATAAGAATTGAAGGGGAAATTCAATTTTTTTAGATTATAATAGACTAGGAGGAGCTCTTATCGCCAAGTTTTTGTCTTCTGCGAACCAAAACAACAGGCTTTTTATGTCATCATCGCCAAAAAATTGTGAGAAAACAGCCCCGTTTCGTCACAAACCTTTTGTGTATTATGCTTCGATACGGCCTTTAATTAGGCTTAGACGAAGCTACACCCAGTGGATTAATATTTCATACGTAGCGGTGTTACGCAGCGTCTAACCTTATCATGGGATTGGCCGGGCGTCATAACAAAAACAAGACGTTTTCTGAGGTCGGAGAACAAATTTTTCTGAAGAAATTGAACGTAGGAGATGCCCGCACGGCCCCTAGGAAATCTTAGTTGTTGCTTTACAAAACCAGCCGAGATATTGCAGACGAGAGATGATGGAAAAATGAGGAGAGACGTTCAGAGAAAAATATCCTTTAAAATTTTTTTTCTTATTCCTATTTTGAAAAGTAATTTTAAAAAATTGCTCCCCAAACCTGAAAAAACGCTAAGTTTTATTCTAAAATTCTCTAAATTTTTTTAACCCTAAAAAGCCTTTGAAAATGACAAGCTAAAATTCTCGGACATGTAAGAGTGAAGAAATAAGATCGCACCGGTCGTTCCGAAACAAAACGTAAAAAACGCTTTCCTAACTTTTTTTTTGAAAAAATAGGATGGAAAAAATGAGGCCGACATGATAAAAAAAGCTCGAGAAAGCAAATTTAGCGTCTTTTTCAAAATCTGAAAATCTGTAAAAAATTTTCTTCATTCTTATGTCTTCAAAAATCCTAATCCTCATTTTTTGCCAGAGTAAATTTTTTTAGAGTAAAAAAATGCATCGCATTTCGAGCCTCTAGAAAAATTTTTTTGCAAACTAAAAAGATGACAAACAGAAACGTATTTTACAAAAATAAATATTTTTGCGGAATAAACATGGCAATCTCTAAGCCGTCAAGATCCTAAAAATTTTTTTATCACATCTCCGGACTTTCGAAATCCCTTTTTACAGATTTACCTCTGCTCGTAATTTCGAAGCCCACACACGTGGAAAAGGTAATCAAACCCACCTTTTTGCACGAAATAGCCGTCATTTTCGGCGAGTCCAACTGTCCACTTTATTCGTAACTTACTTTATTAACATTTTTTATCCTTTCAGAGCACAAAAAAAAAATTAATTTCAAAAAAATCCAAAAAAATTTTTTGTTCATTGTTTATTAAATCTTACAGAAAGGACAAATGTATTTGATACTTATGACTCTTTGAAAGACAAACAAAACCAAGTAAGTCAAAACAGAACCAAATTTCAGTGAATTGAATCGGAATCAAAAGAAAACGCCTGGGGCGAAAAAAGGCCGAGATATATTTGAAATAATGTCATCGAAAGATGAGAACACTTTGAAAGCTAAGACCTAAACTCGTACGAAAACAACCAGGTATAATTGGGAGAATATAGCTGCAAGAAACGTTGATCGCAAATACCCATCGCGAAAAATATTACAATTCTTTTTTAACAAGCCCTACTTACAATAATATAATCTGATATTCGGATTGGACGGGTTTTGATGCAAAACGAATGCGTCTGGTCAGAAATGAGCCAGCAAGTGAGTTATTGCCAAGAATATCAAAAGGATAAAAGTTAGGATTTAACGCGCCGACACCACGCCCGATTCGGGGCGAGAGGGGGCGTCGATGGACGAGAACGAAGAATTGGCCAGGTTCCCACAAGAAGAGGTGCTCTTCAAATGATTGTGGAGATCCGAGACGTACAGTGGAGGGGAAACCCGGGCTCGATCTGAAAATGAAATCATAAAAATACATTCGAAAAATTTTTATGTCATGAATAATATATTGTAGTATAAAAAGAGCCCAATTGATCCTATTTTTTTCAAATGTGACCAATATACTCCAAAAAGCCTTAGATTAATGCCAAAAATTTTTAACTCATGCTTTCCAAGAAGGGCCCGAGATATTGAACAATCCACCTAGAGAGTACGCAAAACTAGGAGAGTTGGTCAGAGAAAACAATATTTTTCGGTACCTTTCCAAATTTCGCTTGTAAAAAAGTTGTTTTTATTAAAAATATCACCCTCAAAACCCCAGATTTAACGAACTTTCACCGTAAAATAAAATCATATGTTTTGATCCAAATTTATGAAAATCCCCCGACATTTTCTCGATTATTTGGATCATGAACAAAGGATTATGGAGATTGACAGAAACTACAGTCGAGTTTGACCCGTAATTTTTTGTAGGATCAAATGGAAAATGAGCTCAAAACGGGGTTGCATATTTTTTGTGCAAAATAAAAAATTAACAAAATTTCTGATTTTTTCTATAAACTCTCTCCAAAAAGCGTACTTTTTCCCTCCCAAAGATTGCAAAACCTCTTACCCGAGTTCTTGAGGACCTCCTGGAATCGATAGTTGGTTGGATCGACCTTCTGTCGGACCCAATCATGAGCCTGCACATCCTTGATCGTGGCTCGATGCTTGGGGTCCGGATTCAGAAGCCATCCAATCAGATGGAACAGCTGGTCGCTCACATCCCAGACCAATTCAATCTCCGCGTGGATGGTCTCCTGCGGCGTTCTGAATGGGTTTTGGAAGAAGACCAGGGTGTACAGGAGGATGCCCATCGACCACATCTCCACTTCTGGGCCCAGATACTTGTTGCCGGTCAGGACTTCCGGGCTGCAATACTCCATGGTCCCGCAGAAGGTGGAGAAAATAATATTCGGGCCGAAATAGGCGGCAGACCCGAAGTCGATCAATTTGCAGCAGAAATTGCGATCGATGATCACATTCTCGTCCTTCAGGTCCCGATGGACAATGCCATTCGCATGCAGGTACTTTACAGCATCCACAATCTGCAAAGAGCCATGGATAATATAAATTGGCATTTAAATTTGGAAAAAAATCGAATGTAATATAACCAACCTGTCTGAAGATGTATGAGATCAGCGGTTCGTCCATTTTGGGGTGATTCTCGATGAATTCAAACAAATCCATTCCACATCCCAGCTTCTCCATGACCAATTGATAATACTTTTCGTTTTCGAACACATCCAAAACTTTGACGATATTTTTGTGATCCAGCGTTTCCAACAAATGGACTTCGATTGGGACCATTTGGCCTCCTCGACTCGTGGATTTGACCCAACTTTCTGGGAGGACCTTGCTCTTGCAGACGAACTTCGTAACAGCCAAAAGGCCGGTATCCTTTCTGGCGGCCAACTTCACCGACCCAAACGTTCCATTTCCGATCAATTGGAAGGTGTCGTAATGACTGCTGTATTCCCCGCAAACCGCTTCATTGCTCTCGTCGGCCAGCGCACTCAAATGCACGTCATGGATCTTGATCTCCAGGGCCGCATCGTTCTCATCGTCGTCCTTCAACGCCATCGTTCGCACCTCGAAATCGGACTCCATTTCGGAGGAGCTGGACGCGCGCGTCTGCGGGACAAGATCGTCAACGTCCTCCTCGCTACACTGATTTATCCCGTAGTCGATTCCCCGCTCATATCCGATACCCACGGCAAACAATCTGGGTTGACTTTGCCCGTCAAGACGGGTCACATCGAATCGGACGGGGATCAGGGTTCGATCAATGTGCTTGGCGAGGCCATAAAACGAGCCAACCTGGATTTGAGGGAGGGAATTGAAACGTTTCGGCTGATCTTCATGATTCGAGGCGATGTAGGAATTGTGACCAAGCTCATCGGGGGACAATGGAGCCGCTCCAATCGCTTGGTCGGCCGAAAGAGAGGCCAAGGTACTGGCATCGTAGAAATTGGGGATCAGATCGGTGATCACCTAAAGTTATATAACTTTATATCAAAATGAGGTGGTAATAAGAGGAAATCTGTCAAGAAAACTATCATAACAACTTCTAAATTCATTTAATCTTCATCAAAACACTACTGCACTATGATTCAAGCAAAATTATAGCTTTTATATTTTGTAGGTACATAAGCTAATAAAAAAGGTAAAAATAATCAGTTCTTTCAGTTTCCAAAAGAAAAACTAGCATGTATTTTACAATTATACTATAGTTGGGCTAAAAAACAAAAACCAACTTACAATAACTTCATCTTCATCCTTTTCTCCCTCTTTCTTTCCACAAAGTTCATGGAGAAAATGCTCATTATAAGAATGAACAACTCCGGCGTCGGTGATGGTAATTACACCATTAATCGAGGCCAACGATCGAATCCTGACATCATAGGAGAGAGGATTCTCTAAACATCGAATAAAAACCAAACAAAATTCGATTTACCTTCTTTGTCGAACTCAACTACCACAACAACGCTGAAAGGAACGCCGTTCTTTCGAACCGACGTTCCGCAACAATGTTGTTCGCGGCCATTGGCCTCCACTGAGGTCTGAAAAGAAAACAAATCAGATTTATATCCGAAAAATTGTCTTATTTCATGTTTTTGGCTACCAACTTACATCCAAACTAGGGATGAGCCGTCCCAATTCCGTTCCGAACAGCCGATTCGTACAGTCATATCCGAGGACGGCGGCCAGCGAGTCGTCGGCACGGAATATCCTTCCTTTTGCTCCCAAAATAACACTGATATGTAGGGCGTTCACTGGCTCCATCAGTATCAACCATCGACAGTTCGCGGCGTTGTTACACGTGTGCTTGTAGGCATGCTGAGCGTCGTGATGTGGATTCAATGGGCAAACATCCGCCGAAGCTAAAAATATTTTGTGAAATTTCCGATTTTTCAAAAAAAAAATAAATAAAATAAAAAAATAAAAAAAATCCGAGCTGCGCCCTAGCCTCAACTTGAATTTTTTCAAAATTGATCAAAATTTCGACTGAATTTGGTATGAATGATGTTCTAAAGTGGCTTAGAACATCACGCTAAATATAAAAATCGTAAATTCAAAAATTTTTTTTGTTACTTTAGACATTAAAAAATTATTTTTTTTTATTTTTTTGCAGCCGACGAAAACAACAAAAATTTTGTTGATATTTTTTACAGTAACAAGGAAGTTTTGGGTGCAATATGTGGCTCAAAAACCAACGACTTACTTCCACAATTGTTGACTTGACGACTGGCCAACGGACAGGCGGTCGAGTGATTTCGCGTCGAGACGCGTGACCGGTTCTCGTGCCCTTCACGTGCGTCGTCGTCGAGGATCTCATTGAAATGGAAAGCTTTCTGAAACGCAACCGATCGTTTCATAGACCAACCAAAATCCACTTCTCCCTCTTCGGACCTCAATTTTGTCTAGTATAATATAGAATTTTACTCGAAATTAATTTCCAGTATAATATTAGAGACGAGCGGAATGCGGAGCGTGCAGAAACAGGTATAAAAAGTCGAGTCGTCGCAGATTAGAGTTCAACTTTAATTAAGGTCTCGTTTCTAGACTTTTTTTTGGGAGCGCGCGTCCTTCCGATTTGTCTTTTTCTCTGTCCATGGAGGAGATTCCGCGCGCGCCCAGCTCCAAATTATAGCCGCAATCGCAGAGAAAACGCGCTGTTCACAACTTGTAGTCGCCAATTTCTCACTGATTCAACGGGAAAACAGTAAATTTTTTTGGGTGATAAATGGGTGTTGGATGAATTGAAAAGAAATTTTTCGGAAATTCCAAGAAGTTTCTGCTGTAAAGGAGCTATCTATAGACTGTACATTGTACGGAAGGCGGTAAACAATGCGATTTTGCAAGGAAAATTGTTTCGATCGCGGTTTTTTATACCATTTACTTAAAGTGGGGGACCTGATCCAGTGGCAAAAAAGTAGCATTTTGCATCCGGAAAGTATCAAAAATGTGGCAAAATACCTCCCTCTCCAAGTAAAAAACTTTGTTTTGAAGGGCGCACCCTTTTTCCTCACAAAAAAGAGCGGGCGCGCTTTTGAAATCGGAGTTTTTTCGCTTGGAGAGGGAGGTATTTTGCCACATTTTTTGATACTTCCTGGATGCAAAATCGTACGGTTTTTGCCTCTGGATTAGGTCCCCCACTGTAAGTAAATAGTGTAAAAAACAGTGATCGAAACAATTTTCCTTGAGAAATCGCATTGTTTACTGCCTTGCGTACAATGTATACAGTCTATAGATAGCTAGCTCCTTTACAACAGAAACTTCTTGGAAATTCCGAAAAATTTCTTTTCAATTCATCCAACACCCCATTTTTCGAACTAATTTTTCCCCCAAAAAGTTTCAAAACCTCTTACCAAAGACTCTTCCAGCTTGACCTGCTTCAAATTGCGATCATCCTCTTCGTCCTGTCCATGCAGATCACCCGACTCGACAACCATCGCGCACGGTGCAGGGCGTTGGTCGAGTTGGGGACGGTCCGGCCTAAGAGGATGACGGTCGGCTTCTCGGGACGCTTCGGGTGTTCCACGCGGAAACGTTGTTCTGTCGCAGGACCAAACATGCGGGGTCGCAGCGAGCGGCGGCCGACGGTGCTCCTCTGGCTCGGTGGTCGGGGTGCAACTTTCGACTGCAGCTGCCTCCGCGACTGGATTCGTGGATGGGGATGGGCTCTGAAATGAAGAAAAAAGCGTTAGATTGAATTTATGATTGATTACATTTCTTATTACGGTGAGAAATCTAGGGAAAACATAAGAAATTAAGGTTTTTTATATTGTAGTAGGCATTTTTGCCCAAAAAATCGCCAAAAAAACGTTAAGATTCAAAAAACTGTATGTTGTATTAGCTTTTTATTACATCTGCATGCCTCAAAACACTTCTATTTTTACTCTGTGCGATGTTTTAGCATCCCAGAGCCTCCATTTTAAGCCAATAAATCCAAACGAAATTCCCGGACCTACCTGTTCCTTTCCCGAATCGAGTGAAGTCGGGTAGTTCTGGAGCAGACGGTCGGGGCTGCTGAGCTCTCGTTGTGTGCTCGAAACACCGCTACTCGTATCGAATAATTCTTCTTTTCCGGCGCTCGAAGCTTGCTCGTCTTCCGCGGAATCGATGAAAAAGGCGTGATGTGGCAAAGCGACAGGCTTTTGAGGTGTAGTCGTCGTTAAGCTGAAAATTGCCGAGCGTAATCACCGATTGTTTGGCCAAATAATTGAGGCCCGTGGCTTGCGAAGGGCCCGCTCTTTTGAACACTTTGCTCAACGTCTAGTGTAATGTTGAGGGAGGGAGGAGGGTGCATAATGAAAACGATTTAATCCCCACGGATGGATTAGAATTAAAATATCAGGAATGTCTTCAAATCCCAGCGCCCTATGATGTAAAATAAATATACGATCCCCACGGGCGTCGGGAACAAAGTCCGGGCACTACTGCTTAAGAGTGTCTGGTCAAAAGATCAATTTTTTCTGGGGGTTTGCAAATTTTGCAACAAGACTTGTGGTGATAAGGGAACGTGGGATGACGTGACAAAATGAAGATAAAAGTCGAGAACAGACAGCTTATTTTAATCAAGTGTTAAGTAGTAGTGGAAGGTAGTTTAATTTCCACTAATTTTTGCTGTAAAGTATGTGGGTTTTCTTGGAAAAGGGAGGGACACTTTAAACTCAAAGTAGATTTGAATTAGACTCCAAAAAAGCAAAATTGTAAAAATTATAAAATTTATATTTTTAGAGTATGAGACTGTTCGATTTCTTTCTGATTTTGCATGCGCATTATATACAAATCGCAAAGCATTTCCCGAAAATTCCAGCTCTCTTGGCACTCGCGCCGAGATATTACCCGATCTTTTCTTCCGAGAGAGTGCGCGAAATAAGGAGACGCCGCCATGCGGCAAAAGCCAAAAATCAAATCTCCAATATGTCTCAAAAAAGTTTTATACAAAATTTGCAAAGATCGAAAAAAGCAAGAGTTAAAATCTTATAGCCAACCATAAAAGACTAAAAACTAAATTCCAAAGCCCTTGAGTCAGTAATTTTCCAAGAAAAGCCGTAAAAAGTAGTCAAGTAGTAACACTTTGCAGACTTCCGGCGCTGCCAGAGAAGACGGAACTTAATGTCGACCCGTAACCGTCTCATCCCCTCAGGCATCGCACTTTGTTTGCACTTTCTATGCCCCTGCATGGTACATCAATTTTGGAGGGGAATCGGAGCAGTTTTTCGCAAATTTTCACCATTTCCGACGCTCGGCTTGCTTCGTAACGCAGACATAATGGTCACCCGTAAATGTGAGCGTCCTAGACGAGGGTGACGGTAAACAAAAACAAGAGTTATGGTCAAGGGAATGAGCATAACAAGGGCTGTGAGGAAAAAGTAATATTTTTAGGATGACCTTAAATGAAAAAAGGGAAACTTTATATGATCCTTGAAAGCTGGGCCATAAAAATTTGAAAGTAAGGTCCAGAGAGATCCTGTTTGTCGAGTAGTGACTAACAAAAACGGCTGGTTATACGGAACGGTCGCTTAAAGGGCAGTTTTTATATTGTTCCAGACCAGATAAAGCAATGTCCAAAAACATGAAATAAGAGCCGACAGGAATTTCCCAACTCATACGATTACTAAACAAGCCCGTTACTGGTAAGCAATGACTTTTCCTGGAAAAAATAAAAGCGAAAGCACAAGTTTTATATTGCAGTAGGTCAGAGATGGATCGCTTCAAATTTATACGGCAAAAATGAATAAATTCTAATGAATTGGGCCTGAGAACGTTGCAAATTAACATTACGATTAGGGGGCTGCAAAAGAATGCAATAAAAGGAATACATTACGACGCCGCATACGTCACATGGCTCTCGGAACGCAGGTCTTATCGAATAAGAGCCCCTTCGGCTTTCGAAACAAAGTTTTTTCTCGAAACCCGCAGAAAACAGACACACACACACATGATGGGCAGGTAACTTTGTGGACTTTTTGTACACCTGAACTCTCGCTGAATAGACTGTGTTTTTGCAAACTGATTTCTGTACTTTTTCAAGCATCTATTGCTCGAGAGGAAAAGGTCGGATTTTTTTCAAATTTGAGAGAAATGCTATGAATTGCTCATAGATTAATCGTTGAAGACTTTTGTCCTTTGCAAAGAGAGCCGAGTTAGTCAACGGTCTTTTTTGCGAGAGAGTACGAAAAATGAGGAGAGACGGGCAGAGAAAAAACTTCTTCTAACCATAACTTTGTGGATTCTGCTAGAAGAAAAATGATTTTTTGTGGAAATATTTTACTACTCAAATATAATAAACTGTAAAAAATTCAAGCCAAAAATCGCAAAAAAAAATCGGAATTTCTGGAAAATTTTGACCGAAAAAATCTTGGTTGACTATGTAAATTTGGACCTAAATGTCTCACATACGTCCTTTCGAATATGTGAGGCGGAACGACCGAGCTTCGAGGATTTTCCCACGTTGAACGATCTACATTTATTCAAATTTGATTGTACTTTTCTACGTGGGGCTTCCCTATAAAAGGGCCTCCTTTCCACTGAATAAATCACTTGACTCTTGAGCGTCTCGTCATCGTTACTGGGTTGTCGGACCTTTCGACAACTCATAAGTGGCGATCAGGCGACTCAGCGCGTGGAACGACTCACCGACTGCAGCGGCCGTCGACCTCCCAGCTGGTCGAACCCTCCCTGGTGGACAAAGTAAGTATTGGTGGTAGTATAGCCCCAAGGTGCTTAGAATCAGAGTGCATTTAGCACAAGTGAGGCTCAAGCCCCTAAAGGATACTAAATCCTAGAAAGGGAAGCACGAGTACAGTACAGAAAGGTACAAAACTCGTGCATTGGCAAAAGTTTTCACCTAGAAAACATGCCAAAGTCAAGTCTGGTCAATGAAGGCCATTCTCGGAAGTGTCAGAACACTCGAGATTTCGATTGTCCAGAGAGACAACGGAAACCTAGAAGGATTTCTAGGGGGACCCATCTTGGACTTGATGCGGTTGACTCAGAATCGGAATATGATTCTGAATATTCGTCCGGATGTGACGGGATGCACGCCATTAGGCAGTGTGAAAGCGGACGGGAAGAGATCCCTCCGGCTAAGCTATGTGTCAGGTTAAATGACATGGAAATAGCTTTGGAGCTCGATACAGGAGCTGCCAGGACGGTAATACCAGAAAGGGTATGGAGACAGATTGGTCATCCGGAAATTACCAGGTATACCGGGATACTTCAGGAATATGGCGGAAGTCCATTAGAAGTTATTGGTGCTGTGCGGGTAAATGCCAGCTTCCGGGGTCATCAGAAGATGACTGAAATCATTGTCGTGAGACGTCACGATTGCCAACCGACGTTGGGACGGGATCTTATGAAAGATCTCAAGTTGGACATGGGAAATTATGCCAACTTTTCACTGGTAGACTCCGAAGTGGAGGAGACAGGTACCAGGGGAACTCGGGAAAATGAGTTCAAAAGCTTTCAAAAAGCCAGTGATGAAACTCGGGAAGTCCATTGGATTAGAGTTGTCACGAAAAGCATGGATCAGAAGCCTGCAAAAGCCAATATTGGCGTCTCAGCCAGAAACACGGAAGGTGTTGGTGAGACCTACTCGGGAGATTTCGAATCTCAGTATTTTCCCCAGGTTGTTGAAAATAGGGGAGGGAGTAGAGGCCAAGGAAAGTGGCGAGGTAACCATGCCAAATCCACGGTAATGTGGTCGGATTCAGAGAGTCTAGCAAGCTCTAAGGAATCGCGGAAAAAACCTAAAGTCTGGATAGACAAGGTAAAAAATGAGCTAGAAACTCAAATCAGAAGCTTTGCTTCTCAGGGTAAGCCAATTGTGTCCTTTGGACCTAGGCACCATTCGGAAAGGTATAAGCCTTTGGCAAGAAGATACCAGAATGGAACCCAATGCGTCAGTGGAAGGAATGTGCCGTTGGAAGTTCAGATCCTCGATGGAAGCCAGTTCCCGGTCCAGTCCAGAATCTCAAGCCATCTAGAACACAGGGAAGCGCGCATGCTCGTTCGATGGATGTGGAAGTGCCAAGCCGTGCCCGACTTGATCACTTGGAGGAGATGTGAGGCGGAACGACCGAGCTTCGAGGATTTTCCCACGTTGAACGATCTACATTTATTCAAATTTGATTGTACTTTTCTACGTGGGGCTTCCCTATAAAAGGGCCTCCTTTCCACTGAATAAATCACTTGACTCTTGAGCGTCTCGTCATCGTTACTGGGTTGTCGGACCTTTCGACAGAATATTAATCTAAATATGTCAAGTGTTCTAAAAATCCTAGCACTTCCTCGGGAATAGTCAAGGTCCGCTGCACTTTGGGCCCTATTTTTAGAAAAAATTGCGCTTTTCTGCAGAAGGATCGAAGAACGGGCATCGAGAATGTTCGGCTAAAGTACGGAAATGCGGCTGAAATTCTAATGGAGAGCGTCTGGACGAACAACAAGCCCGCTTCTCTACATCAAATATCAATTTATACGAAAATTTGTATAGAGGCGATGAGAAAGAATCAAAATTACTTTACAAACATCAAATTCCGAAAGCGTAGGCGGCTTTAATCAAACCCCATATGAGTCAGGAGGAGGACTGAGGGCCAGCATTACGTAACTGGGCCCAAAAAAGAGTCAGTTTATCACAAAAAAAAGTCCGAAGAATATATGTATGTAGTTAGAGCGGTGCCAGGAAGGGGCTCGGTCTTTCGAAAGCGACCGAAAAAATAGGGAAAAGGTCAGACTTAATGGAAAAGCCCCGCCGCAGGACAAATATCTATGCGCTCTCCGCGAAGACCGCATTCTATTTCTCTCAAAAGCTTTCGGCCCTGAGGGCTAAAAAAAGATTTTTCCAGATTTTCATTCGAACAAGTTTTTTTTTATAAATCGATCGTATAAAACGTCTCTCTTCGAAGCAACGGGAGATGGGGATAGTACGAAAATTAAAAGAGTGCGCTGAAATTGTCATAACAACCAATTCCACTGCTATTTTTGGAGAGAAAAGTTATGAGTAAGCGAGGGTTTCGAGAAGAAAACTTGATACTCAGATTGGGAAAACAACCCGAACACAGCCCGAAAACATCAAAAATAGCCGCGAAAATACATCTGCATTTGTGTCGGAGGGAAGAAGATAAGGGATAAAGTTGTTTGCTCAGCCGATTAATCGCGATAAACACGTTTCATTAGGTATAATCACAAGTGTTCGCCGCAATGTTCGAGAAACTTCGGCGGAGAAGAGCGTGGGTAAATCCGGTGACTTTTTGTCTGCAAACCGGATGCGAACGCATTGGAAATGGTCATGGAAAGGATTACATGCCTGCAGCAGTCACGATTATTCAGATTAATCGGTCAAAACTACGGAATTATGTGTACAAAAAGCTTTGTAAAGAATTTTTTCAATTTTGAGCTCTTGAATTTTCCTTAATTTCGGGATAGGCTCTGTGAATAGGTCACATTTTAATTTCTGAAAATTTTAGTTTGCAATTTCCAAGTATAACTGTGATATTCAGCAATCTTTGTAGACGAGAGAAAATGAGGAGAAAATTGGAAAAATTTTGGCCGTATCTTTCTCAAAGTTTAACTAAAAAAATAAATTTTTTGCCTACATTTCATACTCGGTAGTTCGAAAAAAATGACAATCTTTCTTCCAAAAAAGTCGATGTTTTTTGAGATTTCTATACCAAAAATTGCGCCAAGTTCCGTCAAAATTCATTTTTTTCTGACAGCTTCAAGTGCAGTGATGACAGAACTTCCAGAAAACTCGCAAACTGCAAGAAATCGAAATCGAATCAAATTCAAACCCGATAACAGTCAGAAACCTCAAAGAATCACAGTAAGCGGAACGTTTCCGCACACCCGCTTCACACCGTCCGCACGGTTAAATATGGGAAAAGTTGACTGCGATCCGACGCTGACTCCTGGGTCCCCGGAATAACAAAAGAATTCTGTTTTTCGCATGCAGCGATCACGAGAATTCCCCCCAAAAATCGAAGCGCCCCGCGGTGAAAGTGCGGACTCCAAAGTTCACTGAGGTCCATTTGAGGCTCAAAAGTTACATTATTGTACTCGAAAAAGGTTGGAAACTTGGGGGGCCTTAAGGAGGGAGTAGCGTTCGTAATAAAGGCAATCAATCCGCCCGGAATCGTTCGATGAAAGGGGGAAGGAAAGGCGTCCAGAGAACGGAGACAAAGACCCGAAAAAAGAGACTTGTTTCTGCCTCTCCTCAAAAAAAAAAAAAAATTTCGCTTTCGCAAAAAAACGTTTTTCGTCTGCGGAAAAGAGTGGAGAGTAAAAAACCAAGAATTGCTTCGAAGCCGCTTGCAAAGAATGGCTATAGGAAATCGGGGGCTATAAATTTCCTGCCATAAGGAATGCGTATTTCTGCAAAGCCCTCAAGCCAACAGCCTTAAATTGGCTTCGTATTCGGAGAGTCATCGGAGAAAAAAAAGATACAAGAAGAGTTGTTTTAGAGAGATGGAAATGTAGATTATCAAGTTTTTTGCAAAACAGCAGGGATAATGAATGAAGAAAAGCAAAGAAAAAGAAAATTTATGAGTTTTCCTTCGTGAAAAGTGGAATGTTGCAAGCACAGTAGGCTTAGAATTTTTTTTTTGAATTTTAACATTACCATCAATATTTATATTTTTGATGACTAAAATTTCCGTTCAAAATCTGCTACAAGAAGAATAGAGATCTCAGAGAATACAATTTCAAAGGCTTAAACGAATCTTCAAAAATATCGCTGACTTTGAGACGTTTTGCAAACCATATGTTTGAAAATCGTAAAAAAAATAAAAGAAACAATTTTTTTCGTTCCTAAACTCTTGGCCACATGGACGAAGATTTTGAACCATTGCCCGAGAGGAGGCGTTCTGTCAACCGCCTTGCGCCCCTCTTCTTTTGCCCTCGGGGGATACGTACTTTAAGAATTTTATAAGGTCTCCTTAAAAGTCTCCATGGAGAATGTAAAACTTAAAACGAATGGAAACATGGCTGCTTGTGGAATGCAAAAGTCGTGTTCCAGTGATCTTTGTAATGCGGTCGCCCCGATCTATTGTTTTGTAAAGAGATTACCATCGTCTGAGCGACGTAATAGTAGTGTCATTGTGGGTTAAGTGGGTTAGACAAGAATTATATAAATAAATCAACAACAGCGAAGAGAAGGAGACTCCTGAATCGAATAAAGGAACGTGGTGTTTGGTCGATTTGGGGGCTTAGTTTGTGATATCTGATATGGAAAAACAAAAATATGATTTTTGAAAAAAAGTGCTTTTGTTAGGAGGGTAAACGTGACATTTACAGACAAGAAAAGTGCAAGGATTTTCAGGACATAAAATTTGACTACAATTTTCGATGGCTTGTGCAACATTTTTGGCTTTACCTTTTGGAAATAATCATGATCTTTGGCCTAAAAATTTTGATGCTTTTTCGCAATAAACAGTTTATCATATTTGACGAGTATAGCCATTTTTTCTAAAAACCCGATTTTCCATTTGCAAAATGTAAGCAAAACAGCGAAGAAACTTTTTTTCTGGCCGTCTCTCTTCATTTTTCATAGACTCTCTTCTGCAAAGATTATTGAATATTATGGTTCTGCCTTCAAAATAAGAGCTAAGATTCTTAGGAATTGAAACATGTTCAACATGGATTAGACATGCCAAATTTTAAGAAAATCGACTGGTCGGATATCGAGATATTAGATCTTGAATCTATGGGGGTCAAAAAAATTTCCCCAAAAGAAACCAGCCTTATT